ATTAAATAAATAAACAGTTTTACAATCTTGATTCCATGATTATAAGATTTCTTGTTGTGCCCACCCGCCCAGTAGCACAAAATGGTGACAACATAGCATTATTCTTTATTTGATAAAATGTAGACAATCAAGTTTTCTAATGTCTTGTCTAGTTGTTAAAGTTTTGAATATCTGCAATTTTATTTAAACGCATTACCACTTTAAACTGCGTGGATACTATGCCCAATAGGATGTCATCCACTTGTAAATGTATGTCTTTAATCTTAATCTTGGAAAATAAAAAACAATAACATTAACTAAACTTTAATTCTGTTTTGTCATAAAATCAGTGCAAGTGCTATAAAAGCTCTCCAAGAATATACAGTTGGTATCTATTGAAGCAATTGCTATTGTCTAAGATTGCCTCCCATTATCTATGGTTAATGGGGCAAAAAATTGCTCTACCTATCTGGTACTAATATTGCGGAAATTGCATTGAATAACAGCGATGCAGTAATATTATATTACAACTGTCCGTTTTCTAGAAATCAGCGTTTTTTCACGAGAAACATCTTTTTATATTAAGTGATCAAAACCGAACATAAACAGAGTTCTCGCCAGGATTGATTTCAAATAGATATTAAGGTCTTATCTCATCTAGTCATATCTTTGATCTAGTCTATGGTGAAAGAATTGTCATCTGACGGAAATAACCAGTTGCAACAATGCGGGGGATTTGCGACATCATATGCCTTAAAATTAAGCTTCATCATAGAATCAAGCCTAGTATTAAACATCTCTGTATCATAAAAGCTGGGAAAAAGAGAAAATGACTGAATATATCGTAAAATCTTCTCTAGAAAAATTCCAACTAGGAAGGATGTGATCCAGAGTGCTTAGCTTTAAAGGTCACAGTTAGACTTACATGTACAGATATATTGGCAATAAAATATAACAGCAGATGCAAGGTTAAACCACAAAATCTGAAAACAGAGTACAGAACTGTCACAATCTTTGTAAACAAAGTCAAAAGTCAATAAAGTCAAAGTCAATTGTAAATCAACACAAGTTTTTTGGTACGGGTTGTATGCCAGTAGGCTTTGTGATCTCAAGTCATAATTATTGATTTAATAGACATATTCGTGATAAGAGTTCAGATGGTAATTTACATAAATATCTCCCATGATGCATCGCTTTTGAAGGGACACATTTTCATTGGCCCACTGAACGAGTCGATTACTCTGAACGAAACTGGAGACTGCAAAGTCAAAGGTCACGATCAGCTAATTTCATTGGTCGAAGATTACATCATAGCGCCATATGTATAGCATCATATTGGCGGAAGATTGCTCGAAAAAATTTCAACACATTCTGATAAAACTAGCGTGAATCTTGACAAAAATGACAGTTTTTCAGCCTCCGATATTCCACCAGCACTCGAACATAGTTACATGATCCATTCTATTCAATAATCAGAAAGATAATCAGAGATTCAAAGTTACATTATTTATATTTTTTCGATCTTCAATGATGCTGAGCAATTTGTGGGAAATCAGTGACAACACTGGAATTGGACGACATTTCCAACTAAAGATTTCTTCGGACTTGGGGATTATGGCTCATAAAGCCTTGCTGTACATCTTAATATCATACATATCTATCATTTGTGCAAATGCAACACTACATAAATGTTTAATAAAGCCGTAGTGCGGCATTGACAATCGCACTCCTGTGTAATCCAATGGGAAAGAACCCAGATGTAGACAAAGTTATACCTCTCATGAGAACTCTTCAAACGTGAGGTAACTAAACTGAACTAAACTAAAAATCTATCGCTTGGAAGTTGGAAACATATTTTGCAAGACAAAATGTTAGCAATATTAGAACCTGTTACTTCTTCAAAAGAAAGAAGTTATAGGACCATGATAATATCAATTATAAAATGCCATAGCAATGTAAATGTATCCTCATATTTTGATACGAAGAGGTACAGGAATCATATCCAATACTCTATTATGCCATTTAAGTGCAAAGAGAGAATTAGAAATTTGATAATGAAAAAAATATTTTGTAAAAATTTGCCTTAAAGGTACTCTCAAATTACATCTTTACTAATTTGCCTTTTTATGACAGTAATATTTGCTATGAAGTATATCCTGCATCTTCATATTAGAGTCTGAAAATCAATGCAATATTGTGTAGGTGTTGTATACGGAGTTATTTCATATTCCACCAGACATAAAGTAAAATGCTTGATTTCTAGCTTATTATACAGTAGAAAAGAAAATTCAGAATAGTATATGATTGTTATTTGTTTAACAATTGAATTAATGGACTTTTTGCATTGTCAGATTTTAATTCTTTATTGCAGAATGCAGAATGTAGCTTGGCCTTTTGTGTAACAGAGTACTGAACATGATTATACTGAAGTCAATTGATAATTTAGTAATATGATCATATCATCTGCATCGAGCCTTATTGAACTGAATCAATTTAGAGGTGTTTATAAGCAGATAAAAGATCACTCACTGTCACTACCATGAAGTCATCCACACTTTCCATGTAAATATAGACCATGTAACCGTAGTAGAACAAGATATTGGTTCACTAGGGAAAACAACTACATATCCGATACATATTATCACCTACATTGTAGCATCCTAAGCCTGTACTATCCACTCGTAAAGAGGAACTCTGATCAATTTTTAAAGGATAATGACTTTGTGAGTCGTGAAACCAAAGGCTAGTAGTACACCCTTGTTCTGCACACTCATGCAAATCAGTACCAGACATTGCATCAAGAGTATGGTACCGTTTGAGTGTGGTGCTGCATAGTTTTCATGGTACTGTTTTAAAGTGGGTACAATATTCTCATTTTCATAGACAAAAATTAGTCAATTTTTCATGATTTTTCTCAGGTGGGTGCGAGCCAATTTTCAAAATCTCAGGTAGGTGCTGCGCCCACTTGGTTTAATGCTGGGGAGATCACTGCATATGGTACCATATTTCACAGTACCATACAGTATTGCCAAAACAGTACTGTACGGTACTGTTGGAGATTGGTTGTACATGTAGATGAAGCTCTCTTTTAAATAAGTAAATTCAAACTATTAATAATTACATAAGCCTTAAGACCAATGATCATCTCATTCCTCAGTCTACTTGACTATTTATCAATTACTCAGTTAGGTAATATATAGGACAGTCCAGACAATCTGCGGAAATATGGATATTGCCTATTGATTAACTAGAGCATCTCTCTCAAACCATTTTTCTTTCCTTTTCTGGAAAAATTGGAATGTATATGTACAGTCATGCCTCTAGCCAGCTTATGTCAAGGGGGGGGGGGCAGTTTTAATGTACAGTTACTATTTTTCTCTCATCTTTTTTAATTTAGACACATATTTTTGTAATTCATTTTAGATTTAGTTAAAGTTAAAGCTAGGGCTGCCATCATTAGTCGGAACGTCGACTTGTCAGTCAAAATGCAAGTTCGACAACGAAGTCGACAAAATTCCCGTCATGTCGACAGCAAACGATATCAATACTTACTTGAAAATATCCAAATGGCCCCAATACATTTCAATACACATTTCAACGTGTTATGTGCGCGTATTCTGCGGAAATATTGTTCACATTCATTTCATTTTCAAAAAATAAATTCACCCGGAAGTTCCCTTCATGACTTCTCTTCTCTCTTGCGAGACGTTGTACGAGATTTCGCCCGAGCAGTCGAAATAAATCCCGGTCGAAACATTGCAGGTATTTGTCCCATTTTCGTCTATAATATTCTATTAACTTGGCATTTAGTAACAATATTAGGCAATTACATACCAATATGAATATAAGTTATATGAAGCTTTTCCCCGATAGTGTTTAATTTTTCTTTTTTTCTTTTTTTCCCGATGATTTTTTCTCCCTGGAAAGTTCGATTGTTCGATTGTCGACAATATTTTCGACAGCAGAGTTCGACTGTCGACACTGACATTTGAGTTCGATGGCAGCCCTAGTTAAAGCCCAATATTGATTCAAAAAAAGTTTTAACTTTCCAGTTAAACATATTTTGGATCAGACGCAGTATTGTACCTTTTTAGGTATGATAAAAAGGATGCCTAGATTAGTTTGAAGTTGAATAAGTGAAATATAATATAAGTTACATAAATATCCCATATTTATTTCTCAAACCAGATCTGTGCCTTTATAGGAGAAGAATGGACTGATGCAAGACTTGTGACAATTTCATTTTATTGTTGCAATTTGCAATGCTTATGCTTAACTTTTTCATATGTTTATGTAGCAGTGATCTCTCCAGCATTAAAGCAAGTAGGCACAGCACCCATCTGACATTTTTAAAAAGGCCTGCACCCACCTGGAAATTCATTTGCACCCACTTGAAAATGAGAAAATTCATGAGAAATGGGCATATTTTGACCAGATTTGGTCTGAATTGTGAAAATGAGAATTTTGCACCCAATTCTGAGAAAAAAGAACATTGTGTAGGGTGACCATAAAGTTTCTTTCCAATATATTATCATACTAAGTCTGTGTATAGTGTAAAGAGACTTTATGGCCACCCTGTATATTATTTTGTTTACTGGGCTGTCAGTAGTATTTTGTAAACATTGAGTCACGCTTGCAGCTCTTTTTTTTAGCAAAGTGAAGTCGAGCTCTTGACAAAGGACTATTATTGATCTAAGTAACAATTCATCCATGGTTTCATTAGATTAAAATTTTGACTGACACTTGTTTATCTATTTCACAAAAATTTTACTAGATGAAAACGGTCTCACATCCCGATCTACCAAGAAGTGATTCAACTGTCACATTTGTTTAATTTCATCTCATGGGACGTTCAGTTGTGACATGCCTATCTGTCAGCCTCTGTGGCACATTCGATATTATATACATGCCATAACTACAGATAACTTAAGCTGACATTTATATAAAAACAAACCATTAACCTATTTACCATAAACACAGAAACGTCAATAATAGTAAAGTACATGTAAATGTCATCTTACCCCATGTTGACGACTGGCCTCGTTCAGTGCATTCAGCCATGCTTGTAGGAAGTCTGGTGTCGTCGTATAATGCAGGTACAACCAATTCACTGCAGAGTTTACCCACTGGCAACTCTCTCCGAAATTTGGACTGGAACCTTCGCCAGTTTCTGACCAGCGAGGCTTCGGTTTCTGCCAATCTTTTATCTGCTTTCCAAACAACGAAAACACCACTGTCAACACGCCATATGACACTACTGTCAAAACTACTACTCCAATGAAGAAAGCATCCAAGAGATCGACCTTTTCCCAGTCCATGGTTGTGTACCAAGTTTGTGCATTGCTTGCTGCATCAGCCATGTTGGAATAAGTTTCACCCAACTTGTACCACACTAACCTAGCTGTAATATCAACCATGATGGACCAATCAGAGCTCAGCAACCGGTAAGATAAATTTAGGGTATCATGTTCTACTATTGCCAAAACGGGCTAAAGCCTACTGACGTCAGGAACCGCTAAATTATGATAACATCCTATCTATTTTTGGAACGGCACTTTCCGATTGAAAATTTTTTCTCCAGACTCGTTCTGGTCTGATTTCAAATCGAGGCTAAGGGGAATTCCCCGAAAGTGAAAGTGGGCGTGGCATACTTGTTGTTTTAGGGATTGATCATTCAGTAAAAATATCAAGGTTGAAAATATATATATACTTTTTATGTACACGGGGCGAACATATGACATTTCGAATTAATATTACAATTGCAAACTATTGAATTGAGTTAAAGCCAGCCTCTACAGCCTAAATAAATACCATTGCAGTATGTTAGTGTTGCCATCTTTGTATGCTTATAAAGTATCCAACTTCAATACCTGGGAAGATGGTGCCACAGGCCCGGGGCCACAGGATGGAGTTGAAGCTGTGGTATTCCTTAAAGGGTCCAAAACAAATTATGATTAACCATGCCCCTCTCAAATTCTCTATACAACTCAAAAAAGGCACGAGATATATATTTGGGGGGAGGGTCAGCAGGGGCGGATCTTTGGGCCCCTAGAACCAAAAAGTGGGCCAAAATTATGAGGCACATTTTCTTCAAAATTTGACCTAAAATTAAAAAAAAAAACCTTAGAAGGCCCATTTATGACCAAAAAGAACCACTTTTTGTGGCCTAAGGCCTTTTTTAGCTCAAAGTTTTTTGGGCTTAATTTTTTTTCTGGGTCCATCCAAAGGGGGGAGGGCAGCCCCCCAGATCCGCCAGTGGGGTCAGGGTCAGAGATTTGATGAAATACCATCAGTATCCCTGACCTCGGACCAGTTACCAGTGCAGTACTAACATTCTTGACGCACTCTTGTATTTGTGCGACATCTATATAAATACACATTATTTAAATTGTTGTTGCAACATTAAAGGTCATCATTTCACTGTCATCTTTTAAGACAGCGATCAGGTGCATCTGTCGAAGTTTACTAGTATAGGTGTCTCCATGCTAGTTTAGAACAAACTAGAGATCTATATCTGGGACACGATAATAATACCGGTCGTCCCGTTTCTTTGTCTCTGAAACCAATGTGATCTTGTTTTAGCGTAAATAATAGATGACATTAGGGATTAGAATTTCACCTTCCTTTTGAATATGGATGCCCTTCATTCAAGTAATGACTTTTACTCTGCCCATATGAATAATGCACAACCACCATATGTCAGATTTATGTAGAGGGCTGCATGTGCATAGATCTCATTCTACTTCTTGGAGAAGAAGACATTATTATCGTCAATACACGACCGGTGGACCGGGAGTTACGCTGCAAAAGACCTAAAAACTAATCAACTGTCCTATTAAAGAGACCACGATTAAAAGTAAGTTTCGAAAAATTGTCACAATTTTACTCTTTTGGTCTATCATTCTTTCTCCTGCCTATTTTTTATTTTTTCAAAAAACTCACCAGTTCTGACTTACTATCAAGATAATCATTTTTAATGTTATATGGCAATCCAGGGCAATCATACATTTTCAATGAACCTGTATATTTGATCACTTTATACATCCCAATTCTTTTTCAGACAATACAATTGAAATAAAAGGAGATATTGGATTGCTTTTTTTGATTTTCCCAACATTTTGCACTCTCTAACAACACATCTGTAACTGATGAATCGTTTTAATTAGGATATCTATATCGTTTATATTATCTATTTTAGGAATCAGTATTAAAATAATGAATATTCGAATGTTTGAAAACAATTATATTATTTTCGGTAAATACCAACTGTAAAAAAGTGAGAAAAATCTGTTGAATTAAATCTTCCACTAAGCCCTTGTTCAATGGGCAGACACACTCAACCTTGAGCGTGTTGGAGACAAATCGAAACCCAATGACAAATCCATTTATTCATTTCGGTGACAAGGTCAGGGTTACAACTGTTAAATTAAAGAGTTAAGTAAATAATTTCAAATTGTTAAAAGCATAAAAACATGAGATTCTTTAGATAGCATTCAAGTTCTTTCAATATTTTGATGGGTTGAAATTCCTCGTCCATTTGTCGTGTTCTTGTATCCGGGTAGGTCTTCGTTTATGTCGTATCTTGATAAACACGATCATAAAATATGACTGGTATATCAACATTTAATTACTGAATCCTAGGTTCCATAGCTCTTATTTTCTCCGAAAGGGAACTAGATCCCTTTCCCTTCGCATTCGTTCGACTTCACTTCTTAAAAGAGAGCTTCATCTAGTTTATAATAGACTCTGCACGCAGGGTGAGATCAGAATAAACTTTAGCTATCACTGACTCTTGAAAAATGGACACGGACCTCAAATTGGAAAATCTCGGCTACTTTATATTGAATTCTGCAAGATGATAATTGTTGATAAACTATGTCGTCTCATTTTTCTCATCCGTGAGATGTGACAAAAAGGTTGTGCAATTGTTGACAATATATTTTGTCCCCTTTTTCAAAAGATTCACTTCTCATTATAAAAAGTGGCTCTGTCTAGAATGTTACAATTGCTTCGGGGGTAAACAGTTAACGTTTTGACCCTTTTTATCCTCTCTTTCATTTTAACAGTATGGGAGGTTTTAATTACAAAAAATCCTTTCATTTGTACGTGAATAGAGGTTTATCAGAACAAATATCAGAATGACTTTTTCGGAGGAAAGAAGTTCAATATTGATCTATCAGTCTCTATTCGACGCAAAATAAAATAACACTGTCTTGTGTGTGTTTCTTTGTATTGCCTCCACAGAAATAAAATACTTTGTGAAAAAGTCTTTCGAAATAAAAAAGGCAAAAGTAATTCAAAGAGATTTAACTTTAATACACTTACAACAAGCGTTTTCATTAATTGAAATAATTTTTGTGGTACTCAAGGAATCGCATCTGGGGATACAATAAAGATTTCTGAATTCCACTTGCAGTTTCAATAGTTTAAAAACCTCAATGTTTAATATACTACAAAGACTGTAAAGCACTTGACACGAACGAGTCCTAGAAGAATACATCTACTAGAAATGAAGTCCCATACCTATTAAATATCGAGTGGGATTTGCTGTAAACTCTTTGATAATAGGCGTAAAGCAAATTTACTTTTTATTTTGCATTTAGAGTTGGAATTCCATAGAAGGAACAAGTACATGTGATTTGACACAGTTATCGTGAGCTGACCATTGACATAGGACACTGGAAGTTTGGAACACGCGATGATACTTTTAAAGTTGAGATATCTTTCCTGTATTGTGTTTCTTATCGTAGAAACATTCACGCAAGGTGAGAGGTGGCGTTTTTATTTAAATGTTTACCGTAAGGTTAAGTTGAACAATGGTATTTTACAATATTTTTCAAGTTCAAAACTTGTTAGCATATGCTTTTGTGTATAGCTTTTCTGCTTTTTGGTTCCTTGCGTAAGATAGATTCAACTAATGTACAAGGTTCAGGGGCTTAGACAGCAATGGTCAGGGGGGGGGGTGCGATTTTTTTAGAATATATGGTGGTCACTAATCATTTCAAAAGTTATAATTTGTTAAGTTTTTCAACAAAGTATAAAAGTGATGAAATGATACGGTAATGCTAATTGTATTCTTTGTGCGACCAGTAAAAAGTTGAAAATACAGTCCGGGCACATCCCTATGAAAACGTGGTCACTTGTGCATCTAAATGAACGGTAATGGACCTTGGAATGAATCAAATGCCCCACGGCCTTGTGTTTGGATTATGATAATGGTTCTTGAATGGTGTGCATGCGTGTGCATGTGGGGGGGGGGGTATTGGATAGGATATCGTTTCTTGACAGGTTAGATCACAGTTTGGGATATTTGGGGTTTGCTTTCCTTCGGACTGGTTGCATTCTTAGATATTTCATATACTATATTTTATTTTTTATTTTTTGTTACCAACAAAAGTGGTGACATATTGTCATAGTCTTCAGTAGTGACCAGCGGTTGGCATCTATGACAAATGGCAGGTGGTGACATTTTGCATGCCAGTGCTTTGTGTAACACTTTCTATCCGTTTGGCACGTGTGCATACTTAGTACAATACTTGTTGCCAATTGATCCTCAGTCATTAGAACGCAAGTTGGATACGGAAAATTTGAGTTAACATTTCAGTTCGCTTTGTTTTAGAACTCTCTCAGGTCGGGCGACCCCTAGCTCCTGCAACTTCCGATCCACCCACTGATGGAGGAAAACGCATATGGATGGACAATACCACACTACTTCCGGCAAGTCAAGTGCATGCCTTTAAGGTTTACATGCACCAAGACGTGCCGGAGGACCAGCCCCTAGGAGCAATCTTGCAACTGTGGGAGGTCGTCGATCCGGCAACTCAATCAAAAGGCCCTGTCGCCAAACTGGTTTACGCCAAAGATGTCGAGCTGCCCAGAACTGAAGGGGAACATACGGTATGTACAGCGTATTCAAAAAACCCAGTTTATGATTTATCAACACACATTGGTAGGCCGCTTGAACTATTCTCACTTCAATTTAGTTCCCATGGTCAAGGCACGGGAAGATTCTTAGGGTCGGTTGTCATGGCCACTTAGATAAAGAGAAATCGATTATCTAAATAATGACCACTTTTTTATTTACTTTGCTGCCGTCCACTCCTAGCCTCTATATTGTCATAGCAGACCACATCATTATGCATAACATACACTCCCCTCCATAAGTTTGGCAACCTTTTTTTCCCCATTGAACTACGTGTTAAAGCCTCTTTACGTTTGAATTTTTATTTACTTAACCGGCGATGAAATAACTTATAATATTGTTGGAAACGTAATTTGACTTTATTTCCAATACCTCCAAATTTTCTCAATTTTTTTCCTCAATTACAATAGGTCGAAAATTGATGATAAATTTGATGAATTTTTGAAATTCGTCATTCCCATGTAATCCAATGGGAAATGGAGGGTTCGGGGCAAATCAGAAATCAGGATATCTTTTCAGTAAAAGATTCAGCAAAAAATATTTTTATATAGGAACACTAAGTGTTTAGTTTATTTGATGAATAATAAAGTTACAGCGCTTCAAAGTCATTTTTGAAAATAATTTTTCGCCTCCTGTGTTATTTCAATGGGAGAGGTTTTTTGAAAAACAATTTTGACTTTAAAGCCCTATAACTTTGTTGAACCTGAAGAAACATATCAATTTTTTGTTAAATAAAGTTAGCAAATTCAATTGCTGCCTAACTCGTATTTTTGCAAGGCCTCGGATGGATGGATATTCTGTCATATGACTTGCGGCAAACCTACCATTTCCCATTGGTTAACATGGGAATGTCGATTTTCAAAACTTCATAAAATTTATCATCAATTTTCGACCTATTGTAATTGAGGAAAAAAATTGAGAAAATTTGGAGGTATTGGAATTAAAGTAAAATTACGTTTTCATCAATAGTATAAGTATTTTCATCGCAGGTTTAGTAAATAAAAATTCAAAGGTAAAGAGGCTTTAACACGTAGTTCAATGGGGGAAAAAAGGTTGCCAAACTTATGGAGGGGAGTGTACATCGATTCTGTTTGCTCCATGTTAAATCCTATTTGACTTTCAGGTAACACTTGACGATAAACCAATTGTAAAGGCGGGAACAAGGATAGGATGGACTTTGAAGCAAGAGAGCTTCCCTTTCAGTTTTTTCCTTGATCCTAATAGATTTACGTATTATAAAAAACTGGAAGGGGACGCCGTTCCCTCAGTTGAAAGCGCCTATGAGTTTGATAAACTGCCCTTCAATGCTTGGATGTCAGTAGCTGTTCTGCTAAGTACAGGTTTGTTATGTCCTATGACCGGCGATTGGAGTTATAAATCTCTACAAAAGAGGGCACTGTATAGGTACTTCTTTGTTTCTGGCGTCATACCCATATATCACTAAGAAGTGAAAAAAGAATAATAAATTTGATTGAAGAGTAAAGCAAACTTAATTGTGTTTAAATGTTGCTGCAAAATGTCACTACCTGCCTTTTGTTACAGACGCCATTTGTTACAAACGTCGGACATCAACAAAAAAGTTGGAGACTATAACAAAAATGTGGCTATGTCAAAAGTGACATAAAAATATTAAAATTCAACTTTATAGTGGCTTAATTCAATATGAAAAATTCGTTTCACACTACTATTGTATACGGGTAGTAAAGATATCGAGCGCTGAAATTGAAAATATCCTGATTACTTTTGTAGATATTAATGAATGCCTGATCAAGAATGGAGGATGTATGCATCTCTGTAACAACACTGCAGAGGGACCCATCTGTTCCTGCCTTGGTGGCTATGACCTCAGTATGGATACTAAAGAGTGTATAGGTAAGATGTCGGTAACTTCCTTGTGTACACCAGGTACTCTGAGCGCAGGGTTTAGTTCCAAATGAACGACGGAGCTCCATATGAAGAAGCTATGTCAAACGAATGCAACGGGTAACCCTAGTTCACCGTGTCCATCAAGTACATGTACCTACAATAAAATCTGAGTACAGTTGTGCTTTTTGTTTGTGCTGATGGTAAACAACAATGGATTCTTTCAATGTGCCGTCCTACTGTATTAGGCTACCCATTTAGCAACATAAAATGTGTTTTTCAGATATTGACGAGTGTTTAACAGAGTGCCCCTATCCCAGAGGATTATGCTTCAATAACCCCGGCAGCTACAACTGCATGTGGTGGAGGCTTTCGGGTAAAAATCCTTTTCTCATCTTATTGTTAGAGTAAAAACGTTTACAAATTGATGCATTACTGCCATTGCTATCGATATACACATGCTGCTAATGATTAGTTTGGTTCCACTTACAGCAAGTCAAACAGGCACCAATCCACATGATGTTCAGATACAACCTCTCGTGCAGGATAACTCTATGGTCATATGGATGGTAGCGTTAACTATTATAGTCGCCATCTTAGCGCTCTGTAAACTTACTCACATCAGGAACTTTCTCAGAAGACGCCAGTCAAAGCAATGTAACGATGATGACGACGACTGCGCGTCTGACAAATATGATGCGGCGGACGCTAAGAAAGGTGAAATCATATCTGTTGTGCACGTTGACACCACTGGATTAGATAATACAGCGTTCGCAAGCGATATATGAAATAATGGCGCGGATAGTATTAATTGAGCATTTCTTCAGTGTGGATTGCAACAGGATGACGATATGCATCAAAGAAAATCATATTCCAGTATCCTCCTTTTCACTTCACACAATTTAGGCCCAGGCTACCAGAGACCTCATTCGGTTACCCCATGGTCTCGAACAAGTTCCAAACTAAAATTGAAATCGTTCAGTCTGAAATTTTATATTCTGTCTTATGCTATGTTTATTGTCAAAACCTCATCTTCAACACATGAATTGTTTTTATTCACAGTGACGTATTACGAACTTTATGATGAGAATTTTCCACATACAACCACCCTCCCACCCTCATATGAACTAAGTAGAAGCATAGTTACAGAATTAAACATCGAGAGTGACAAATATTCTTCATACTATTGGAGTATATTCTCCTCTAGAATTAAAAATCGGAATGAAAAGAAATGATATAACAAAGAAAAGTTGTTTTCGCGTATTTTTGGGTGGTAATTCACAGAGAAAATGTTAACATAATCAGGTCAACCATCCCAATTATAAACTGTTATGTTAATTAGACTTAGAACACTGAATCCGTTATTATGGACATTTAGATTGAAAATGGAATAAACTTTTTGATTACGAATTTTTCTTAGTTTTACCCCTTGGTGTTGAAAGGGTCTATTTTTCAACTTTGTAACAAGCAAACCTCCCAACCGAGATCAAATTCATAAAGCTGACACTCTCACCTTTCCAATGAATGGTTTGAGTAAACTCCGGACTTCACTGGATTTCCCTATGTTATAGAGTAATTGCTTGTCACGAAAGCACGACGTTTTATATTATATTACATATCTGAGATAGATAATTGCACGTGACGCATTTATGCTTAGATAATAATATTTGTATTTATTATGACCACTTCCCTACTATAATATGGGTAATATGTTAGTTGAAATAATAATCATCGTAAAATAAATGCACTAATAAATGGTATATTGTTTGTTCACTTGACCAAGAGGAGTGTTAAGCCCAAACACCATTGCTATGGGGAGTTCATTAGCTTTCAAGCAGGAATCGAACTATACTTGTACAATCTTTTACCTCTTATGGCAGAGGTAGCTTTGCCTGTTGATTTTCTGGTAAATCCGCGATGGAGCAGATACAAGAGCCTACTATTAAAGGAGTCGCATATAACATTTTAGACTATATTCAGCGGATATTCAGTCAAGCATATCGACATCATTAAAATACGTCGTATGATCCCGGCAGCTCCACCATATGTGCCGATATTCTATTGTTTCATTCTATTGACAAACCCCCAGGGACAAACCATCCCAGAGACAAATAAAAGTGTCTCTAGACAAACTAAGTGATTTCGAGTCGAATACTTTGATATTTTATTTCCTTAAATCTGGTTCCGAATTGACCATGTTATGTTGGATGATTTTGAATCCCGAGTATCAGAGGCACCGTATACTAGTATATGATAGTGCCTTGGGCTTTTCATCTAGCACGCATTACCACGTGGTTATCCCGTACCAGGACTATAGTCCATAGTCCGGGAACAGGACAGGCCCGTAGCCAGGGGGGGTTCGCAGGGTTCGGGCGAACCCCCCCTGGCCTAAAATTCTTTCAAAATCATGCAGTTTTTCACCATTTTGAGCACTTTTCAAGTGATTTTGGCCATATTTGGGCCAAAATTGTCAAATGTGAACCCCCCCCCTGGAAATTTTTGAAAACTGAACCCCCCCTTGGCAAATCCTGGCTACGGGCCTGCAGGATAACCACGTGGTATCTCAAATTAAAATTTTCATGCTCCAGCACTTCAGTCAAAAGTCAGACGTTTCCACCACTACGTCGTTCTAACTGAGATTTCATAAGAGGGGGGGGGGTGCTTTTGCGTAAGGATTGACTTGATTAGTGAAACGATGGGGACATCTGATTCATTTCATTCCGTCTCTCTTTTGCTGTACACGATACCCTCTTCGTGAATCCAACACCCTCCAAACAATTTATTTACACAGGAACGCATCAAACGAACTGTAATATGCACGTTCGCTATTTCAGCGGATATTCAGTCAAGCATATCGACATCATCCGAAATTTACACGCAGTCAATTTAGTAACCCGGATATTCCCGCAATCCTTGGACAAAATCTTAAAAGTTTCACCATTTTTAGATATATTCACCCTTCAAGTGAGTTTTGTGGTTTGACAGGTGAATGTAAGTTGACATCTACGTCTAGTGGATTTATCTGGATGAGTAGGTAAGGCAGTAATTCAACCGACCAGTGCAGGAATGATTTTTAGTCTAGGCTAAAAATGAATTGTTTTTTTCAATCAAAATGAATGGACAGTGTTCCTCCCGAAACGTATTCGCCTAATGACGCCTAAGACTCTTATTTCATGGATAGTATGTACAAATAAAGCAAAAGTTTTGGGCAAAAAAATCTCTAAAATATCCAAGAAAAAGGGCCTCAAAATTTGGGCACTTTTCAGTTTTAGGGGCCCAAAATTTTTTTGGAGGAAGTTTTTTTCTCTGACCTGAAATTTGGACTCCCCCTTCTTGGTTCATGGATCCGACCCTTATATGCCTTATATCGTTGTGAGTTTACCTGTTATAATCTTCATCCTTCTGCCATCTTAGTCTATGTCCAATCATGGGCTCTATCAGAGCTCATGGTCCAATAGACTGAATATCGCGAGAATTGTTATACACTCACCATTCTTACTATTGAATTTTGGGTCAAAGTTGTCAAATTTGAAACCTTCTGGATTTGTTTAAAAAGTAAACCCCCTGGTTACGGAATAAAATCGACAAAGCATTGGATTATTGGAAAAGAAACTTTAGAAGTACAGTAAAACCTATGTACAGTGAAGCCACAATAATGTGTTCACTGTAGGTATCACGGTGTATAACCCAAACGCTCCTACATGCACGACGGAGCGTTTCATTTATGCGGAAACGCTCCGGAGCGAAATAAAATGGCGGCTAATGAAGATTCCACTACATGTATGACCCTAAGTATTGTTTCTCTCGTTTCTCTTACATATCATATGTTATGGTGAAATATTATGTACCATTCGATGAACAATACCGTGGGCAAAGATCTTATTTATTCAACTTCTGGTGGTAAACTGTTATTTGCTTGATCAAAGCTCCGTAGTGTAGATCGACCGAATCTGAAGATGACGATTTGACCACAAATTACGAATTAAACTAGTATTTCTATGAAAACGTTAATCTTTCTGTTAAAGTAGTAGATCACGAACTTGTATATTCTCATTTTCTAAAATCCCAGTCCAAATCCATTACTTGTTCTCGAGAAATCGCTTGTTTTCCTCGAAACGCTCCGTCGATTTAGAACACAATTTTAGAAACGCTCTTACCATTTTGTTTTGATATCATTTTCAGATTATTAGAGAAGAGTTCCGAATCGAATCTATCTCTCAAAAACGTGTTGTACTTGTCAGGCAAATTGAAACATCTGAACCTGGTGGTGCTAAACGTGCAGCTAGCTGATCTAAGCCTACATTATACGATGTCATGCCTACATGTGTGCTAAATCATAAAACTATAGAAAAAACGAAACTTAATATGTGAATTAATCTTTCTTCTTTTGATGCCAAGGGGTATAATAGATCTTTTCTTTCTCTTCCTGAAAAGGAAAGGCAAGCTATATATTTCCTAAACTGATCTACACTACGGGAGCGTTTCCAGTTCACTGTGTTAACCAGATCGGAGCGTTTCTTGAATATGAGAATGTCATCATTTTTAAGACTGGATTTTCGGTCATCAAATCACTATTACGATAATGTATGGTGCGTTGAAGCATTGGAATTTGACTAAAATATACGTTGGTGCTCTAATCTTGGCTCAACTAATCACATGTATCGATAAAAAGGGGTTTTGACCGGTAGAATGACAAATACGTTTTTGAATTTTCATAACTATACTGCTTCGTACAGCTCTTCCTAATTGCTTCAAACGTCAACAGCCAGCCAAGTACAGCATGAATATCACACCCATCAAATGGTATACTCGAAATATGTAACTCATACCTCTTATTCCTATTATTGGGGAAATCGTCAGACGGCTCATCATTCTCGCCAGCCAGTTTTCCTACTCCGGAGCGTTTCTTTGTTTAATTTCAGTAATGAAACGCTCCGTCGTGCATGTCGGAGCGTTTGGGTTATACACCGTGGGTATGTGTCACTACAGAGAGGGCAATTTATACAGAAGTCAGTAAAGTATATGTAAGAGGAGGGAAACCCCATGATTCAATTGATGACATAGGATTTCCTCCTTCGTGCACCTCCTTTCCTGGAAGCACTTAACCCTCCATCTTGGTTTTCAAATTGACCCAGTTTTAAACCAATCAACAATTGACTCGCTAAACCAATCAGCGACGATGTCATCTCAATACAGATTAACATAATAAGCGTATGTCATCTTTGAACCCTGGGGTTTCTCCCCCTCTGGTATATGTGGAGGATTGATGTCTTTTAGAGACAGGTGTCCAATAGGTGTTCTCTAAGACAGGTTTTACTATAATGTTTGTGTTGTGAATACGCAAACATGTGTGGCTTCATCAATCAAAAGTAATCATGAAGATAAAAGTATTAAAAACATAAGTTATAAAAATTATGCCTTAATTCTTGCCTCAATGCAAGGGTTTCAAAAGCCAGGTTATATATTGGTAGAACTTGGCATATTTCTCATCACACTTCTTCTAAAATATAATGGTTATCCAGTATTTTTATTTAAAAATTGGCCCCCACGTGATTAGTAACGTCACATACAAAATATAGCTTTGGTTTATTGGTACCTTAGTAATGACAACCTCACGGCATGATCTAATGGACCAAAACGGGCCAAGTGGGGACCAGTGAGAGATCACGTGGGGGCCAATAATGTCACAACCAATTCGAATATTGCTTATTTAGCAGCTATAACGATCGTTAGAGTGAAATAATTTTCACACGACTGATGAGAAAAAATGTCCAAATATATTTATCAAAAATTTATATTGATTCCTTTAGATTAAAAATACCATTTCATATCTGCTTTAACTTTCATTGTTTTGTTGCAGATGGTTTCTTGTTCTAGGCTATGATGCATCATGAATTGACAATAATAACATTACTTATATTTTGTCTCCACACTATATCAGGTAAGAAGATGGATTCTACTATTGTGTCTGTTTTATGCATTATGGCGACTTGAACAGGGCAACTTTTGACAATATAAATGCCTGAAGAACTAGATTGCATATAAACATGGTAAAGCAAAACATAGAATTTGGTTACTCTGGCCTTATCTTTTAACTGAATTATATTTTCCAGTCCATCTATGTGAGAAACCAACATTCTCACTATTCTGTGCAGACAGTCCAATGAGTCCATGTAATTTATAACTCTATCCATGTATTTTCTCATATTGTAGGTTTTCACACTGTTACAAAGTATGGCAGTGCAGTTTTGCGTAAGTTTGGCCAGGAACGTGGAGATCGACAGGTTCTACTGGATAAAGGCTATGAGCTTCCCGACTCTCGACTTTGTGAATTCAACTTCTTTGTGCACCCTGGAGGTACAAAACAATATAACCTTTTTTCAGTTCATTTCAAGTTAAACATTGTTTAGTTTTTATGTTACAAGATCAAGAGCTTTATTATGTCTCTGGGAGTTTCATTTACACTCATAAATTATAAAACTCAAATAATAATCCTTTGATCTAGACTTACCCAATCATTTTAAGTTGATCAAACCACAGTTATTCAATCAGACTTGCAGTCATGTAACATTATCCGTTCATAAGTAGCTGCTATTCATCTCATATGAAAATATCGCCATCAAAACTGTAAAAACTGTCGATCCTAGTTAGAGTGCAGCAATCACTTATAGCCTCTGGGGTCAGGGTAAGTTATGATTAAACAATTACTTAACATGTAAAATGTTGTTTTGGACAGGTACCCAAGACATGCTTGTGTATGCCCAGATCTGGGAACCAGTAGAGGGCGATGTGTCAGGCAGAAGTTATAAACTTGCGTATGAGACAAATGTTATTCTTCCAGCTGTAAGGGTTGAAGATGGAGGTTTACTTGTTGTTGTAAGTGTCGGTTTTGCTTTCAATATCCTTTCCTCTATATCTCTGGTAGTCTTGCATTAAGTCTGCTTCTCTTTAATAAGTGATATATGACATGATGTAATAGTCTCAAACTTTTTTATGGATGGTGTTTGGCAGTTGGTGTTCAGCAGTTGGTGGTCGGTGTCTGTAGGAAATGGCAGTTGGTGACATTTTGCATGTTAATGCCTTGTGTTGTGTGGATCTATTATGGTGATTGAACACAAGGGTTTGCTACATATTATAAACTGCAAGTTTTGGTCAACAGTGTTGATTAAATGCACTAAAAGCTTCTTTAATTATTAATTCTGTTCCTGTTGAGTGAGATTGAGTTCTTTTATTCTACAGAGCAAACCCATTTGATGGGAAATCTGTACATTTCCTCTTGATTTAATTTGATAAAGGTGAAAGTATGAATATTACATTTTTTCCACAGAACTGCGGCTTTAGAAATAAACCAAATTATTTGTCCCTTAACACAATGTTTATATTTTAGGCAAAAACTGACAATTTCCCTGTGGTAAAACAAGGATCCCATTTAGGCTGGACTCTGACAGATACGTTCAAGCCAATCAGCTATGATTCTTTCAGTGGCTTCACATTCCAGTATACTTTTGATCCCACCATGGTCATCTACCCCAAAGTTGGTGATGTCCTTCAGTTTGCTTCCTATATATCTGAGAATATTAATTCTGTTGCAGTCTTGGTTGATACAGGTAAAATAATTTATTCCTGTTTTCGTTTAAAAAAAACAATACATTTCAAGGGGACCATTTCCATTGTACTTGTACAATGAATACTGTAACTTGTCTATAAGTTTATGGTACAAACCTGTATAATTTCCCTCATGTGTTACATGCAATTTCAATGTTATTTTATCAAGTTTATTTCCTATATAGGTGACCATACTGTAGATGGTGAATGGTGTGTTAACACTACTCGGCAAAACTCATCTAATAGCAATACTACTACTGATGGAGATTCAAATACACCACAAAACTCATCAAGAAACAATACATCTACTGATAGAGGTTTTGATAACACCACTGATACCAATAATACTCAGGTAATCCAAGGAGCAACTGGACTGCCTGGTCCACCCGGTCCTGAAGGTGTAAAGGGAGAGAAAGGCCAGAAAGGGAGTCAAGGGCGTACAGGATCTTGGGGTGCCACAGGGGAAATAGGACAGAAAGGACAGCGTGGTTTTCGAGGTTTCCATGGAGCCACTGGTTCAATTGGATCAAAAGGAGACCCAGGTGTGGATGGGAGCACTGGTCCAAAGGGGTCTGAAGGTACCAAAGGTGTCAAAGGGGACACAGGGAAAATAGGAGCTACAGGGCCCATTGCTACGTCAGTTGCAGGAGAAACAGGTGCCACTGGGAATACAGGTGCCACAGGAGCCACTGGTCCCGCAGGCCCTAAAGGGATTACAGGTGCTACTGGACCAGTTGGGCCAGGTGGACCTAAAGGTGCTGTTGGGCAAAAGGGTTCAAGAGGATTTCCTGGTGATATAGGTGCCACTGGAACTCCAGGCACAAAAGGTACAACTGGTGCTACAGGTCGTATTGGACTAACAGGAGCAACTGGACCAATAGGAAAGGATGGAACCAGAGGTGCTACTGGATTTCCTGGACCAGGAGGTGCTACTGGACCAACAGGCCCAGCAGGGGCCACTGGACTAACAGGACCTAAAGGTGAACCAGGTTCTACAGGTACTGGAGGAGGTTCTGCATCTGTTGGTGCTACTGGGAGAACAGGGGCTACTGGTAGACAGGGAGAGATCGGAGCCACGGGCCCTATTGGCCCACCAGGTGCAACTGGAGCAGCAGGTAAGAGTCAGGGTCTATATAATCTTGCCTCTGCCAAAAGCCAATATGCCCTCAGAGAATAATGGAGAGGATAAAGTTTAATACAAGTCTAAAATATATTTGTACTGCATGAGTTTATATGCTTTAATTGATGCAACCATGTTCAAAAATTAAATTCAAGAGTGTTATTTTGTAAAGATAAAGTACAGGACATTTACATTCTTCTCGGACGGTGTATTTTACTTCATGAGGATATTTTTATTTTTATCATTTCTTGTTCTTGCATAAATAGTGTAAATAAAGCTTAGCAAATATAATGTCTTTACTGTTTAGGAGGAGTTGGTGATAAGGGCTCAATAGGGGCTACTGGTCTGACAGGATCAAAGGGAAACACAGGTGCTACAGGAAATACTGGATTATTTGGTGCTACAGGTCTTCCTGGATCTACTGGCCTCCCTGGAGACAAAGGTTCCAGAGGCAGACAAGGCGAGACAGGAGCCACTGGGCTTGTTGGTTCCACTGGGGCTGCTGGACAAAAAGGAGCTAAAGGTAATGTCGACACACTACACATATTTATATTTTAACTAAATTCAGATAGAGATCAATGAGAATGTATAAAATGCAAGATTTAAGAGAACAACTTGTGTGTTGATGCTAGTGAATCATGGGAATATCAAGTAACTGTGGATGAAGTCAATTAGTACATGTACTTTTGTATTATGTACATGTACTAAGTCATTAAAACTGCTTTCGTGTTAGATATTTCCATGTTCCTTTAGTTCCTATCCATATTGCCTTTCTATCCTCATTATTTCCTAAAGTCCTCTCCATTTAATGGAGAAAGTACACATTTATTCTATATTCAACTTGATAATATGAACTCATAGATATAATCAACATGCCAAGGTTTAATTCTACAATGGTTTTTACTGTAATCACATTATGAAAGTATCATATGCGGACCATGTGATTTACAGGTGCAACTGGAGCTCCAGGTGTAAAAGGTGAGCCAGGTACAGGTACAGGTAGTGGATCAAAGGGGAGTGCAGGACCTCCAGGAGCTTCAGGACCAACTGGCCCACCTGGAAGTACAGGAGCAACAGGACTTGCAGGTATGTCTGTTTATATGTGTGCTAAAAGAAACAAGTCATTATATAATCAAAAAATAAAATTGTTAAGTTGTTAAGACACAAGCCATGGCTCATTTGAAAGGTCTCTTTGTGCTTTTTAAGATAAACAAAAAATCAGAATTTTGAAAAAATCTGTGATAAGACCCCTTTTCCTGTGGCCTGGCTCAAATATGGATTTCAATAAACCATTTTAATTTTGCTCTATAAGAAGCCATACATTTCATTTGCTTGTAGGTGCAACTGGAAATGCTGGTGCCCCGGGTGTCAAAGGCGAGATGGGTGCTACTGGTCCACTTGGGGCAAGTGGGCCTACAGGGCAATCTGGTGCTACTGGTGTAACTGGAGCAACTGGGAAAACAGGACAGAAAGGTGAGTTGTAAAGCAGTTTTTAGAGTGCAATTTTGATTATTTAAATGACGTAATTTATATACAGATATTAAAAAAGTGGCGACATTCATCATTTGTTTTATCCACCATTTCTGTGACTCCATTTTTTTTTTGGAGTTACTGTAGTGTGTGAGGGTTCAGCATCTGTAACAAATTGTTATGTACCATTTCAAACATTGTTCTAACTTTTAAGCTATCACATTATCAATTATGGCATCATCATTTACCATTAAAATACTGAATATAGAAGCCTTAAAGGTGTTTTACATTTTATTACATTTTGTCTCTAATACCAGGTAGAAGTGGTGATACAGGAGCAACAGGATCTGCTGGGAAGAAAGGGGACACTGGAGAACGTGGACTTTCAGGAGCTAAAGGGGACCAAGGGAGTAAGGGAGAAATAGGAGCAACAGGAAGTCTTGGAGGTACAGGCCCAATAGGACGCACTGGAGCTACAGGTAGACCTTACACACAAATATCAATTTGTTCTGCATTACGTGTAAATCTAAATGTTTTTCTTACAGCTTGTATAAAGGACTGTATTGTCTACTTTTTTACTTACAAATAGTGCAAATGTATAAGTTACAAACACATCCCAATACTTAATATTGCTATTCAGGCGCCCAAGGAAAAATGGGAGCTACTGGGTCAAGTGGTCCTAAGGGAGAATTAGGGAACATAGGCGCTAAAGGTGATCTTGGTCTACCTGGAGCAACTGGGCCATCTGGATCAACTGGTAACTTAGGTGAGTGAACAGTTTGCACGGAGGACAAAATGAAATAAAGCCAGGAATTTCTGGCAAAATACCTACTTCCGCTGGGTTCACTGCTCAATTAAAACCAAATTGAATATTAATATATTTCCCAAATAGAGATTACGACATCCATATTTGGATGGTGTACTTTACATCCATTTCATATGTATTAAAATGTTGATGCCAATAATTTCATGTCATTTTAGATTTTTGAATATAGATTCTTTATGTATATTCTAAAATTAACTCTGTATTACTAAATGTCACTTGAGATTTTTCCCCAAAAAATTGAAGGTTGATTGTTTGACTGAATGTGTCTTAATCATTTTAGGAACAAGTGGGGCTACTGGTGCTACAGGCAGTCAAGGAACAAAAGGCGCTCTTGGTGCACCTGGTGACGTAGGAACAACTGGACCAACAGGATCTACAGGTCCATCGGGGGCAACTGGTGCACAAGGTCCAACTGGGCAGAGTGGGTTGAAAGGTGAAAAAGGTCTCACTGGCCAAGCTGGTGCTCCTGGTGTTCAAGGGGTGACAGGACCAACAGGCTCAACTGGTCTTCTTGGAAAATTGGGACATGAAGGTGCAACTGGAACCAGTGGAGCTACTGGAGTGACTGGTGCTACTGGAACGCAAGGTGCAATTGGTCCTAGTGGTGCAACAGGTGGACTGGGAAGACCCGGCCCAAAAGGTTCAACGGGGCCTAGTGGACCCATAGGTTCAACAGGACCTACAGGTACTGCAGGGCCAAAAGGGGACATAGGGGATCAAGGTACAATAGGTACAACTGGACCTACAGGAACAACTGGACCATCAGGTGCAACTGGAGTTTCTGGATCTAGTGGTCCTATGGGAGCAACTGGACAGACAGGATCTACAGGCCCTGTAGGACCAATTGGGCCCAGTGGAGCCACAGGGGCACAGGGAGCAACTGGTCCTACAGGAGCCAAAGGTATAAATGGCTCCACTGGACCTACTGGGCCTCAAGGAGGCTTAGGTGCAACTGGCATTTCTGGAGCCACCGGGCCTACAGGAAGTACTGGGGACATAGGCCCTACTGGTGCTACAGGTAAGTGCTTTCAAAGAAATATCAGATATGCATGAATATAAAGATCTCAAATGTAGTGTTCATTGCTGCTTTTTATGGGCGTTTTGTATAAGCTGAGAATCATATCTTTGAATAGTGTGAAGGTCTTGCTAAAGGTAAACAAAGATGGAATCAAAATCTAATCATGAGCCTATCAATTTCATGAGCCTATTAATTGAAATTGAATGATTTAAAAGGTCTGGTTGGTCCATCTGGAGCTACAGGCAGAATAGGAGGCACAGGACCTGAGGGTGCAACTGGAGTGACTGGTGCAACTGGCCCACCTGGTATAGGTGGTGGGTCACAGAGTGCCACAGGGCCAGCTGGTGCAACAGGACCAAGTGGTGCAACTGGTCCTACAGGTGCAACTGGAACCACTGGGTCTACTGGACCAACAGGTTCTATTGGACCCACTGGTGCAACTGGAACTATAGGTCCATTAGGACCAACTGGGAGTACAGGGTCTATTGGTTCTGCTGGGCCTACTGGTGCAACAGGAATCATTGGCCCAAGTGGAGCTACTGGTTCACAAGGTATCAAAGGGGTAAAAGGAACAACTGGTGTCACTGGTCCAACAGGGGCAATTGGAGTCACAGGAGCCACAGGATCTGATGGTGCTACAGGGCCTACTGGTAAAATTGGTAGAGAGGGATTAACAGGACAACCTGGAGCAACTGGTACTACTGGAGTGACTGGGGTGATTGGTGCCACTGGTCAAACAGGATCTACAGGTCCTTCAGGGGCAACAGGCTCTACAGGACCAACTGGACCTTCAGGAGGAAGGGGCCCTTCTGGGACCACAGGACCAACGGGTAAACTAAACTTATTATTTATTTGCGTTATTATTATATTCAATTTATGTTTAATCAAGCAGTATATACACTTTTATTAGGTGTCCACTGTAAATAATTATCCCATCGAACGAAGTTTGGAGGGATATAGGGAACGCCTCCGTCCGTCCGTCCGTACGTCAGTCCGTCCGTCCGTCCGGGCAATAACTCAAATACCGTTGGCCCGATTTTATTCATATTTTGTACACATATACCCTATGGGGGTAGAAGTTCTGCTTGAAAGCCGATTTTCAAAATGGCCGCTCATATAAAAATGGCGGCCATTTTAGTGCCGATTTTACAGTAATTTATGTGCAATATGTAAAACTGTAATAGCAATATGTTTTAAATGTAAAAAAAATTATATAGGACAGTAATAAAGCTAGAAATGTAGATATTAAAAAAGCACATGGCAGCCATCTTGAAAAATGGCGGCCTTTACTCGTTATTTTACGATTTTTGCTGTAACTCGAAAAGTAGTGGAGCGATTTTGTTCATATTTGGTATGTGAATACTATAAGCATGGCACACTGTCTAATGAAACATTTGGTAGAAGGTGGCCATTTTGAAAAATGGCGGACATTTTGAAAAATGGCTGCCATTTTAACTTATTTTACTATAACTCGAAAAGTAGTGGAGCGTTTTTGTTCATATTTGGTACGTGAATACTTATAAGCATGGCACACTGTCTAATGACACTTTTGGTAGAAGGCGGCCATTTTGAAAAATGGCCGCCATTTTAACGTATTTTACTATAACTCGAAAAGTAGTGGAGCGATTTTGTTCATATTTGGTATGTGAATACTATAAGCATGGCACACTGTCTAATGAGACTTTTGGTAGAAGGCGGCCATTTTTCAAAATGGCCACCATTTTAACGTATTTTACTATAACTCGAAAAGTAGTAGAGCGATTTTGTTCATATTTGGTATGTGAATATTATAAGCATGGCACACTGTCTAATGACACTTTTGGTAGAAGGTGCCCCTTTTGAAAAATGTTCGATGGGATTCGCTACGCTTTGGCGTTGCCGTTGTTCTGGTTTGTATTTTGATTTATTGTTATATGAAGGAAATAAGAAAAAACAAAAAAACAAAAAAAACTTGAAATTCAAAATACATACAGTCATATACCTCTGAATATTATCTGTTTTATCCCTTCACATTTTGGTAGTTCTCTTGGAATGGCATAGTAAAAATAAAAAGGGCCTAGATCTAAGAAGTGGTTTAAAAATTGTTTTAACTTCATCTTTAGTATTGCTTTTAATCTTAAGTGAATGAAATACAGTGTTAGTGTCCTTTATAGTAACCTATGTCTTCAAAGTGATGCTGCTGGATCTTTGCCATGAACTGATTACCTTTTACAAGTAGACCATAGTAGATGCTGACGATGAATAACTTTTTACCGTAATTTGAAATAGGAGTTCCTGGGCCAAAAGGCTCTATTGGTCTTACTGGACAAACTGGGCCTTCTGGTGCTACTGGAGAGATGGGGGCTACAGGTCCAGCTGGAGCAACTGGTGTTACTGGATCTACTGGACCTGATGGTGCAACTGGACCAACTGGACGTATGGGGATCCCTGGCTCAACTGGACCAACTGGTTAGTACGAAATATAAGTTAAAGGCTCAGAATGATGTTACCCTAATAACAATAATTAAGGGTCCATTCTTGTAATTTCAGGATAAAAATTAGCAAATGAGGGTCAAAAGAAGATGCTTTTTGCAATAGAGGTTGAATACAGCATTATAAATAGGGAATAAGAATTTGATAACATGACAGGATTTTGTTAAATAAAATATTGATTTCAGGATGTATCTAATATATAATACTATCTTTCAGGATATTATATAATAGTAGTAAGTTAACTATTCCAGGTTCAACTGGTAGTTTTGGTATGACAGGAACCACAGGGTCTACTGGTCCTACGGGCAGTACAGGACCCCAAGGTATAGTAGGGCCTAGTGGTTCAACTGGAAATACAGGCAGTCAGGGTACCAAGGGAGACACAGGAGCCAAAGGAGCAACAGGGCCAACTGGTGTAACTGGATCAGTAGGAGCCACAGGACTTACAGGTGCACAGGGGATAGCTGGCTCTACTGGACCCACTGGTGCTACTGGTGTCACTGGATCAACTGGTGCTTTTGGTATGACTGGTCCCAGTGGTGCTACTGGTGTGCCCGGAGCTACTGGTCCAACTGGATGGACGGGACCTACTGGAATGAGAGGAGTTACTGGGAGTACTGGACCTACAGGTGAGTGGGAAGTCATTATCAATACGTAAATGAAAACCATTTAATGTCAATATATAAAATTGTAGATTCATGAATTTCATAATGGATTTCAGTAATATGTCCCTGCAGGCATTTACGAGTCTTCAGCAGTTATAGAATCAAGTTATAATTATACCAAAAATGAACCTCTCATAAAATATTCAATTTTTTTGGCTACCTGTGTAATCACAGGCTCCAGTCCTTTGACTGTCTTCCCATCTGCCCAAGCATCTGTTTCCCAGAGTGCGGTATAATTTTTTGCAAAACATTGTCTTATTTTGGCCCAAATTTTCCCTTCTGATTCACATTACATGATGAGACTAATTATTGATTTGATTTGATCTGATTTCTGGGTCATATTCATTCATCCAGATATATTATACGGGTCATACTTATCCATGATCTTTTTTTGTAATAGGACCTACTTTTGTGATTGGACTAACTATTGCAATTTGTCTTTTTTAAAAATGAGCATAGAAAATAAAACAAAAATAATGAACGTTTTTGAAGAGTCTACCTTTGGTTATGTGTACATAAAATAGTTGTTGAGCTCAATGAATGGTGCTATATTGTTCATATTAATTGGGGTACAGATGTCAATTTATGCGCTACTATCTAATACAAAAAGAACTTGAATATACACTTAATACTCTCATATTCTAGGGGACACTGGGCCCACAGGTATTGCTGGTCCAACTGGAGCCACGGGTGTACAAGGTCAAAAAGGCAGGGGAGGAGGAACTGGTCCAACTGGAGCTACTGGTCCAACTGGAGCTACTGGCTTTCATGGAGCTACTGGTGTGACGGGGGTAACTGGACCTCAGGGTGATAAAGGAGATTTTGGGGCCACAGGTATAACAGGAGCAACAGGAGTGAGAGGGGATTTTGGTAAATCAGGGGCAACAGGCGCTACTGGACCTGTAGGGCCAATAGGAGAAGAGGGGCCCATTGGTGTCACTGGCCCAACTGGAACAACTGGACCAACTGGCGTGAAGGGTGTTTTGGGAGCCACAGGGCCTAGTGGCGCCACTGGTGATATTGGCCCATTAGGTCCTACAGGGGCAACAGGCCCAAAAGGAGTGGAAGGCCCCAAGGGCAACACTGGGCCTACAGGTGCTACAGGACTGACTGGAACAAAGGGCATACCTGGTGGAACTGGACCAACAGGAGCTACTGGGGATCTAGGTTAGTCTTAATTGTTATCCCTGCCAGAGTAAATACAAATAAATTATAGATATTAACTATCATCAGTTGCAGACAAATATTCAAAATTAGAACATATTTGAATAATACATACATGTATTAATGTTGTGATAATCTGGAAAAACAAATGAGATGCTATCTTTGGGGAATTTTCAATTTCTAGTTACCACTTTTTAACATGTACCTTCTCTTCTACTCCTAAAGTGTTGGTAATGATCCCTAAGTAAAGTAAATCCTAATGTTCATGTTATGTAGGTCCAATTGGTCCAAGTGGAGCCACAGGAATCCAAGGAGCAACTGGTCCTACTGGACGAAAGGGAGATATAGGAAAAGTTGGGCCCTCTGGAGCCACTGGGATAACTGGGGATCAGGGTATAGAGGGTGCCACTGGACCCACTGGTTCACTAGGGCCATCTGGTCAACAAGGCTTACAAGGACTGAAGGGGATTCCTGGGGCAACTGGTCCTCAGGGTAAGATGCTGCAACTTAATATTATACAAATGAGATATAAAACCATTCACTGTTAATATTCCTCATTGCACTATTCCACATTGAACATCAATGAACTACTGTTTGTTCCAACCCATCTTAGGGAATGACATATAGGAAAACCTGTTAGGTGGAACACATTTGTAATAAGGGGAACAAATTTTTTTCATAACATTGATATTTCATGAACCTCCAAATAGAACACCTGGAAACTGGAACACTAGGTGTTTCCCTTACATAGATTTTACAATGGTATAGACTAATTCAAAGTCTGGATAGCACATCACAAAAATGAGCATGACATTAAATGTTAGTACCATATTTGTTTAAATTTTAGTTTTAATTAATTTTAGTTTTAATTAATTTCAGGAGGAACTGGACCCACAGGATCATTTGGTCCATCTGGTTCTACTGGTGTAATGGGAGCCACTGGACCAATTGGACCTAAAGGTGAACCAGGTGTGCAGGGCCGATCAGGGCTGATAGGGAAAGATGGCGCTACTGGGCCTACAGGTCTTAAGGGAGATGTAGGTCCTACAGGATCAACAGGTTTGTTATTATTGTTATGTATCCAGGGGAAGATTACCAGATTTTTTTGTAATATTTGTGTCCTATTAGCTTAAACCTCAATGTAAATGCTCAGTTGTGATTGGTCAAAGATCAAAGAGTGGACAATCGTATTTGACAGTTCATTGAAGAGATTATACTAGAATGATGAAAGGTGAAATAATTTAGGTAGAAAAGTGAGCCTTATCAAAAGAATAATTGCAGTTTGCTGCAGTCTTGGTTAGTATAATTTGATATCATTCTGAGTCAACCTCTGGTGATTTTTGGATTGGTGTTTTCAAAAAGAAGGATTGGGTGTTGTATTTCTTGACTTATTTTTTATCATTTATTCTTGAGAAGACCAGACTGCATTATTTGAGTTTTTATCGCACCCTTGGGTGCTATATTGTGATTTAAGTTTGTTTAATATTTAATGGCACCTAATTGTTTATAACAATTTCTAGCTTTAATCCAACTTTGATGAAATAACTTTTTGCTTCAGGTATTCAAGGTGCATTGGGAGGAACAGGTCCCTCTGGTGCTACAGGTTCACAAGGAGTACCTGGAAACAAGGGAGATAAAGGTGATATAGGTCTCATTGGAATTGATGGTGCAACAGGTCCAACAGGTGTGAAAGGTGATATAGGACCTATTGGGCATGAAGGAGCAACTGGTGTGTCAGGGGCTACTGGTACTACAGGCCTAAAGGGGATCCCTGGCTTAGATGGCGCTACTGGACCTAGTGGCCCATTTGGTCATAATGGAACAATTGGGGTTACAGGACCTACAGGGCAAAAAGGGGAGTTGGGGTCAGCTGGTTCTAGGGGAGATCCCGGACCACCTGGAAAGGATGGGTTAAATGGAACCAAAGGAGAGCCGGGAGACCTAGGTATGTAGAAATGTACATGTATACACATATGTTGTAAATTAAAAAATCTAACTGAATTTTCAAATAGTCCAGAGCAAGTAATTCCAGTTGTTAGTTATTTTCCCCATTGTTTCAAATACAGAAAAACACTGAAGAATAAACAGTCTGTTAATGAGTACAAAATTAATGCCTTTAGAAGGAATACAGTATGTACAGTGTCTCTATGGATGTTTGAGAGCAGTGTCTTTTCCAGCATCTCCAAATGGCACAGAAGTTGCTGGTTCACTGGGGCCTACAGGAGCAACTGGCCAACCTGGTGTCAGAGGCTTGGCAGGGCCTCCAGGGATAGAGGGTTCTACTGGACCTACTGGCATAAAAGGTGCAAAAGGGCAAATTGGAAATCCGGGTTAGTGTTAACAAAATTATGATACTATGTATTGAAAACATTTCTGATTGGTTTCTTTTGTTTTATCTGGTTTTCACTATGTACTGTACTAAAAGTGATTAACTTTTAGAAGACAAGTAGTCTGGGATAAAATACCATTTGGATTTTTATTTTGTTCAGAATTCAAGGCTATGCTGTACAATGTGAGTCAGTCACCCAATTGTTTATTTTTTCCACCTGTTATAAATGAGTTCACTGTTCAGTTGGTTGAGAAAGCATTATTCTATTTCACAAGTTCACGCAATAAAGGTTCATTTGGACAGTTTTGAAAGTTTCACTTTTTCAATATTTATCAAATGAACTTTTAAAAAGACAAAACAGGAGATGTTGCTAACATGTACCCTGTATTACAGGCGCCATTGGTGCAACTGGACCAACTGGTGTGAAAGGGGTTCAGGGGCTATTAGGTGTGAAAGGTAACAATGGAACTTCTGGCCATCCAGGTCCTGCAGGCCTTAAAGGTTCAACTGGCAGTAAAGGAGAACCGGGTAGTGAAGGTGCACAAGGTAACTACCATAGTATTAGAGTGCTCATATACAGGTATATAAGTTCGTTGTGTTCTTTTTTCAGGGAAATGCTTCTTATTAATGCATTTAGTGCCTTATATTACTAAGATGTTGCCTCTTGTGTTCTTTTCACTATATAGACATTGTTAAAGAGGTAACGGCTATCCCACCTTTCATTCAACCTTATTGGGCATTGAATTGCATTAATTTGATGCTTCCAGCAATAAATGTGATGCATACTGTATGGGTGTAAGTCAGTTCATGTATGTATCTCTATCTAGGTAGACAAGGATTAAACGGTGAAAGAGGTGCCACAGGACCAGCTGGTGGTGTAGGTGCCACAGGCTCAGTGGGTGCTACTGGGTCTCCTGGGGAAAGAGGAAATCCGGGAGAAAGAGGAGCTCCAGGAGAAAAAGGATCAACTGGGGCTACAGGACCAACTGGTCCATTTGGTTCTACAGGACTCCAAGGTTCTCCAGGGGCTACTGGCTTGGTAGGTCCTCCAGGAAGCCAAGGAGCAACTGGTTCATTAGGTCCACCAGGAGCTGCTGGGCCAGTTGGGGCTACTGGACCAACTGGTATTCCAGGTTTGAGAGGGGCAACGGGATCTGTTGGTAGACAAGGAGAGATAGGTGCTACAGGGAGCAGAGGAGATCCTGGTATACAAGGCCCACCAGGTGCATCTGGGGCTAGTGGTCCAACTGGTCAGAAAGGGGACATTGGATTAACTGGGGCAACAGGCCCTACTGGTATTCAAGGAGCAACAGGGTTTAGAGGTAGCCAGGGAGCAACAGGCGCTACAGGACCACCTGGGGCTACAGGCAGGAGTGGGGCTACAGGTAATCCAGGACAAACAGGAGCCACTGGTGCACCAGGAGTGTATGGGTCAACTGGTGCTACCGGTGTAGCAGGACCACCAGGTCCTGGAGGACCAACAGGAGCTACAGGCCTAACTGGTGCATCTGGTGGTACTGGGTTGCCTGGACCTAAAGGAGACGAGGGTGCTGTTGGACCAGTTGGAGCTACAGGACCTTTAGGGGCAACAGGTATAGCAGGAGTAAAGGGTGAGATGGGATTCAGAGGTTTTTATGGAGCAACTGGACCTCCAGGACCATCTGGCACAGTCAGCCGTAAGTATACCTGCCTAAGTATATGTCATTACTTACAACCTTTTGACCTACTTAACTTACAACCTTTTGACCTACTTTACTTACAACCTTTTGACCTACTTTGATTAGAACCTTTTGACCTACTTTACTTACAACTCTTTCTAACAAACTGTATATTCCCATTTATATTGAGCCTGGATTTATCCTGTTCCAGCACTCCTACAACAAAGTATTGTCTCTTTGAACAACAGCATACACTACAATGCCTGTGGAGAGAACAATGGTGGGTGCCAGCATAACTGTACAGACTATGTCAATTGGCATGTGTGTAGCTGTAGGAGTGGATACTTCCTAGAGTCAAATGGATTCAATTGTTCAGGTAGAAGATTAGAAATTATTGTTGTACCATACCAGCTTTCACAATTTTGTACAGAACAAGTTATGAAAATGCTTTCTGTTTTGTATTATTTTTATGTACGTCCCCACCAGAATGACATAATTGTTGTTGGTCCCCAACTTTTTTTGAATGGAGTTTGGCATCTGTAACATGGCGTCTGTAACACATTACGGTGTCTGTAACACATTACGGTGTCTGTAACAAATGGTAGTTGGTGACATTTTGCATGTTAATGTCTTTTCTTATTTTATTATATTGTTTCTGATTTTAGATGTTGATGAATGTCAGGAGAATCGTTGCATCCATAACTGCAGCAACACTTTAGGCTCATTCACTTGCCAATGTTACAATGGCTATGTTCGCTCTATACTCAGACCATGGGAGTGTTTAGGTACAGAAATTTGCATATTGGATATACATTTAAAACCCATTGCTACTCTTGATATTGGACATTTGTATCGCATAGCATATTGCTAAATTGGAATTTTCTACATAATCGGGCTTATTGTTCAAATTTATAACACCACTCAATTTTTCTTGTGATAGAAGGATACATAATACATGCCTGTATATTTCAAGTAAAAATATTAAAAAATAAACATTTTAGAAATTTTATTAGAATTTATGGATATGCCCTCGTATGAGGTGTGATTGGCTGCAGTTAGTATGTATTTTTCCTTCTTATTGTAGATATTGATGAGTGCAAGGAAAATGCCACAGCAGCATGTGGTGCTAGTACCATATGCCTGAACAGTATAGGTTCATACCACTGTATACAACTTATTGGAGATGTTCAGCCAGAAGGGGTTAAGACTGGTAAGTATGAACCCTAGCAAATTAGTTGACCTCACATGCATCCTCCCCCTCAAAATGTAACATTTGCTCTTGATGTATACAAATGTGATGATGAGAAATAACTCATAAACCATTTCATGAAATGTCATGCAATGAAATTGGCTTTTGTCTGCCTCAATTGTACATGTCTTTTGACAGAACTTGATGTTTTGATATGACCCCTAACTCTGTTTTATGTTTTGACATTTTATGTTGTATTCCAGGTGCATCTTTATCAGGAACGGGAGGCATGTCCTCATTCATGTCTATCTGGCTGGGTGTCGGCTTTGGCTGCGTGGGTCTCATCCTCTTCATCATTTGCGTTGTCCTTTATGCCATATTCAACAGACAACAAGACATGATGAAAAACAAAGTAGATGATAATAATAACAATAAATCTTTTCTCGGGACTCAAATGCTCTCTGGTCGGAAGATTGCATTGCCCCTTACCCCCCAGATTATAACACCTGACTTTGATGAGGAGGACAATATGGGTATTGAACATCACATTGATGAGTTCGATAAAGATGATGCTATAGTGCACCATCATGTTACTTCCTCTAGTGAAGCTGATGTAGCAAATGCTGAGATACAAGCAAATTATATGTTAGAGGAGCATACCCTTCCTCCCCCACCCTCATTTATACCCCCACCTCCCTTACTACAATCATCGATCCCCTCATTTGTACCCCCACCTCCTTTGAAAGAAGTCTCTGAGAAGGTAGAAATTTTGCATGCTGAAGATCCTAAACCTGGACCATCAATGGAAGTGTAATGTAATAATATGGACTGTTTGACATGCATTGGTGAATATTGAGAGTTATTGAAAATAAAAAGGTTCGGGAGCAAGTCATGCCTGTCATGGTCTTATGAAAGTAATATTAAAAATCTTAGAGATCAAATCTTTAAAAAAGATAAAGTGATAAATTGTCAAATAGATGGGTATTTTGAAACATTCAAACATTGCTCATTTTGTTAGTGGTTGATGTATTTACAATTTCAAATCATAAATTTTTTACCTCAATTTTGACACATACAAACATATTAGATTCAGTGGATAACTTAAAAGTGACCTAAATGTCAGGAGGGGATGCAGCATGGTATGAGATATGTGATATGAGGGGTAAGAAAGTAAAAAATGGACTAGAAAGAATTTCAATCCATTCTGCACCCCCTCCCCCTCTATGCATATCTACATTATCAGTCATGTATTTAAATTGTTTTTATATATGATTGTTATTTTTGATACTATAGAATATACACCAGAATACCATATGGTGCTCTGTATTATAATCTGGGCTCATAAAGTATTATATTATTGATTGTTTTGTCATATATAAAATGTTATATCTATGAAAGTTATTTGTATTATACCAAAGTTATATTTTTTATACCAAAGTTATTTTTTGTTGTTATTTTTGTATTTTTTACATGATCTCAAATACAACCTCAGGTTTGATAAGCTACAAACACTGTACACTGCCAAATGTTTGTTCACTTGCATATACATTTTGTTAATGGATTATCTCATGAAAGGAATAAGAAGGGATATAGAGTATAGAAGAGATGAGAGTAAAATTCTACAGAATTGTCACATTTTTACAAAATCTTTTGCTATCATCATTCCATGTCATGTCTATTTTTCTAAACATTCCAACAGTTTTGAGTTAATTCAGGAAAATCCTTCAATTGCCATGGTTATGTGGCAATAGTTTGGAAAAAGAAATGTCCTATATCTCTTTACAATTCTAATGAATTTGGACATATCTGCAACTTAAATCTTCAATAAATTCTATATTTGATCAAATATCTCGATATCTCGATTCTTCTCGATTCAAATATCTCGATTTCAAAAAGATATCTGACATTTTACACTATATCCCTTCTAATCCCTTCAAATGAATGAGTTGTTGCGGATAAATGGTTTAGTGAGTAAACATTTAGTCACTACAATTTTAGTATGATGATTGTGATGTATTAACTGTGCTTTGTTTCTGCTTACAAAAAGTTTGTCTCAGTAAGTCTCTTTAAATTAATAATAAAATAAAATTGTATTGTTGATATAATGACTTGTAATTATTAGTTCTGTTTTATGTTTGTTATATGTTATATATACAACACTGCAATTACAATAATCTGGAAATGCAAGACAGAAATATTTATGCAAGGTGTATCCGATTACAGCCAATCTGAACTCAGTATTTTATATAACTGCACTGTATTATATAACCAAGAACCTACTCACCCAAAGTAATTCTTTGAATGGTTTTCAATGTATTCTGGTATGCCAGGGCCCCTCTTGTCTGCCATTTGCGAGATACGGTGGAAGGATAAAGACAAAGAGGGCGTGGCTATATCGCGATGTTAACAATGTGACATCAAGATTCTACAGATTGAAATTGATGCTTTGCCAACTTGACCCTTGCAAAAAGTTTAATTGAAAATATGTTCTTTTAGCGATTTCCTATCTTTTGGGTCATTTCATGGAAAATATTTTGCAATGTGTGAAAAGAATTGAAGCCCAAGACTTGATGCATAGAAGCTGATTTATTCCACTCAGGCATTTTTTCTTAAACTTCACACTCGATGCTGTCTGTGAGACTAACATGTTTTATGTTAGTCTCAGATGCTGTGTATCTCGTGCAAAGGTTGATATAACACCTTTTTGAGGAATGATACAGTCCACAAAGAGTCCAGGGCTTTAATCTGAACCCCTTCCAATCCAAATTCTTTTTCCTTCAGTTGACTCATGTTAAAAAACCTTGAAATCTGAACACCTCCTAATTCGAACAGTGCACACCCATATTTCAAGTCTAATCTCAACAATGTATGATATCAAAACTTACGAAAAAATGTTAAATGGTCTCACTTGTAATCAGGCTTTCATTGAAATCTGAACACCTCCTAATCGATACTTTTGGACCAGTGTGAAAGAAATTATGGTCCCCTGGGGATTATGGTCCCCTTTCCTTAAGGCCCTGACTGTGTATAAATAATAAGGAAAATAATTGTAATTAGGTCACCATATAAATCAATAGAGAGTAGGACCATAAATTAATAGGACCTACTAACCTTTTACACCGGTCCCAATGCTTTCGTATTTGAAAAGTTTTACTGTACAGACTACTACAGTGTCAAACTTTTACTGTTTAGAGAACATTTCGCCAGGTGTAATTATTTTAGCTATAGCGAACAGCTGTACAACAAATGACTGTTCTCAGAGTAAAGTCCAAAAGTTGATTATTTTGGTGAAACAAATATTATAAATTGCACAGTCATGGCATCTACGGTCTCCAAAGTTCCACAAACATTTAGGAAATGGGTTGTGCAGAAAATCAGCAATAAGTTTAGGGAAGCTGCTGAAGTTGTCACCGTAAATACTCCGCAAATCGGACCTTCTGAAGTTTTAGTAAAAAACAAGTAAGTTTTACATGAGTTTGGTCTTGATTTTCAATTTTGAAATTCGTTAGAAAAAGCGACATTATATGTGTGAAATGTGAATATATTTTTCTTTACATTATGGCACAATAGACTATAGATTTCTTCAGTTTCAACGGCTTGCCTTTGAAGCAGACTTTGAGAGTAGACAGGTTTTATTCTGTATACATGTATGTTCTTACTGTATATTGTATTGATTGTTTTCTTGTTTCATCTTAGATATGTTGGAATAAATGCCAGTGATATCAACTTTACTGCTGGCAGATATGACCCAACAGCTAAACCTCCATTTGATGCTGGATTTGAGGTAATCATTATCGAGATGACAGGCCCATACCTATGCCCTAAAAGAATGTGGACATACTCTTCATTTGCTTTCTTGGAAGGAAAAGCTGCTCCTACCCACATAAACTTTTAAATATTTGCATTATTTTTTAAAATTTTGGGTTATAATGAAAACACGCGCTACGCGCTAACGCGCCACGCGCCAATGCGCTAATAGAACATGATCCCTCCCCCACGATGTGTGCGCATGTTTTAAGCGCATGTTTATGATTGGTCTATACCCTTGGCCCAGGGACATGTATAATTAGGGTTATGACTCCCTGGGAACTTGTCCCAAACATTGACAGTTCAAAGACTGTATAAATCACCGCTAACCTGTCAATCAGACTTTGATGTGAACTTTGCGGCCGCAGGAAATAAACAAAGCCTCTCGAAAATTACACTTTTCAAGTTACGATTTCTCTAAAAATATAAGACCAATTAAGATGTTCTTCACACCGTTAAAAAAAAGAAATCGACTTCAATTTAGGAAATAATTCCAAAACTAAATGAACGTGTACTTTTCTCTGTATTTGACCTAAAAGAACATGAGTAACTTAGAATTAATAAATATTTACGGCCAATTACCGGACAATGATAAAACATGCTGGTCAGGTTTACATTACTTTTTAAATCGTCTCTTATTTAAAACTTTAATTCCAAATGAAATACAATCCTGTTTTCAACAATATTCCTGATAGGTAATACAATTCACTGGGACTGACGTAATTCAAAACTTTTTAAATCTAAAATCAAATTGAGAAAAACGAAAGCAAACATGAAAGGGGGGTTTATAGGGGTCTTGGAAATCCATATACACTATTTTTCACTAGCCCCTCAGTCTTATACCATTTACAGCATTTTCACCCCTTTTACATGTATAACATACAGTGTATGCAATATTTTTCACATCTCCCTGTAGTACTATATTTTACAAAAAGCTCGGGTAAATAATCTGTACGATAATTTTGAAATTACCGTTGAGAAAAGTTTGGATAATATTCAGAAGGAAATAACATAATGCAAGAATCCACGTAGTACCAAATGTATAATCATACGGCAAATAGGCAGTACACAGCCCCGAAGCCAGGGGGGTTCGGAGGGTGACTTTGGATTTTTTTTTGAAAAAGTGCCCCCCCCCCCTGGGAAATCCTGGTTACTGTCCTGTCCTGTGGGACTGATTTTTCAAATCACCCCCACAACCAGGCCCGTAGCCAGAGGGGGAGCTGGGGAGCGGAGCTCCCCCTCTGGCCAGAGATTCTTTCAAAATCATGCAGTTTCTCACCATTCTGAGAATTTTTTCATGATTATTAGCCAAAATTGTGAAAAAGCTTCCCCTGGAAAAAGGCTTCCCCTCCTGGTAAAAGCTGGCTACGGGCAAGCCCCCACAACTACTTGTGTATTGAAATCCCAAATTTATGGGGATAAGCTGGATCTGCAGTATTCGTTCAAACTGTACTTTAAATTTCATAATAGGCTTCTTTAATTCTTTTAAAACATATGTTTATTTAACTTATACGATGCCATATACGATAAATGTTGCCCCCTCTTATGCAGTCATACACAATAGATTTTCACCCTCCTCTTATACGATAACCCTATACACCCCCCCCCCCCATGAAAGCGAAAGAGTGTAACAGGGCATGAAAAGAAAAATGGAAAAATATAAATGCGACGCCTGAATTATCCCACCGTTTGGTAAGTCATGAGAGAAATAACTTCAAATACAAAGAGTAAAGATATATAAAACATCCATGACTTGATATTAAGAGGTAACATGCGACAAATAGGAGAAGTTGGGCCCCCGGCTCAGATTTCGAAACGGGATTTTTCTCGCCGATGGATGGACCCAAATAATGCAATGAAAATGAAATAGGGAGCATATTCGCATATCTGCGACCATTCATCTTGTAAGGTGCTACTTTCTATTTATCTTCCTTTTAAATCAGATAAAACACACTGACAATCGATAATCTTTGCACAGTTAACGTAACGATCAAACATTGGGCTTCTTCATACTTCTGCTTTCTGATGCGCCACCTAATCTCTTCACTCACTCGAGTTTTATACATGTTCCCGGGCCTGTGGGAACGATCATTCTGAACAGTGCGTTAGTGCGCTAGCGCGTTAGCGCGTAGCGCGTGTTTTCATTATAACCAAAATTTTGGCTCAAATAAATATGTCATGGTATGAAACCGCATACTTATCAATTGACTTATCCCTGTTATTGACTTATCCCTTATCCCTGGACAGGGTGCATGTTGGGAAATTTTCTGCATTCCTCAATTGAGTCACATGTTATTTTTCAAACAAGAATAACTCCTTACCCACATTGTCTACATCTTCCAAGTTTGCACAAAGAGTGCTCTTCTGTGCCTAGAAAAGCCTTGTGAGAAGGTTTGTTTTGTAAAATGTATAAAAAATGAGAAAATTCAGTGAAAAAAATTTCTGAAAATTTTCTGATTTTTTTCACTGAATTTTCTTGTTTTTTATACACTTTATCAAAACATTCTTCTCACAAGTCTTTTCTAGGCATATAAGTGCACTCTTTGTGCAAAACTGGAAGATATAGACAATGAAGGGAAGGAGTGATTCTTGTTTGAAAAATAACATGTGACTCAATTGAGGAATGCAGAAAATTTCCCATCATGCACCCTGACCTTAAGTTCCTTTAATAAATTGACAATGAAAAAAGTAAAATATATGTAACACCCTGAAATAAACATACATTTTAGGCAGTAGGAGAGGTGGTAGCTAGAGGCGACTCCTGCAACAAGTTAAACCTTGGACAGCCAGTATGCTACATGGCTAATGGTGCATTTGCAGAATATATGGTATTTGTTATCTAGTTTTTTTACCAACCTTATTATCTATTTTTTATTTGAAAATGCAACATCAAGTCAGTTTATCAGAAAAGTAAGACAACATTTAGAGTTTACATTTAGAGTTCAAAATTACATTTAGCGATTTTATTATTTAAATGAAATTTTATATTGGCCCTTTTGTGTCCAATTAACCACATGTATTATGTGTAACATTTATAATGCTCTAAGCCAAATACCCTCATATTATCATGTTTATAATACGCAGGTCCTTAAAGAAAGACATGTGTTTCCTGTACCTGCCACCAATCCCGAGTTTGTTACATTACTGGTTAGTGGTCTAACAGCTGCAATATCTCTTGATAAAGTTGGTGAAATAAAGAAAGGAGAGACTGTTTTAGTGACTGGTGAGTGCTTCATTGTTGAAGTAAAAGTCAATATGAATAAAGCTATAATATCACTGTCAAGCTGCAATTGCATGATTGGTTAAAACTGGGTCACATGTCATGAAAGATCACATGATATTCACTGGGGATGGTTATCAAATCAGACAATGGTGAATAACACTATTCACTTCTCCTGGGAATTTTCAAAAATACTTAATTTGTTAGATGTAGATCAATATTATAATCATGGTAAATAAGTTGTCAACAGATGTTTAAATCAATATTAATACTATTCATCAATGTTTTAATATATAGTACTAAATAATAATGAGGATGGCTAGCTAATAACAGCAACCAAATAAAACACTATTCTTTCACTAGAATCTGAGACTAACAGCTAGAATGAAATGTTTGTACGATATTCTGTTTTCTCTATTACATGCATAACCAACACCTACAGTAGAAAGTATAAGGCCAGAAACTAACCAGTAAATAGCTCTACAGGAATATAAATCAGTTATGCAATTTGGATAAAAATTTGGATGAGCAATTTGAGGTTTCTTTTATCTGATCATTCAAATGAATGCTTACCTGAACTTGCTATTTAGATATATTCCTCAAAGTACTTATTCTAACATTATTCTCCATAGCTCAAGGGGTAGAGCATCCGACATGTAACATGGAGGTTGTGGGTTCAATTCCCATCAGGGTGGAGTGACTTTTTCCCATCAGCCCTTAGCATAGAATTTGACCCTATGTTTCAGATTAGCTATTCTAACAAACACACATTCATGTAACATTTTAGCTGCAGCAGGAGGGACGGGACAGTTTGCCGTGCAGGCAGCAAGAAATGCTGGGTGTCATGTTATAGGAACTTGCTCATCAGATGATAAAGTGCAATTTTTAAAGGTAACGTTTTGAGCTTATAACATTTTATATTGGTTCAGTAAGTGTAGTACATGGTAAAGTTTAAGTCTTGTTCATGGTACATTCATGGTAAGCATTCTATGACTAATTACATACTGTACAGTAAAACCTGTCTTAGAGAACACCTCTCTCTAGTGAACAACTGTCTCAAGTAGACACTTCCTTCCTCTTTACATACTCTACTGACTTCTGTATAGATTACCCTCTCTATATGTACCTTCATGTCCCAACAATGAATTTTTTTATTTGCTTGAAATGTACGATACACAGTGTTTTACTGTACTTCCAGAATATTAATTTTTGCTTAAAAGTAGCCAAGAAATGTTTTAAACTTTTAGACTATTTGGTCAAAATGATCCCAGTTATTAATAATTTCCCAATGATTCTCAAACAGCATGAGAACAGTTCCTGGTGTTTGAGAACACTTGGACATATTTCTTTCATATCCATCATTTTATCTTCTTTTTATATGACTGCAGAGATGGTGCCTTATGAAAATGCATTGAATTTTTCAGGATATTGGCTGTGACAGACCTGTTAACTATAAGAAAGAAAATTTGAATGAGGTGCTGAAGAATGAATACCCTGTGAGTATGTGTTTAAGCAAGTCATGATAGATCATATTTTCATAGTTTAATTTGATTGACTATACATGTAAGTGTGAATAGTTTTCCATAAAATCTTGGAGGGGTTGTTTCATCATTCTTTGACTGTGTTCTTTAAACCTCTTCTTCCTCTGTGTTTTCGAATGTTGATAGTTTTATTCTCATTATTTTACAGAGTGGTGTAGATGTGGTTTATGAATCAATTGGTGGAGATATGTTTGATACAGCTGTAAAAAAGTAAGTCATAATTTATTCACAAATTAATACATGTACAGTAGAACCTGTATATCTGAACACCTGGCTTACCAAACACCTCCCAATCTGAACACTTTTTTGGTCCCATTTTTTCCTCCCATTGACTCCCATGTTATAAAAACCTTGAAATGTGAACACCTCCTAATCTGAACGCTTTTAGCTGGTCCCAATGGCGTTCGGATTAGACAGGTTTTACTGTATTACACATGTTACATATATGGTATGTATTTTATGTATTACATGTTGTGACTCTTATACCTTCCCCGGGATACCTTCACTTTCAATATGAAACAAATCCTATTTTAACAAAATTGAGTAACAATATTGTCAATTCCTAGTTCAATTGCTACAATGGCACTTTCAACATTGAAACAAATCTTAGTTGGATCTTGACTAAAATAGGGTATAAATTAGCAGAAATTAGGCTGCCAGCCTACTCAGTGATGTCAATCATTTGTGTTACTATCATGAATAAATTGAATTGACTGAGAGTGAAAATTCTAAAGCTGCAGAAAGAAAACAATTTCAATGGCTGTCTAATTCAACCAATAATAGGTTTGCATGTTCACAAATATAGAACATATTACACATTTGGAGGTTCTTTTACATTTTGTATATTTGAATTTTCAGTCTTGCAATAAAAGGCAGATTGATTATAATAGGCTACATAGCTGGATATGAGACTTCTAGAGGGTTCCCAACTTCTAAAGTTGTCGCTACTTTACCTCAAAGGGTAAGTATTATATACAGTATTAGGATTTAGTGTTTCTCAAATCTCCACAACACCTACAAGTTTTTTACCGTACAGTACTGTACTTTGTTTGTCTTTTAGTCTGTTGTTTGTTTAAAATCTGAAAAAGTCAGGACAAAATTCACAAATGATTATCCAATTGACATTTAAAACTCATTCCATATTTCTGATTTTTCACAACCATATTTCCAGCTCCTTCCAAAATCGGCCAGTGTCCGTGGGTTTTTCCTATTTGGATATGTTTCTGACTTCCCTGAGTACCTCAATAAGTTGGTAGATATGTACAAAGCAGGAACTCTGAAGCTCAATGTAGACAATGGACAAAGATTCGAGAGTGGACCATTCAAGGGTGTTGGCTCTATACCAAATGCAATTGAGGTAGGGCTAACCCTACTATCACACCAAACTAGTTCTCACTGCGTTCTCAAAAACAGGCTTCAACTGTATACGAACGGACTGGACCTACTAAGAACCGTTTGGGATCAATTTACAAACTTCATCGAACGTACTCGAACAGGTAGGTCCTCTAGAACTTAGACAATGCTCAAAATGTTCTCGTGGTCGTCACGTTCTACAATTAGAACGAGTGACAACGTACTAACGACGAGCTGGACGTACAACGAACGGAACCGTCGTACTTCAATCCTACTAGGGACGTTTTAACAACGAGTTGAACTGTCTGCGGACGTGTTGAGAACGAGGTAGAACTAATTGCAAACGGGTTTAAACTGATTAGAACGTATTTAACACTGCTTATGAACGAGTTAGCAAAAATATAGCTATCACACCAAACAAGTTGCCACTGTGTTCTTCAAAACTGGTTTTAAACTGTGTGCGAACGGAATGAACGTAGCTGCAACTTTCTAAGGTCTATTTACGAACTTTATGAACGTTCTCAGACGGGAATGTGATTTTAGAATTTTGAATCGATTCAAAATTCGATGACGACCATACCGTTCTGTAATCAGGTCATGTTGACCTTCTAGACTAAGGGACGCGTTCTACGACGTTGCACTCCGACGTGGTGCGACCTGAACGAACTGCGAACGAGATGGACGTATTGAAGACTGTTTAAGAACGGAGAAGCTAATTATTTCAGACATGTTTCCCGACCACAGCCAGATTGAGCCCGTTTGACGACGTTTTCGTAGGACTGGCAAGAACGGGTAAGAACTAGTTTGGTGTGATAGGGGGGTAAAACAATATACTGTAGGATATTACCAACAGGTGGTGACATTTTACATGTTTATGCCATGTTGTATCATGTACCTCATTTATACCTTATTTATACCATATTCTCAGTGTTCATGATCATTTTATTTATGCTTTCCAGTACCTCTACAGTGGTAAGAGTATGGGAAAGATTGTGGTAGATGTCGACCAACAAGCCAGTAAACTATAGGAACAAATACTAAAGACTTAAATATCAACTATTCCATTCAAAAGAAACAGTCTTCGATAGTAGGAGGCCATTGCCTGTTGTATTTGAACGATGCTCTCTGATCTTGTTAAGCCAATGATGTTGTTAACTTAACACTTTCATTGTTTCATCCTCTGTTGAATAGTAGTAGAGCAACAAAATTGTTTTAAATACCTACAACTATGACATTTTGGCAATTCGACTATTAGATGGTCATTTTGAGAAGTGATGGCTGACGCTTAACATGATATTTGAATTGCTATGAATGGTGTTTCCATTATTTCTATGTAAATGTATCTCCATGTATATTGTATAATGCATTGGAACAACATTAGAACAATTATGAGTTGTTATAAAAGTATTCTGTGCAGTAAAGTATTTTAGTATGATGATACTCCTGAAGGAGACAATGGGGTATCAATTTATACTGAAACTATTTATAACATATTTATGATGGTCTCAGATTTATAACAGTTTATGTACAAGACAGTGGCTTTTTAGTTGCTCCACATTGTTTACCAAATTACATACAAAGAAAATTGCTCAAATTTATATTTGTATGACGTACCGTTTATGTACTTCGAATAAATTATAACTAGAAAACAGCAACTCCCACCAAAGAAAACATATTTAATTTAAGGATTTAAGCCCTGGACTGTAGAATCACCATTCCTTGAAGGTATTGCTTTCCAAAAGTACTAAAATAGTAGGAGTCTGGGTCTCTGGGAATATACCCTTTTGGTCCCTCGCTTTAATGTATTTGAAATATAGATTATATTACTGTCTAAGATGTTTTTGATTAAAATATGCACCTTTTAGTGAGGATTGATGCTTAATTAACCTCCTGCTGTGAATCAAATTAGGTAACCTCATTATGTTAAAAAAATCATTTTCATTGCATTATGTTTTTTAATGCTTTTATTCATGGTGTACAACAATATGTTATTACAATATTAGTATGCCTTTCATATTAACTCAATATTTGAAGAAAATAACAACATGTTATTACATTATATTACATTATTAGTATGTCTTCCATATTAACTCAATATTTGAAGAAAATCTTAGTACAAACTGCATATTATAAATTGCATATTATTGTCAAAATGACAAGAACAAAACAAAAAAAACTCAATAAGAATTAATAGGGAGGTTAAATTACATGTTTTTAAGAGAATCTGTACGCAAGCGTGCGATATTTCGACCATCCCGTTCTCAACTCACTTTTCCAGATTCCTAATTACAATTATTTTTCCGAGCACAATATCTGATTCCTTTATCCTCAATTGGCCAGGAAACAGTAATATTAGGATGGGAAAACTAATCCACAGGGGACCATAGTCCTACACGTTCACGTTTTTAAAAACGTGTATCTTAATCTTAGCCTCCCTATTGATGAAATATATCAATTGCCTGAAATGGTTGAAATGAATTGTTCAGGAACAGAGAGATTTGAAACATTTTATGTACGGTTCAGTATCTTTTGCACCAATGAGATAACTGAGCATGAATGAATGTATGTCTTCTCTATATTCCTATATCGGTGGGATAATAAATCAAATTAATATTTACTTAACTATTTGTTTAAATTAATAGGTTGCATTTATTTCATATTTCAATCATAACATACTTTCTAACAGACCATAGCTGTTAATATTAAAACTAGATTGCATCATCATTGACTAGTCACTACAATTTGTGTTCTTAAATATTCTGAATGAGCTTAATTTTCATCACCAGTAATTCAAAAATGCACCAGTAATTCTGGTAGTAAAATGCTATATGTATGACATGTATTTGTTCTTATATTGTAAAACATGCATCAAAATATCCCTAACATTTTTAAATATGAGGTAAAGTTTATCATGTGAAAATATTGGCACAAGTAATAATAATTAAAGTGCTATTGTACACTGTTTAGCTATAGTTGAGCAAAGTAATAGGAATGCTTCCAAAGTATGTGCAATACAATACCCTGTGTGTAGAGTCTAACTACAGAAGACGAAGCTCTCTTTTAAGAAGTGAAGTCGAACGAATGCAAAGGGTAGCAATACAAGAGATAATTCATATTTTTCACCGACACATTCCCCTACTTCTTCAATCATCAATTGGTAATTATAAAGAAAAAATACAGAGTGACACAAAAATACAACCGTTTTGCAATAACTCTAAACTGTTCATATTTTACCACTGACACATTTCCAACTTCCAATTGATTATTTACTTTAGTAGGCCATAAAAATATTGGGTAAGTGACCTAATAATACTTGTACACAGCTCTTGGAAATACATTCAATTAAAATGTTTCGTGGAATGTTCTTCTGTATGAACATAGACGGTTAGGAGAAAGAAATGGACAACATTTGTGCAACCAAATTAATACAAACTTTACCTAAAAATAACCATATCAACCATTCTGACTATTATAAACCTAGCCAATAATGTGGCCTGGATTATAAAATGATAAGTAGATGTACACTTATTTGTTCTTTGAAATGGCTCCTGTGAAAGACGTATTGTCCAATGATGTCCTATATTGCCTTCACATAAGATATATTCATAGATTTTGATCTCAGATTCAGAGGTCTGGAAAATCCTTTAAAATTGTATTGAATAAACAGTCACAAACATTTAAGGTAAAACTGTTATGTATATACTAGAATATAGACTCCATATGAAAAACATAGAATGTAGAATATATAAATATTTAGAATATAGACTCCATATAAATACCAGAGAAATGAATAACACCATTCAAAATTGTGGAGTGGAGCCTTTGATCAATCTTTAAATTCTAAACCTTCCATCACCACAGTTATATAAATGACACTGTTCAAATGTTATTAATTTTCCATTTCATGAACAATGGAAACAACTCCCGTCTTTAGCACCTTGTATGTACACCTGTAATAGACTCAGGGTAAAATATTTAGAGGTTATGTCACTATGACGTGAAATATGCCTGAGTTCTCCCAATATAGGCCGACCTTGGGAGGCTCTATATTTGGGCAAGAACGAAGGCATATTTCACGTCATAGTGACATAACTGATGTATTACATGCCTTTGTTCCCATGGTTACTTTGTATCAATGACGTGACGTCATGATATTATCATGGTTATTAAAGAAATCTAATATCAAAACGAGGTAAGCGGGCTATATCGGGGTAATCGGGCAATATCGGTGGATATAGCTCGCTAACTTTCCCATTGACTTCCATACAAATGCTTCGCTAGGTATGTAATACTAATGTATACAGCATTTTGGTTTTTAAATTACACTAGGGGTTTAAACAATCTAATTTTTGTTATTGAAAAACTGTTGATTGGGCAGACATGTAACTTCAAATCTGACTAATTTTTATAGAACATGGGGAAGAGGTCATGGCCTTCATTAAATTAAGTTTCCCATAAAACATTGATATTTTGGCTGAGCCCTTTAAATGATTGAACTTTCTCCATTGTATAAAGTGATTGCACAAATCAGTTATTTTTTCTTCTTCCTTTGTTTTGTATTGTTCTTTGAGCTAGCCTTAGGGGTGGTTGATGCAGGATCCCATGGTGGGGGTCTCTCAACTCCTGGTTGGATGATAGGGTTACCATCCTTATCTCTGTTTAAGCCTCTACCAGGTCCCATTTCTGAAAATATACAATATATACATCGTATAAAGTGGTGACATATTTTGCATGTTAATGGCATGCCTTGTTTTAATTTTTAATGCAACATGTTATCGGTATAGTATAGGTCTAAGCTAAATAGTGATAACAGAAACTTGCGCTGCATAAATACCTTTCAGAAGATCTAGAGGAGGCTCTAATAGTGATTCTTTCTGGGAATCCCTAAGATATCTACAAATAACAACAAAACAGTACTGTAGAATGTAGAGGCATATATTTACACATACAGTAGAACCTGTTTAAGTGGAACACCCTTCAGACAACAAAAAAAAATTTCCACTTGTGAGGCATTTCAATTACAAAGGTTCATTAACATCGAATCAATGGGTCGCATGGAGTCACAGGACTTTAAAAATCCATTCCACTTATGAGATGTTCCACTTGTGAGGTGTTTCACTTAGGTGTTCCACTGACAGAGGTTTTCCACTTAGCAGTTTTTACTTTACATGTATTAGTAATACATCCCATGTGACTTATTACACCCTGAAGCATAAATGAATGTGACATGACCCTCTAACTATAATAACAGATGATGTTTAAAGTTCTGATGAATGACCTCTAATGTAGCTACATGACCCTTATGCTACTGGCCAAATCTTTTGAATTTGTACAGAGTGAAACTCAGTCATAAGTGGGGATATGTTTTGATTGTTGTATGCTTGTAAGATATGTAGTATGGTTACCAATAGAGGAGTTACCTACTGTTTATTAATCTGAATTGAATATACCAATCGAAAGCATTAAGTAAGAAATATAGTGATACATTACCTATATACCCTGGCACATCCATACCCTAGGCCTATAAACACAGCGATCAGAAGTATCCGTAAAATGTCACTCTGCAAGATAATCAGATTTAAAAAATTATAAGGTAGTATTCATTGTTATTTGGTACAATACATCATTTGGCAAATTGTTTCCAATTTCCTCTGAAATTTAGAAGAATTAGCTACTGTTGAAATTGTTGATTTCATTGTTACATTTTCAAATAGTACAGTACAGCTACCATACAAATACCAAACCTAACCTTGATTACTTGTTTTCTGTGCCAGTCCTTTAAAAATAGTGTTAAAGTGCCCGATAAAGTATAAAATGCGCATGCGTCCAGGTGTTGATAAACTATAAATAGCGAAAATCCAGGGTTTGTCACCACAAGGTAAGCCAGGACGTGTTGAGAGAACAGCTAGTGTTGATATTGAATTTAAATGTAGCCAGATAAGTTTCCTTATTGAAATTACATATGGTTATAAGCAATACTTTGTAGGTGCTAAATAATAAAATATTTAGAGTATATATGAGAGAAATTGGTCATTTCGAACCTATTGAAAAGTTTGTGGCTCTCGGCTACACCGGGGAATTTACTTCCATGAGTACACACATAAATGTGGGGTTCCCCAAGAGGTACGCGACAAGGTGACCTGGCATCAAATGTGCGACTAAATGCTACTATCGAGAAGATAAAATAACGAATACGACAATAAGTTATTGCATGTGACAATTCCGAGCCTTCATCTCACTGAAGTATTTTGAAGTGAAAATAGGATTTTTGTTTTGATACATGGATTCAGATGAACGTAACTTTATTCTGACAACTAATCAAAACTTAACAAAATTGATTGTACGTAACAGACAATTTATTGTTTTACAATGTTTTGATTGGCTAAACGAATGAAACCAACAAATTATGACATGTGAAATGACAATTTTGAAATGTAAAATTTAAAAGTGACAAACACAACCTCCCTATCCACTCTTTGGGAGCCCTAGTAAATTAGTAATATGTACATGCAGCAGTGGTAGTGTGCAGCTTATTATCACACTACGCTTTGTATTCTTAAGCCTGTTGTTTGTAATAACACTGTTCACTCAACGTATGTTTTGTGTGAGGGCAGTCAACGATAATCATTGTTTTATCCCGGTTATATGACCTCGGCAATTATAACAAAACCGTACTAAACGAAAAAACGCAAATAAGAGAAAGCTTTCACACACATATAAAAAATAAACTAGTCTTATCCGCCAGTATAAACTCTGTGCTATACGTAGCCGGGTCAGGCGCACACTTTAAAGGAACATTCCTGGCCAAACCTTTTCTATCCTGATGTGATAGCTGTAATCATATATACTTTCCATATTTAGCAAAACACCAGGAAATGTTTTAATATAGTTAATATTGATAATTTAAAAATGTAGTGCTCATTTCCAGTAAGCTGCCATCTTTTAAGATTTTACTCAGGAAATGATGTCATCGACTCTCAACTTCCATGACCTTGCATATAACAGTATAGGGAAGTAGCACAAAATCACTTCTAGACAAGTGGTTCTTACTTTATGTGCAAAAATATTTTCAGAGTTTGTCAGATTAGAATAATAGAAGAGACTTATAGAAGGATTAAATCATAGACAAAATTGAAAAAGAATGCACAGCTGGTTTTTGTAATTCTTAATAGCTCCATGGGCTTTCAACTAGAAGGGTAGGCAACTTCCCATATTTCATACATAAACATTGCCTTTGGCTTTTCAAAATTGGAGAATGTACACATTCCAAGAAAATCTTATTTTGTCCTTTTTATGGATGATTTAAAGAAATAACTCAAAAATAAAAACATGATCATCTACATACATGTTGATAATTTAATAAAAAATGGAATCCATTGTAATTTTGACAATACAGAAAGTGAACATTCACCCACAAATTATATTTTTATTGGAATGTGTTCTTGAATAATTACCCACAATGCAATACTAGAAGAAAACATCTTGATACCTCTTATTCTTATTGGTCTTTTTTGTTTACTTTTACACGAGATTGAATATATTTTATGCTTCAGTCATATTTAAAATTGATTTTTATTCAAAACATGGGCTTTCAACTAGAAGGGTAGGCAACTTCCCATATTTCATACATAAACATTGCCATGGGTTTTCAAAATTGGAGAATGTACACATTCCAAGAAAATCTTATTTTGTACTTTTTATTGATGATTAAAAGAAATAACTCAAAAATAAAAACATGATCTTCTACATACATCTTGATAATTTAATAAAAATTGGAATTCATCATAATTATGACAATACAGAAAGTGAACATTCTCCCACAAATGATGTTTTTATTGGAATGTGTTCTTGAATAATTACCCACAATGCAATACTCAAAGAGAACATCTTGATAACTCTTATTCTTATTGGTCTCTTTTGTTTACTTTTATATGATATTGAATATATTTTATGCTTAAATCATATTAAAAATTGATTTTTATTCAAATTAATACTAAAACATATACATTTAATTAATACTTTTTGAAATATTGCCATAAAAGGGAAGCATGTCATTGCTCATTTTGAAGGTCTCATGTTATTACATAGAGTTGCATACCCTTCTAGTTGAAAGCCCATGTTCAAAATAATACTAAAACATATACATTTATCTAATACTTTTTGAAATATTACCATAAAAGGGAAGCATGGCATTGCTCATTTTGAAGGTCTCATGTTATTATACAGAGTTGCATACCCTTCTAATTGAAAGCCCATGATAGCTCCTTATAATGTTTCATGCAAAGTTGAGAGTCGATGACATCACTTCCTGAGTGAAATACTAAAAGATGGCAGCCTACTGGAATTCGGCACTAAATTTTCAAGTGATCAATATTGACTATATTAAAACATTTTTCCCTGTTTTGCTAAATATGGAAAGTATATATATGGTTATAGCTACCATATTAGGAGAGAAATGGTCTGGCCAGGAATGTTCCTTTAAATATTAGAAGATTATGTGTATGTCAATATATGAGCCTGGCCATAGGAAAACCGGTCTTATCACAAAAATTAAAATTGTGCTATAGAGCCAAAAAAGTGCCCAAGATTAAGAGGAAAATGTGCTAAATTAAAATCTGACTTTTTGGTCTATAATTGCAAGGAAAATTTGTTAAGACATAAGCCATGGCCTCTTTGTGCTTTCTAAGATAAACAAAAAATCAAAATATTGAAAAATCTGTGATAAGACCCCTTTTCCTGTGGCCTGGCTCATATGCTATTTTAGTCTAGTTTATCAAAAACAATATTTATGTAATATCTTACAGATATTGTAGGTCTTTGAGCAATGTAATCATCCCCAACTATGATGAAGAGGCCAAGGAGAAATCCAGTTCCACTGCCCACCCAAGGTAGATTACGATCAGCTGCAATAGAACCATAGTAACCATATTTTTCTCCCTAAAATGGATACTCATTGAAACTGCAATATTGGGAAGCTTTTTTCAGAACTGGCGTCGACCCAATATTAACACATGTGCATGAAATGAGGACTTTATTCCCAAATATTTTGAAAATTTGCCCTGCTTCTACCCAAAACATGAGTAAACCATAATAACCATATCATATTATTTTGAACAAGAGTAGAATCAATGTAACACATGAAATGCATCATTGTTTATACATGTACTATGGATGTATAAGATATAATATGTTAGAAAAGTTCAAATAACATGATTTTCTTGATTTTACACACTCCAGGTTTTGGATTTTCTAATTTTGCCCATACCATGGTGTATGGTTCACTGTAGTGAACTTTCAGATGTGCTCAATCTTTGAATTGAAAGGAAGTTAAGAGAACAGATAAAAATGAGAGATATGTGTACTTATTATTTGCTCATCATCTGAATTTTTGAAATGAAAATTGTGATTTGGTTTCTTTAGTAACCTCATTTGTAGATGCCTTAATTTAATTAAAATGGCATACAATATTGGGCCCATTACCTTTTCTAATGTTGTTGACCTCTTTCATTGACTTCATAACTCTTTCTTTCAAATTGGCATCTTCTGGTTGTAGGTCAAGGGCTGTCTTGAATAATGAAATAGAGGAAATAGCATTGTTCTGTAGTATAACTTAAATGAACTGTGTTAACGCCCCACACCCTTTCATTCCTACATGGGGCATAACCGTGAATTATAATAATTAAAGAATGTTAAATATCTCATTTAGAATATCTGACACCCCATTTCAATCTTCTACTTAATCAATGATAAACATTAATCTAGTTATAACTGATTTACTACCTTATAAGCCTCGACAGCGTCTTCATATTTCTCTGTCTGATAGAGGACCTCCCCCTTCCTGAAATATCCCTTAGGCCACTTTGGGTTCAGGTGTATACACTTCTCTGCATCCCCCAATGCAAGGTAGTACTGCTGGCACTTCAGGAATGCTAAAGATCTGGAGATGTACAATACACAATAAATTTTATCAATAGTGATCTAACACGTAAGTCATGGTGCGTATGTAGCAAGGTACCAGAAAAGCACCAGCTTGTGGGCTGATGGAGCCAGTTACTTTTTTTTTATTTGTTTGATGTAAAGCAAAATATGGTCATTGGTCCATAATTCAACTAAATTTAATTCTTTAATCTTAATGACTGTGGGACACATCCTGTTCTGCACACCAGTGTAGAATCCACAAAATTCCTTTTGATCAATTGAAAATAGCGTATATCACTATATGGGCATGTATAATCTTGAAATATTTCAGGCAATAATAGAAAAGATGATAATAAGATGTGTCTCATATCCCGGCTCATATCGAGTAATAACCATCCCCAACAACTACCAATTCTAGATACTGTAGCTTACCCCAATGTGTTATATATCATATGAAAGCTTGTCCAATTCTTGACTTATTAAAATAAGGTACTTAAGGTATCTATTTGACCTTAATCAAACAATTTCCTCAAAAATAAGCAGTTTATCCTGCTAACAGCTATCATGTGGATATTCCAATGATATTTGGAAGAATTATTGATTAAATATTTAAAAAATATGGATACTGTATATTCATGGGCTTTCAATAGATGTCCATGGTACATTCAACTATAATAGAATTACAAATTACAATCATGTGATATAAAAGTAATGTTCATGTTTTGACATTCAATTTTAATCATTATCATCAAATACATTTCTTGACCACTCCAAATGTTCAGACACATATTCAGATGAAAAAATTAGTAAAATATACTTTGTTGCTAATTCTTCAGGTGTAAAAATTTAATGACCAATCAGAATGGAAAACACATATTTATAAAGGACGATTCTCGGTTTGGAGAACGAAGTTCACCAATCTAAATCAGCATTATCCCTGCTTCGGACAAATTTGATATTTTTACATATTATAGATTTGAATGTCTTCTTTTGATAGTCATAATTTAATCTGGGTAATATTTCTAGATTTTTCGCAAAAAAATATTAGCGCAATACACTGATGAACTTCTTTCCCAAATCAAGACTTCTATTTTATTGAATCGGTCTAATTGAGCGTTATCCCTGCTTCAGACCAATTTGTTATTTTTACATCTTGTAGATCTAAATGTCCTCTTTTAAATATTCATAGTTTAATTTGGGTAATATTTCTATATTTTTCATGAAAAAATTATTAGCCCAGGAGACTGTTCTCCAAACCGAGAATCTTCCTTTGCTTGATGATTGTTACAAAGAATAAATACCTATTGGAATGTAAGAGCGGGTTGATTGGTTCTAGTTTTAGAGCTTGAGAATAGTGTAGAATAGCTTCAATGAACTTGCCATCTCTCATACATGTGTTACCAGTCTCTTTAAGCACTGACGCCTGAAATAAAGAACATATTTGAACTTGAAGTTCTCCAACAACAACTATTTGAGATCATGAACCCATTTTTGTACCTTTCGTAGTTTTCACAAAAGTTTGCAATTCCTAAAAACATTTGTAAATATTAAAGTAACAAATGAGTTGCGACTTTGCTAAAAGTTGCAAACGGACTATTTTTGTATGCTTTTGTAAGTCACTCATACTTTTTCAATTGTTTTGAGCTAGATTTAGGAATGAGTTGACGTCATATTCCACCTTTTTTGGGCAGACAGTACAACAAACAGGATTTATCAAAATAATAATGCTCATACAATAAGAATTGCATAAAAATTAATCTAAATTAAGCAATGGACTTACAAATGTTCGTTATTATGAATGGTACAAAAATGGGCCCCTTGCGCACTAAACATACATTTTTGTATTGGAAATAACCAAAAAGTATGAAGTTAAATTCTAAGGAAATGGACGTCTGAAAATTATCGATATGAATCGGGTTATCTGCAAACATCCATACTACTGTACATGTACACATACTGTACATCAGTTGTAATCCTGGGGTCTGTAATTCCACTTCTACCCCGGGGGGTTCACTGTGTACAAAATTTGGCAGGGGTCCTAGGCTGAACCCTCAGATATCAATATATTCCCATACCAAAATGTCAAATATGAATGTGTTCCCATACCAACCAATATAGTGCCCAAAAGCCATCCCAAATGCCCAAATATGAAACCAATGCCATACCAAATGTCAAAATATACATGTAGGACCAATGCCATACCAATGCCATGCCTGGTCCAAAGTAGAATATTTCCTGGGGAAAAAGCTATTTATTTAAACTGAAGAAGGTCCCAAGAAGAAGGCGAAACCTCATATTAGGATATGTGTAACTACTAGACCAATTCCATACCATAATTGTGAGATAACATATTTTCCATGACCATTCTCATACCAGAGAGTCTGACCATTTCCATCCCTCAAAAGTTTAATGAGGGGGCATTCTCATACCATATCCTAAAATTTGGGTCCATTGCCATACCAAATGTCCAAAAAGGTACCCCATGTGCGCCGAGGATCCCCGTCAAGGTTTATATACAGTGAACCCCCTGGGACTTCTACTCAAGCTTTTTCCCCACTGAGAGAGTCAAGAAGTACATGTAACATGGATTGGATCACAGCAGTTCCATATTTTTGTTTGGAGTAGAAACCCAAATATAATTCAAACGCCTCCAGAAATTGAAGAGCAAAGTACTGTGGTTTCGGCCAAAGGGAGGGAGATTTCTCAAAGATGAGCGTTAGTATTGGCAACTAACAGTATAACCTTATTAATATGTTGAACTGATGTTAAACTGAAATAAACATAATTTCAATGATTTTACTTTGTGTATGTGCAGCCCAATGAGCGGCTCTGAGAGAGCATGTGCTCATGATTGTCGTAATCATATCCTACAATGTGACTCCATGTCCTGGTGGACATGATTAAATAAATGACCTTAGCTAGACTGTTCATGTGGAGGAATATGATGATAATACAGAGGAATATTATGCAAACATACAAAAAGTTTGTTTCTCAGTGGAAGTTCGAGACATTCCTTTCAACAATAACTGTGATATCTTACCGATTTTCCTTCCTGTTCCATAGTAACAGGTCGATTTTATACAAAAAGTTTTTTTTCAATTTTTCTTAATTACTCTAGAAAGGAAATCCCAAATTTTAGTCACGTGACTATAGAATTCCCTTTGCTCTTATTATTTAAAGTAGAGATAAATCATAAAAAATTTGTCATGTGATTCAAATATATATACTTTACGTCAGAAATACAAAATATTTCAATTTTATTGGGATTAATTATATAAATCAGCTGCCATCAATATTTTTTACGACAATTGGAATGCGACTGACTTTCGATACTTATTTTCCTGGTTTCGAAGCAGGAAGATTACTTTACCTTCTTCAGCTTACTTTGGCGCTAATAATGTCATAAGCGTGTTGGTCTCATCTTAATTTGTAGAATATAAACTGATCTTTCGCTTGATCAACATGCTGAGACAGCTTATTCTCATATTACTGTTGAAAACATCGATAGAAGGAACCAGGAATTTTAAAAGTAAAACTGATGATTTTGATATTCTGGACCTGTCACATGATGATGACATTGGGGCACCTAATTATCCAAGACAAAAGAGAACACATCAAAACATCAAGAAACAAGTTAGAAAAACTGATTTGAATGTGACAACTATAAGTGCTAATTTAGGCAAGTCGTACAAAGGATTTGTAGATGAAACACGAGAGACGGTGTACAACTATGAGTTTGAAGATGAAGCCAATGCGGTAAGTGGAGCTATAGATAAAAAACATTTAAAGGTTTCAATTCATTCTGTTGTGCTAAAATTGAGTATACTGAATACACGTAGCTATACCTAGAATCTAAATCAAAATATACAAACGTGAAATCAGTTCAGTTCATCAGTTTACTTGACCACTTGTGGCATACTCTACTCACATAAGCTTTTAACCATAAAAGATCAGGAACTATAATCTAACGATGTCACATTTATTCCAAGTGTTTTCCAAAATTAGTTGGTATACTGTACATTTAAATGTAGTCTCCCCACATCATGTACATGTAGTTAAAACCTTTATGACCAAAGGGAGGAGACAGTGCTATCCAATCCATTGTTCTTGGATATCGATCTGCCTGGAAACATGAACTTTTTTGAGTCAGAAACACAATGTTCAAAGTAATGACTTATTACTTTGTAAATGAACCTCATGTTGTTGCTATCTAATGTTGTCTCGCTTGGGGTATTTAGACACTTGAATATTGAATAAAATATTTCATTAATTATGAAAATTTGAACTGGCCTGAGAAAGTACAAAAACTATTATGTTATTGTAATAGGATAGAAGGATAATTAATAAATTGTAAAGATTCTAGTATTAGAAAATGGACACCCTAAAGCTGGTTCATGCATCTGGAGTACATGTATGTGTACATGCAATTAACACTGTATGAATTATTCAACCATTTTCATCAGCTACATGTAGAGTAGAAAGATCAAAATAGTATGATAACTTCTGAATAGTTTCATCAAGAGGTCAGTAAACATTGATAAGTTGTTATTTCCTATCGTTAACAGCTGCCTTTATTATAGTGTATTTTTCATAAACTGTTCATTCAGAATCCAGTTAAGCTGTCTATTAGAGATATCTTACATATTAGCATCTTACATATTAAAACCTGCATATCCAAACACCTGGCAAATCCAAACATCTGGCAAATATAAACACCTTACAATCTGAAGACTTTTTTGGTCCAGTTTTTTCTTCCCATTGCTTCCCATGTTAAAAAATTGAAATGAGAACACCTCCCAATTTGAACAATGAACAGTCATATTTGAAAAATTAACCTGTTTAATCTGGACACTATTCATAAAATTTCACATGTTTCATACAAAATTGCTCAAATATATGAAAGTCAAACACTGATTTGTCATGATATCAAAACTTTTGGAAAAAGCCTTGAATGGTCCCAATCATAATGGGGCTTCCTGGCATGACTAAATTTGTTTGAATCAAATTTTAAAATTACTGGAGTATGTGGTCAAAAGAAGTTATAAATATTCACTGAGGAGAATATGCTCGCATTTCTTCAAGATCCAGAATCTTGTGTATTCAGCAAAAACTTGAAATGTGAACACCTAATCCGAACACTCTTTAGTTTAGCCTGTCCCTATGGTGTTTGGATTAGACGGGTTTTACTATGCTGGTATGTCTTAACTTCTCTCAAAAGATAACATTCATAAGTATAATTGACTGTTACTAAATATGAGAATCCATGAAGGAATAAGGGGCCAGGTCAATATTTCAATGTCCAGCAAAAACATAATTAATTATGTTAGGGGAGGGGGTAAAACTCTATTTAATTAGTTTTTTGGGGTTAGATTTTTAGTTTTCCTGGGTTTCGTTTTCTTCAATTTCTGGTTTGACAGGTATGGTATGATCATATAATAACAGATGAATTAAGAGGATTTGAAATGTAATTGATTGTATAGCAGTAGCAGATATTGTATGCTCAGAGGTTGTACTTGTACATGTACACCACCACATCCAAATCAACATTTTGACTTTTGTTAGGAGGGGGAGAGGGGGTTAAGAACTTACTTAATTATGTTTTTTGACAGACATTGAAATATTGAACCTGTCCCTAAGTTGAATTCACTTTGTTATTACCTTCATGAAAATGAACAGATGATCATAATACTTGCAAAATTGATTATCATTCTTCGTACCCCACACAGATATTTGTCACATACTTTGATATACTGATAAACTGTAGATATACTGTAGGATTTTGCCCAAGAAATACTTTGACAATATAAGTTGAAACCCTAAATAAAAAACTAAGCGTCACACATTGTTCAAATTGAAACAATATAAAATTTTGACAAGCTGAAGCCTCTTGGATATTTTTTTACAGAAAATCAAAGTATGTAGCAAACGTGTGAAGGGTATAATATGATTTTGAAGTACAGTAAAAAGTGAACACTTATGGAGCCATAAAAAGTGTTCATTGAAGGTAGGTGTTCACTACAGAAAAGGGGAATTTTTACAGGAGTCAATGTAAAAAATGTCTTGAATTGGTGTTCACTAAATACATAGAGATTATCATATATACGTAAAGCTATATCTGCCCGCTGATGAAAATATAAGTTTTTTACAAACCGGCTTTATGTACCTGTAACACGTCCAAGTATGGGATAAAGGTATTTACTAGAGAGAGGTGTTCACTAAGACAGGTTTTACTGGACTAGTATGGTTGCTATTTATCAAAAAAACTTCTACTTATTTGAACAGGCCGGTTACATTCCCATTTGGGAAACCATGTAATATCAAAGCCATATTTAAAAAAATCAATGTACTAATGAAAAGATTAAGACTTTATTCTTTGTTAGAATATTATTCTATATTCATTATGTAAGACTCATTCTGATTTATTAGTAGTCTCTCGCACCAATTATTATTCTCTACACGCCATTTGACTGTTTCTCAATTAAATTAGTGTCAGAAATTTTCTAAGGAGCAATATTTTAGTCTAGTCTATATTGTCTGTTCACTTTCTTCCTATAAGGAAAACATTACATTGGTTATGTGTGAATTTTGAGATGAAGTGAAATTGTGATTGAGGAACCAGTAGGGAATAACCATGGAGATTTAGTATAAATGTTCAATTAAATTGAGATGTCTGTATTCTAATATTGTATGAAATGTCAGAATACATTAGTTGTCATATTGAAGAAAATAACTCATAATGTTAGCCAAGATAAAGATTGTGTTTCTGATGAGATTTATAAATCCTAGTGTGCATTACATGTATTGTCATATAGTCCATCAAATTGATTCTGTCACCAGGTAACCTGACTATTTCGTTACATTGGACAGAATATAACTGATCTGTAAACTGATTTTTTTGATCTCGATCTCTCTCACAAGGAAGAGAGATCCACTTAGGTCATCTCTCATTGTAGTAATTTCACTTTCATGATTTTTTTAAAATTAATATTCAAATTAATTAAAATAACCATCAAATTAAGAACAACATGCTTTGGGGTAATCTAATATTTCTTTCTCCTTTTATTCTGTTTTCAGGTGATATTACATTTACAGGCAGTTTCAGAGAAATTACTCATTACCCATAATGTCAAGATAACATGTTCTAGACTTGACTCGCCATTATTTTATCATATATTGACCCGGGCTAAGACCAGGCCCGTAGCCAGGATTTGCCAAGGGGGGGTTCATTTTTCCAAGATTCCCAGGGGGGTGTTCACATTTGACAATTTTGGCCCAAATATGGCTAAAATCACTTGAGAAGTGCTCAAAATTCTGAAAAACTGCATGATTTTGAAAGAATTTTTGGCTGGGGGGGGGGGGGGGGGGTTCGTCCGAACCCTGTGAACCCCCCCTGGCTACGGGCCTGAAGACTCTGTGACATTGTGAGATTGCTGAAGGGTCCCTAAGTCACAGAATTCCAGGAAAATAGGGTGTTACTTTTTTATTTTTTTACACATACAGCTAGATCCTGTTCAATTCACCATTTGATTGCTCTGAAATCTCACCTAAGTTTCAGTTGTTTCAAATTCTAAGGATTTAACATTTTTATGGAAAAGATTGGACTAAATCCCCATTGACACAATGTTAAAAGTTTTTTAAAGTTGATTTATTCTTCTAAGAATTACAATTTTAAGGTTAAATCACAATCCACAATGATATGAAGAAATACCCCAAGAGTAATCTCCCCATGTTATTTTACTCATCATATCTTTCTGTATGGCATCTATTTGTATCATTTTTTCAATGTTTTATGCATCAATATGTTGCATTTGTAGACACAGTTAACTATCAGTTAACCTCTTAAAAGGAAAATATGTTTCAAGCAGGGATTTTAAAAATATCAATTCTGGGTGACCAAATTAAGCTCAGCAATGGATCGCATGAGTTTTCCCTATGGGAAAATAACATGGTAAATATTGTTTTCCACTTTATCCCAATTATATTGCAATTTCCTTTTAAGAGATTAACTGTGTGTACAAATGCAACATATTGATGCATAAAACATTAAAAACATGAAAACATTTTTGAAACAAAATGTTGGTGGGGTGTTTGGAACTTCTCTGTCTCGAAATTCAAATTATTTGATCATCTCTATGAGTACTTTTCCTTTAGATAATTCATTTGCCTAACAGAATGCACCTTTTTAAATCTTCAGAAAATAGCCACAATCCAACATATGACTGTCTAAAATCGGATGCTATATCTTCCATGTTTTTTTCCAATTAAATGATGTTTAAAGTCTTTCAAACGTTGGTTTATTCGTTCAACAACCAATATTTTAATGATCAATCACAATGTGTACATAAACAGGGTCATTCCATAGTATGCCATTCGTGTTTTAGACATATTCAACTAACACTGTAAATCATGAATTTAAGTTATTATTGCACATTTTTACCATTGAAACCTATGGCAGTCTGGTCCGACCAAAACAAATAAAAACAAGTGCTGACATCTATTTATTCAGCTTCATAACAGCTCCCTTATTAGACTGATCAAAATCCTCAATTCATAGCAATTTCATAATGTGTCAGATCATGAGAAGTACCTTATAATTAATACCATGACTCTTCCTGGGTTGATAGCAGTAACACGATGCCCATGTCAAGCAGCGTGCCTACTAGGCACGCAGTTTGAAACTCTGACAAACTGCGCGCATATTTCAAAATTGAAGACGGGGAGGACACGACTCCCAAAAAGAGCCAAAATACGAAAAGTACAAGGTTAGTCTCGTTCTAAAGATAGTACCATTCTGTGAAGATGAACTTATTTTACTCATAGTACTCAATGTTGTTCCCGATGTAAACCTGGTTATCTCAATATAAGGGTCTTAAGTAACTTCTGTGTTCAAAATTTACAGTGTAAAGTTATAACTATGTCTTTTTATCGTCATTTGCCGTTTATTCAGCCATTGTATCTGTGTATGCTAGAATATATAGGATCACTCCATCTGATTAAAGCAGGGTAGTTTGTGTTCAAAACGATAATACGCCATAAACGTGATTTAAACATTTTTATTGTCAAACTGCGCGCCTATATTCACATGTATTTCCCAAACTGCGTGCCTAATATTTCCAAATTGCTTGCCTATCCAAGCTTGTTTTGTATAATTAGAAAACGTAAGCGCCATATGTAAGGCACATATGTGTCTAATAGTAGAACCCCATAACTGAAACACTATAAGAGTCCATCCACCAAGATGGTGATCTGAAAATAAAAGTTTTTTCGTTCCAAACTTAATTGTCACTTCTAATTATACATTTTGACTTTCAATATGAAAATCTCATAAAATCTGACGATAAAGCAAAAATTCCAAAGCTATATGAAAAACACCTACACGTGCCTCTGCAGAAATTCCAATGATAGTATGTAGTTTTTATAGTGTATGGGCACAGTTTGTAATTTCTGGCTAAAATAGGCGCGCAGTTTGTGCTTTATTTCTTTTTAATCTCCTGATTATCTGTTTTATCTCGAAATATTTTGAATTATACATGATAAATGCGTAAGGAATTAAATATAAAACGAGTCTAAAGTATTTGTCATTTATGTTTAAAGTGCTAGATCGATTTACATATAAACTCCCGTTAAATCAGTGACGAAAATGCCATTAATCTACTTATGTTTTAAAACTTAGATTCATTTGCACATACTTTTTGCTAGTATTTGCAAGATTCATATATTCGCCACAGAATGAACGCATTGAACAAGAAAACAATGCAGGATAAATGTCTTTAAATTACGATTCAAAATTCAGACTCCAACTTAAATGATGCAATGTTGTTAGGCACGCAGTTTGTGATCGAAACAAACTGCACGCCTAAGTAGGCGCGCAGCTTGACATGGGCACCGTGAGTAAATGCATATTAGTAACAAGACAGCAAAAAAATAATGGCATAATCATGCATTTATGGCTATGTTGGTTATACAATTAAAATGTTTCCATATATTTTTTACCCATCATCAGGTTATTTTCAATATAACAGCCAAATGTAATATCACGGGGTACCATCGAATAATTTTGGCAACGTACCGGAGAACGACATTTTACTAAGAAATGGCATTAATTTAGCACAATATATTTTTTAACTAGAGTTCTATTTTGATTTTGACAAAAGTAAGTATTCCATGCAATAACTATTTCATTCATGAGTTTATAGGAATTCTGTTGGAACCCAGTTCTGATCAAGTACGAAGTTATTGAAATCGGCGCAGACGGACTTTACTCCGAAAGATGGTTTTTCGATTATAACGTTTCACAACATTTAAGTATAGACTTTTGAAAAAAGTACAGAATAGTCCTTATACTTTTGAATAATTCTGTTATTTCTGATTCACACGACTCTGATTTGTTTAATTAAAAAAAAGTTTTAAAAATATTACTTAGGAACGTAACCGGAGCTGGGAACGTAACCGGAGCAGATCAGTTGAATTATTTAATCAAAAAATTAAAATATATGATTTAAAGCACATATACTAATTTAAAAACATACGGGATTGTTCGAATGCGTATTTATTACATTTTATTTAAAGAAAAAAATTTATCCATTGTGAAAAATTAAATTTGGTATTTACCATGCATAAGTGCACTTACCTTAGAAAGGCTATCAAACATAGAACAATCATTGTATGGAGAATGAAGTGATTAAATGTAGTAAGCAAATAATTCCATTTGATTTCACCCATTGTATTTGTTCAGCGAACTATTAGAACCCACTCTGTTATACTAATTTCGTATATACAGTATATACTGTTTATACATACATGTATTATACTTCTAAGACAACTTCTCTTTTTCAGGGGAAATAAAAGCATTTAAATGCTAGATTATTAAAAAAGCTAGGATACAACGAACTGTATATAGCGTAGGTGTGTTAAGTACTTGTCATGTGCTCGACCAAATCGAATCAACATAATATGGTTTCTGAAATTCTTCACCTAACCCCCCCCCCCCCTCCATATAAACGTAAGATGTTTGAGTGAGTGCCCGTTTATTGTTTTATGCAAAACCAGTCCATCTTTGTTTCGATAAACCTAGGCGTGGGTCATTAAGCAAGTAAGAAAGTGAATGATTTTTTCTTGTTAAACTACAGAACATTGCTTTTCAGTCGTTAATAGACAGTGTTCTATAATTCTATCACACCAAGTAAGCTGACATATGTGTTTGTAAATAATATATATGCTTTAAATCATATATTTTATTTTATTTTAATTATATAATTCAACTGATCTGCTCCGGTTACGTTCCCAGCTCCGGTTACGTTCCTAAGTAATATTTTTAAAACTTTTTTTTTAATTAAACAAATCAGAGTCGTGTGAATCAGAAATAACAGAATTATTCAATAGTATAAAGACTATTCTGTACTTTTTTCAAATGTCTATACTTAAATGTTATAAAAAGTTATAATCAAAAAACCATCTTTCGGAGTAAAGTCCGTCTGCGCTGATTTCAATAACTTCGTACTTGATCAGAACTGGGTTCCAACAGAATTCCTACAAACTCATGAATGAAATAGTTATTGCATGGAATACTTACTTTTGTCGAAATCAAAATAGAACTCTAGTTAAAAAATATATTGTGCTAAATTAATGCCATTTCTTAGTAAAATGTCGTTCTCCGGTACGTTGCCAAAATTATTCGATGGTACCCCGTGAATATACCAGTATTTCTTTTTTAATAAACCAGTAAGGCTAGGATAAATAAATAAAAGGTTTCACATACTCTCCCGCTTTTTTTATATGTACGTTTAGAATATAAAACTGGAAAATCGCCATGATTCTAACATAATTTACTTTTTACAATTTATTCTAAATAAATAGCCAATTTGAGGATTTAAGAAAATGAGAAAACCTCATCTGTTTACAGAAACAAATAATTGAACTACTCTAGCCTTATACTCTTTTCCTAATGCTAACTTGATTCATATTAAAACCTGCGACCTGAAGTATTTCTGAAGAATAGTTGGCAATACATTAATGCATTTTCATTACAGGCTTATCTGATTAGGTTTCTATTTCCTTATTACCCATGGGTTTTAGCAATTGCCCCCTGATCTCTGATGTGCTCTATCATGTTTATTGTATCATTTTTTATTCCTTTTATCTCTTGTAAATTAGATTAAGTGTATTAGTATATATCTCAGTAGAAGGTCATAATGGCATACGGTATATATTTTTTACATATTACGGCAATTTTCATATCATATAGTGAGAAGGCAAAATATCAAGAATCCAAGTTCAACCCCCAATACTTCAAAATATTATGTTGCATGATTTTCAGTTGGATTCAGAATTTTTCTGAGATTGGATACATATATAGAACAAGATTACTTTAATTGGGTTAATTTACCTATTTTATATTTACAACATTTTCAGCCAATCAGAAATTTTGAGGATTTTCGATTATTAAATGATTTTTTGACCATCCACCTTAATATTACTTAAGCGTTATATAGTGAACACATACATGAATCAATACATTTCAAGTAAGAGTCAGAATCTAACATGACTCTCACATCCCAATGGAAAAAAACGGATTGTGTCTTTTTAAATATCATTAAAAAGCTAATCAAGCCAGGGCTCGATCAATAAAGCATCTCCAGAGAATAAGTATGGGATTCTACCTGTCAAAAAATGAAATCAAATGGCAATAAAAGCCTCAATTTATATTTTTCTGATCCCTCATTGCACAATTGCACATAAGGCACATCTATTTGTCTGAGGGCGTTGGGATCTTTAATATTTTCATTTTGAAGTGGGGGCTTATACCTTTTTTCGAAAGACCCATGTGCTTGAATAGGAAGGTCGATCTAGTTTAAAGCCCATGGTTGATCTTACAAAATATTAGTCATGTTTCGCATATTTGGCGCTGTTATTAGATGTGAGACTCGCTGAGTAACAGCTATTCAAGTAGAAGTTACAGGGTCAGGTTGAGCTTTAGTAAGATTTGATGGTTTATTTAGCAATTGTTCTATTAAATGCAATAATCTGAGCATTCTGTCAATGTATTATAGTATTATTTGGAGAGATGCTCATTGCTTCCCCAATTTTTTGCAGTTTCACTTATTATGTTTCATATTTATTTGTAGACTTCAACAATCCGTGTGACAGTATCCAGCATTGATTCAAGTACAAAATACCCAGCACGTTTTGCAGTGTCACTTATCATTTTTCATATTTATTTGTAGACATCAACAATCCGTGTGAAAGTATCCAGTGTTGGTTCAAGTACAAAATACCCAGAATTCTTTGCAGTGTCACATATCATTTTTTCATATTTATTTGTAGACTTCAACAATCCGTGTGACAGTATCCATCGTTGATTCAAGTACAAAATACCCAGCACGTTTTGCAGTGTCACTTTTCATATTTATTTGTAGACTTCAACAATCCGTGTGACAGTATCCATCGTTGATTCAAGTACAAAATACCCAGCACGTTTTGCAGTGTCACTTTGCATATTTATTTGTAGACTTCAACAATCCGTGTGACAGTATCCATCGTTGATTCAAGTACAAAGTACCCAGCACGATTTGCAGTGTCACTTTTCATATTTATTTGTAGACTTCAATTCATGTGACAGTATCCAGTGTTGATTCAAGTACAAAATACCCAGTTCTTTTTGTAGTGTCACTTATCATTTTTCATATTTATTTGTAGACTTCAACAATCCGTGTGACAGTATCCAGTGTTGATTCAAGTACAAAATACCCTGTACTTTTTGTTGTGCAGCAACAGAGAAGTGTGTTGTCATGGCAGGTCCCTCTGGAACTTGAGAATGTGTAAGTTACTTAGGTGGGTCAAAAAGTTTTGCATTTGATGCCATAACTTCAAGGAAAATAAGACTTTTACAATGAAACTTAATACACATATGTGTTATACATTTATACATTATATGATAAAATTTGGGACCTCAATTATGATTGGTTCTTGAGATATGGTTGCTATGGTAAACAGAGTGGTGGGTACCATGTTCAACCCGAAATTACGTTTTTCCCAATAGTTTTCTTGCTTGAATAAACTCTTTGTAAAGTGGCAATTAGCAGGTGTAAGTGTCTTTGGGTGGCTATTTTTCTTCAAATTCAAAGGACAGACATATTTCATTAGAGGAAATAAGTGATTTACTGGATATATCTAAGGGGTCCTGTCATACAATTGTCACAAAGATCTTGAAAAAGCGGTATGATGCAGCAAAGTGGGTTCCAAAGTTCCTCACAGTGGAGCAAAAGGAAGCGTGTCTTGCAGCAGGCAATTTCTGGATACGTTTTGGCATCATTTACAAATGCTCCCTGAACCAGTTCATAAGTCTCTTGCAAAGTCTTGCCATTTTGAACCATGCACTGTATCAGATTTATATGCTTCCATTTCATCAATTTGGTTGGTGTGGAAACATCTGCCATTTTGAAAATTTTGGAAAAAAAATTCAAAATTTCCTCACTTTTCCATCTCAATTTTTGAACTGGGTTTTGGACAGTATACATCACAAAGGAACTTATCGTGTCACTTGTCTATTGTGATGTCATAGACACAATTGGAAAAATTGAAGAATTTGAAGGAAAATAGCCACCCAAAGACACTTACACCTGCTAATTGCCACTTTACAAAGAGTTAATTCAAGCAAGAAAACTATTTGGAAAAACGTAATTTCGGGTTGAACATGGTACCCACCACTCTGTTTACCATACCAACCATATCTCAAGGACTAATCAAAATTGAGGTCCCAAATTTTAACATATAATGTATAAATGTATAACACATATGTGTACCAAGTTTCATTGTAAAAGTCCTATTTTCCTTGAAGTTATGGTATCAACTGCAAAACTTTTTGACCCACCTAAGTACACCCTATTTTCTATACCCTTTGCAAAAGCTTCCACTTCATGCCAATCTAATAAATAGATCCTGATATTCAGTCTATAGGGCCGTAGGCCCAAGGTCCAATATTTCACTATTTTGCCCGCAGAAATGACATTATTACTATTATTACCACCATTAATGACCAGGGCTGAAATTGCAAATTTGAAATAGAAAATCTTACGCACTGAACGATATCACTTTTCCCGGGAAACATAGCCGGGCGGATAATGTCATTATTGCCCGACTAAAGTCATTAACGCCCGACACAATATTGCTCACGTCAATATAGCAATTTAAATGCCTTCTCAACTAGTACTAAAACCCCTAGAACAGGCCCTGCAAGATGGTAATAATAAATTTTATATATAGTGAAGGTGATTACATTTCTTCTAAATTCTAAATTTTGAAAATGATTTGGCAGATGTTACTGTACTTAATATTATTGAATCCGTTTTAAATGACTAATGTAAGACCATGGATATGGTTTAATGCATCCGAATTACATGTACATGTATATTATGTTTAGTGAAGAAGAAAAACATTCACAAATTATACAGGTTATTTTTTTAAACAAATGATCCTAGATTTTTATCTCTCATATCAAACTCAAAAATATATTCATGGTACAGCATGCTTATTAAGAATACAAGAACTGTTGTTAATACTAATGTCTAGTATGCACGACAAGACATGATTTCTGCAATAGAGAGTTAGCAATCTTGTGGGAGAATAAATGTGTCATTTTACTCTACAATTTCATCTACATTATCAACTCTACAATTAGATTGATCAGACAATGGGGTGATATAATTTTCTAAATTCTGTATTAATGCCACTCCATATTGAACATTTATGTCTCATAGGTGGACATGTCATGCATATTACTCTGAAGGAATTATAACTGTATCGTCCCCTTTGTATACTTAACATTGTCTACTCATTTCAATCTGGAAAAAAGCCTGGAAAATAGATTCAGCTTGTCGATAATTCTGTGATAAGTGATGCACTTGAGAGGACTGGTAGAGTAGAGTATCACAAGGGTGTGATACATATGCTGATATTATACAAAGTTTGTGAGAAAAAGACATTCTATGATACAGAATTGGTAACTTGTGACTCAGGAAGTTCACTATTATGCTATTTTCGTAGAGCATTCTGAATAATATGTAACAACCTCAAAATGGAATTAAAAATAAAGCTTCTCCATCCAAAATATACTTTATTGTTGCATATAATAGATAAAATTATGAATAATTAATCATTGTCATTTACAATTCTATTCAGTCATTCATTCAGAATGTTCCAAGAGCAGGGACGATCGATCAATTTCCGCATTATGTCTGATCAACTCTTCTTTGTTGCTGATTGGAACACGCATTAGGCGATGTAATATCATCCTAATGCTGCATTAGATCCATCAATGTAATACCTAGAGAGGTAACGCGATGTTGCGTTAATTAGCTAATATGCCCGTATGGCTCTTCACAGCCTACACAGACTTTATTGCTTCTGAATTTACCAATCTTCAAACAAAATATGAAAAACTTTTCTTGGTCAATTGTTATTTATCTTGCACAATCATCAAACACCTCAAAATCAAAGTCTGCTTCATCAAAATCTATTTAATCTATACATAATTTTTTATTAAGAAATCAAGACTTATGATCTGGAATTATTTTTCCCTAAACTTAAGATTCAATGGGACACTTTATGAACATTACAACAATGTTTCCTCTTCAGGTTTGAATACTGCACGGTGTCTCATGCATCATCTTCTTCAGTTTTGAATACTGCATGGTGTCTCATACATTATGTCTTCAGGTTTGAATACTACACTGTGTCTCATACATTATGTCTTCTTCAGGTTTGAATACTGCACCGTGTCTCGTACATTATGTCCTGTCCACACCCAGTCAGGGAAGAGTAAGGTGAAGAAACAGGTCCTTATCCAAGTATTCTCTATGAACCCTAAACCACAGCCTTACACACTCCGGGCATTCAGAGTATCACCACCCAAGTTCATATTACAGTAAGTAACAGTCAATCCTTTAAAAATTCATATTTTAGACGAATTATCCCTTCAGAATTCTAGAATTTGATTCATGTTTGTGTGTAATAGTTGTACAGAATACTTTTGATGCATAAAAACTGGAACTTAGATTTTTCCATGTGATACATGGATCTAGAGAGTCTATTTAACATGCCCTGGACATCTGAATATACAATTTTTTTGAATGCATCTTTTTGACTGTTGTTCTGCTTTTTATTGTAGATCTGGTGTTACTTATGATGTTGTGTCCAGACCTTCTGAGCCTGTTTACTATCAGTATAAGTTCCCTGATGGGGTGGACTCTGTCGTTGTCAAGGTGACTGCTCCAACAAACAGCAGTTTCTGCTCCATCATCTCTGTGCAGAATATACATGTAAGTGTTATGTAATAAATGTGTGCTATAGAATAGACTCGTAATGTTACAAATGGTGAATGGTTAATAAAGTACAAAAATATGTGTCAGAATATACATTCAGAAACGTTTTAAAGATTATTCATGAAAAAAAACTGGAAGGTAGTTCTGTACTTCACAAAAACAGTGTAACAAAAAAACTTGCAAATATCAATATTCTGATTTTGAACTGTGTATTATAGTTTTTATTAAATATCCATATGTAAACGTGAAAAATGTTATCCATTTCATGAATTATTGATAATTATGATAATAATGACAATTAAATCTCATCACGTAGATCTACCTTGATGATATCTGACATAGAATATACAGTACAATCAAATAAATGGTACAGGACAAAACATGTTACAGAATATTCATGAATGTGTTATAGAATATTCATTTTAACATGACACAGAATATTCATGAATGTATAGTATAGAATATTCTTATGTATGTGTTACAGGGTAAACATGTAAGTGTTGCATATCTTTTTTAGGGTTGAAAAGGAATTTGAATTTCATATTTTGTATAATTGTTGTACTATTGGTGGCGTATTAATATTTGTATCTTTGGATAACTGTGATTTAAGAGAGCATGCTAATTCTGTACAAATACATGTTCTATACATTTGTGATAAACTGCCTAGTATATTCCATTCTGGTTTGTCAATGAATAATGTTTGATACACTATTTTTCAATGACTGAAATTATAAGCCATCTAATTGGTCGAAAGAACAGTATTTTCATTCTGGCACGTTGTGAAAAACTTTCTTGAGCAAAATTACTTGAATCGTTGAATACATTCTGCTTTCAGTGCCCAGTGTTTGATCTTGTCTGCAATAGAATTGTTGAATACATTCTGCTTTCAGTGCCCAGTGTTTGATCTTGACCGCAATATTGAGTACACAGGACAGTATCAGAGCATGACCACACAAGCTGCAATTACAGTTGAGGTTAGAGAGTTAGATTGAATACAGTCAGGGGTCAGGTCAAAATTGAGGGACACATCCTTTGATAAATCAATGTTTCCGAAAAGTATTTTGAGCCAGTCCCTGATTGTCATGTAATACTTTTAAAAGGTATAAAATATGTACAAAAAATAATTGATTTAAATTAATAAGTAAATAAATAAATTGATAAATATACAAATAAATGAGTAAATGTGTATATTTCAGAGGAAGAATTATGATGAAGGGATGTTCTTTGTTGTGATAGTTGTGAAGCCTCGTGACTACAACTGCAAAGGAATAGAGTCTGTCATGGTCCCTGCCAATGGAGGTATTTACCATACTTTATTGAACATCACTGCAATTTCAATTGGGATTTAACTTTTGTACTTTAACCCCATCTTGATCCATCAAGGTACATGTACTACATTTACGACTGATGGAATACTCTGGTTTATTCCATAATACTACTGTTTTCCCAGGGAAATATGAAGGAATAAAAATCGTATTACATGAAAAAATCGTATTGTTCCCGGGAAAAAATCGTATTGGAGCGTATTACATGAAAAAATCGTATTGTCCCCAGGAAAAATCGTATTGGAGCATATTAACCTATTTTCGGTTTCCCGGTTATTTTTTCCCAGTTATCTGCATTTTCCAAATGTAGCATTTTAGAGGGGTGTATTATGGAATAAATAGGTTATTTCTGGTCGGGATTGAATATGGGTTTTATTCCTCGGAAAATATGATATTGACCTTGGGCTATATGATATTGACACTCGGTCGCTGCGCTCCCTCGGTCAATATCATATTACCCTTCGGTCAATATCATATTGTCCCTCAGAATAAAACCCATATTCAATCCCTCCCAGTAAATAACCTATATTTATCAATATGGTTTATTCCTACAGTACTTTCTATTTCCAATAGTTGGATTTTGCATCTCTAAAAGAGAGCTTCATGGGGACTTTTTGAGTTAGAGATAATCCTTTGATCTTGCCTCAGCCAATCAGTGGCCAGTAAAAATCCAGCTACCCAATCAAAAAAGCGGTCTCTAAATTTATGCTATTATGATTTCATATTGAAACTCCCATTATAGGTCATTCAGTTGCTTTTGGTGTCATTTAGATCTTACCAGCTTGTAAAATATACATTCAGAGTCAAACATATAATCTACATTAATATGAGAGAGCTTTGGATACAAGTTTTCAGCCTATCTCATACTGCAACTTTAACTTTTAAATAACTTAAACACCACTGGGGAGGACAGTTTCTCAAATAAACCAGGAAAGTACATATCGAGGGAATTGATTTGAGAATATCCCAGCAACGACAGAGTTCCTCCAAAGTGCTGTACTTGACTTGTACAAGTTTGGGTATATGTATTCCAAATAACATATATTGAAGGCTGTCTAATAATAAATAATACTGTGAAATAGAAAACACTAGTCTACATGTTAATGTATTTCAAGAAAATAGTTTCATGTGACTTTTTGGATCACCCTGACCCTGTATACATGTTTGTTATATTAACCTAGATGGGACATGCCATGAGGAGTTCATGAGGATCAAACAACTTCAGGTCACCATAGAGACCAGCATCACAAGTGAGTCCATAGATAGTTAAAATACCCATCGAATATTAATTAAAGAATAAAAATAAATTATAAATGACATCATGGAGAAGTACTTTAATATAATTTTATTCCAGTGTGAGTTGTTATTATTGCTATTTAATTTAAATATTCTTTCATTTTTGACTTTGAAAAAATCAAATTTACAGTAGGGTTAAATCCCTGCTTGTTCACTATCATATTGTCACTGAATAAAATCCACATTGCCTCCCTCTTATATTAAATATTAACCTCTATACATGGTACTGAACAATATAGAATTAGATCAAAGAAAAGGTTATAGCATTTTGATTATAAATATTTATTGAACAATTCTGCATTCTGCATTTCTTAATTAAAAGCATTTATAGTTTGATTTGAAATTTCAGACACACACTTTTAGTTAGGCAGAATAGAATGATCGACATTCACTTCTTCATGTACAGACAAGTCAACCAATGCAGTCACCTTAATGTATTGTACAGGTGTACAAAAAGCAATAAACTCATATACATGTATGTTTGTATTTTCCAGGGGGTGACTACATCATGGTAATTGGAGGGACTGTTGGCGTCTTCCTCATCTTCTATGTTCTGGCTGTGATCATTGTCATTTGGTATTGGTGCAGGTAAGGTTACAATTTATAGGCCCAGGAACATGTATAAAAAAGATCAAATTGAATAATCCAAGTATGTTTTACTAATCTCTTTACTTGGTGTATTTGACTCAGTCTTTTTATACATGTTCTCGGGCCTATGTAACAATTTGTAAGAACTCAACCTCATCTTCACTTAGATAAGAAATAGTTCTTTAGTCTGACCAATTATGTCACCACTTAATTATTGGTGAAACATTGTTATAGTCTCCAACTTTTTTGGCAAGTGTTCAGTGTTTGGTGATTGCTGGTTGACATCTGTAACAGTGGGCTGCATTCGGCATCTGTAACAAATGGCTGGTGGTGACATTTTGCATGTTAATGCCTTGTATCCAATCATGATATGAGGTCAGAAACATGTTACACTACATCATCTGCTGACTGAAAACCCCTGATATTTGAGATATCATCTATTATTCCATGATGGTGAAATTCCCTGCAATCTGATTGGTCCACGTGACTTAAATATATTCTGTATTTACACGCACTTTCCTGTGTCAATGACGTCAGCGTTGGGATACGGTCCAGTATCCCAACGCCCCAGATTTCCATCCAGGATATGACTGTTACTGAAAAAAATCAATGGCGATTACTTTACACCAACGCATGCTTATCTTTGAATTTTGCTATAAATATCTGATTCAAATATCAGAAACGTATACTGTGATCACCACAATCAATAATTTTAAGAGGAAAAAACGCAAACAAAAAGCAAACAACAAGGACATAAAGATTTTGAAGGAATATCGATGTAAAATATCTCTGAGGTGAGAAGGTTGATCTGTTTCTCCGGCCCCAAGCCAACGGACTTGATTTAGGCGAGTTTTATATGGGTAATCATGGAATAAAAACGTTATTCGATGATTTCTTGTGAAATACAGAAAATATTCTTCCCTTGAACGTCTGTATTTCACTCTGCTAGCGCATCGTGAAATACAACCTTCTCGGGAAGAATATTTTCTGTATTTCACTCGAATCATTGAATAACTTATAATGTCCAATGATCACAGTGAAGTTCTGCCATTATATCATCATGCAGTTGGTGATTACTATGGTAACCATTATTACATCATAATACTGTGATGTTTACCCATTCAGGTGGATAGAAGTCAGTTGGTGAGATATGGTAAGCCAATGGTGAGCCATACGCAGGGTGGTTGCCGTAATATGTAACATGCCCACTTGCTAGAAACCCGGCCCACCAGCCAAAGCTCCCAATGGACATTATAATATGTTCACAGAGTGAGAGAATAGCCAAGTCCTCTGCCCCTGAATTCCCTTCTGGGCATAGCACAAAGTTTGACTGAACCAACTGGGTCATAAAAACTGATTTTACCCATGTTATGTTATTGCTACAGATGACAAATACTGGATTGTCAGTGAAAAGTTTTTGGTAAAAGTATATGGCTTTCTTGAAGTATTGTACAGGAGGTATTCTGTAGCCTGCTCTGTAGTTCTTCTCTGATGCTACATCACCCAGTCGAGCATGGATACCTATGATTGTGGTACCTAGAATATAATACAGTCACTTTAATTTGTTTTAATACTAATACATTTTATATCCGTGCAAATACATGTTTAACTTTTGACAATCCTATGTACTTTGAGACTTGACTGTGTCTGTTTCACTGAATGATCTATCTTGTATGAATGCTTATATCTACAGCTAACTTTTTTGTATAGATATCTTGTCAAGAGTATTGGAAAATTAATTTTGTTCTTTGACCTGTTTTGTAAAGACTTTCGTATGAATGAAACATCCCATGGTCTTTGGATTGTGATTATGACAAAGGTGGCTGGAATGGGATGGTACTGGTATACATAATTTGGATACTGGGGATTTTTCCTTTAATTGATTACTCTTTGTATATTTTTTGCATACTTTGTTTTGTAATACTTTTTTGTCTTCCCCACTTGGCAGTTGTGAGCTTGCATACAAAATACATAATTTCCTTATCGAAATCGAACACTCGTGGAAAATATGTGCTTTTGGGATTTTAAGTAACACAGCATTTCTTACTTTTCATTGTAAATCTTATTCCATTTATAAATCCCTTTGCTGTCATTTGAATGCTGCTCTTGAATCTAAATAGCTGTTTGATCTCATCCTTTACAAGATGAAAGTACCTCCAAGATTGAAGATATCCATGTATCGTGATAATGTCTTTTTTGATATAAAGTGACACATTCAATAACTTTTCATCAAATGTATGCTTTTTACGATTTACATCTCCAGTGACGTACCCGGACTGAGAGGCATTTTTGAACCCACTCCAGTTTGATGGCATTTTCGTGACATTCAGATCAAAGTATTGAGATAACATAAAGTTTTTTGCGATTACAAGATTGTAGCCATTTCTTTTGGCTATTCCATATAAGGAAGCAAGCTGGAACATATCATTACCGATACGGTTCCATATGTCTGTAACAGCCAATATACCAATATATCCTCCTTTCACAATGTGTTGTGAGCTTTTGTTGTGTTTGTCTGCATTGGTCATTTCTGAATCTTCTTTTATCGTTGATGCTGCATCGCTCATTGTTTCATCATATTCATGTTTATTATCATCAATCTTTGCAACTGGACCAGGTATTTGAATCCAATTAAAATACTCTAAATATCTTCTCTTTGAAGACCACAAAGATGCTGTTTCAAACAAAATGTAATACATTGTTATGATGGTTATAAAGAGCATCAATTTAGTTACACCATTCATTTTTATCACATTTACAAATCATTGTACTTGCACATTCATTAAATGCTACTGTAGTTTTAAGCTTGACATTAATCTATATGAAACTCCCATCACTTTCTGTAGATATAGGTAGATTGGAATGACAGGGGTTAAAGTGAGCATTAAACATAAATTATTGTAGCTAAAGGCAACAAACATACAGCTAAATGTAGATCTGATTCAACATTCATGGCCTCATTAAGAATAGCTACTTTTGATGTAACTTTTGTTTTGTTGCTTTCTTCTTAATGAAATATTGGCATGAGGAACATATTAGATATATTGCAGGGGTTTCGTTAGCAGCAGATAACAGTTGATTTTCACTTGTTGTTTTTATAGAATTGCCTGTTGTTTCTAGAGACATTTTAACTTTAAGTTCATAATTTCCATTAAGTTTGCCTGTTGTTTTCATTTATTTAGCCCGTTGTGAAAAATTCTAGTGAAATCCCTGTATTATGAAATTACATGTAAGTTTTTTCAAAATTTCTCATCAAACAACGGAGTCTAAAATGAAAAAAGAAAAGTCATATTGAATATGAAAGTAAAACAGCAACTTGGAGTCAAAAAATTGAATTCCAAAATGAGACCTTTAAAGGCAGAATAGAGTTTCAAAATATTTTTAGAACAATATCAGGAACAACAGTTGTGACACTTATCATCTTTTACAAAATGTTTAAGTCACTTTCTCGTTATATTTAGAAATGAGTCTCAAAATATTTCACCTAACCATAAAAATACAGAGGGCATCTCTTTAAGATAAATTTATTTAGAAAAATGGCTCTCTTTCTCTCTGCTTTTCTCTTTCAATATGAAATATTTGAGCCTCAACAATGATAACCACAATATTACTTAGTGAAATTTTCAACAATTTTTATCATATAGTGGTTATAGTGGTTGCCTTTGAATATTTCATCTATGTATGTTAATTTATAATGGGATATTCTATTTAAAGCCACACAATTAATATACATTAATATAGTTCTATATTTATATGAATTAAACATATTAAGTGGCTGCAAACAATAAAGTTTTCCATTAAGTGTACAGGTTTATCTACATCTATGTGTACCTTGTGGTTTTTTGCTTTATATCTTGCATATTGCATCAAGTCCTTGCCACCCCTACTTTGCCAAACATCAACCTCTACTCTTAATTAACCGAAGTAACTTGATCATTACATGCATAGTTTAACCAATAATCCATCACTTTTGAATTTTACGCTGTACAGTAAAACCTGTGTTATTGAACACCTTTCTCTCCACTGCAAAATGAGACCCTGGTTATGGTAAACACCTACCTACAGTGAACTTTTTTCTTGGCAAAACAATGTTCACTATACACAGGTTTAACTGTACTCGTTTCCAAGCAAAGATCAAGTCTTGTGCTTGTAACAGAGGATTCATTTCAGTTTTCATTTGGGCTTGATCTAATATGTATGCAAAAATATTGATATTTTAATTTGACATTTTAAACAGTTATGAAGAATTAGAAAGTGGGTACTTCATGTAATACAAGTCCCTTTGGTGTAATATTTATTATTATTATGTCACCAACATAAGTGGTAAATCTCCAACTTTTTTAATGGATGGTGTTCTGCATTTTGCATTCAGTGGTTGGTTTTATTCAGTGGTGCATTTAGCATTCAGTGGTGCTTTTATCTTTTGTTTCAGAAACAAAGATACTACTGCTTCATTTCTGGCTTCCACCCAACAGTCTCAACTGAGTGGTAAGTAATGAATGAATAAGTGAAAGCATATGCTACATTAACATATAATACCAGTAGCCCTGAAGCATTGTTCAAGACATTTTTGAAAAAGACTTTTTGTTAATATCCCTTTTAAAATGTTTGACTTCAGTGCTTTAAGAAATTGCCATTTGAAAATTACCTCAAGCCTATTTGCTCCCGAATATTCTATTCGAGAATTTGTTTCACCCCTAAATACATACAGTATTTATATATTACCATTTCAGACAGAGATAGTTTACCAATCATGGGTAGTCAGACTGCAGAACCAGTCAACTATGGAACTAGCACTGGTGAGTCAGTTTCCTATTAAATCTGTGAAATTTGCATCCATTTTAATTTGAGTACATAACAAGTACAATTTGGGTAACAAAAATTGCTCAAACAATTGTCGTAACAATGGGAACCATGTTGTCCTCCTAGGTTCAATTCTGCTATGGAATATTGTCATCATTTTGAGAGTCCATGAAATTCTCACAGCATCCAAAACGAATCCAACTTTCCAGTCTTATCACTGTAACTGTAAATGCTGATATAATTTATGTAATTTTAGGCGATACTTATGCAGGAGGTAGCAATGATATCCCACATCGCATCAGTCCAACGAAGAGCTCCTCAGATGACACAGAGGACATTGACACTTACGATCTTTTGCCTGATGCTGAGAGAGAAAAAGATATTTTCAGGACTAAAGTAAGTATATGTTCACTTGTGAATTATGACAATTAATAATGATGATAACTTAATTATTAATTTGCTTTATGAATGGAAACCTGTTGCAAAAGTTTGACTTAATATATAAAGATCAAGCTTCTTGTTATTTTACTGTTAGCCTATGGGTATGGGTAATCAATTATTAGAAGTCTCCTCAAATCAAGACCTCTCTGTACTTACAATTCCATGAATTTTATTTTTTGTTAAATTTCAAGTTATACATGGTGGCATTGCTTTTCTTTATGCTAGCTTGAAATGGATGAGACACAACAGGTGAAAAACACCTCAATTTTGCTTACATCTATTTTTCACAAATTCTTTACCCCCAATCCTCAAGATCATCTTGCAGCGCTGTGCAGCTCTGTAAACAGTACTGAGCAGTGCAGTTCGAGTACTACATGTACAGCGATGTACACTGCCTGTTTTTAATAGCGTAGTACAGTACTGTTTTTACAATGCTGTACAATTCTCTTTTGAAAACAGCGATGTACAGTACTGCTTTTATTGTTCTGCCCAGCACTGTTTTATAAACAGCGCTGTTTGTTGCTTTTGAGATTGGCAGTGTAAAGTCTATATAAATTTTTTGCTTAATCTTATTCAGTATGTTTAAGAAGACATAGGAAGACATTCAATCAAAGAAATCAGAAATTAATGAATACATATTAAGAAATAAAGTAACTGACTCCAAGCCTTAAAGGGCCATTTGTTGTCACTAGTATAGGGTTCAAACTCTCCCTAATGGCAACCACTTTTATATTTTCAAACCTGAACCCTGTATGTCACACCCTTTTTGTAGTGAATAAGTGAAAAATAGATGTAGTGAAAATAAATCTTCACAATACTTTAAATGGACTAGTGTCTTTCTATTAAAGTTATGCTTATTTACTTTGCAAATTGCTTAGTCTGTGTAATGAGAAAGTGCAAAGCATTACAAAAAACCCCTGTTAACCATCGAAACATACATTAGAATTTTTCAAAGATACAGGGTGGTCCAAAAACGGCAACTTTTCCTCATATCTTTGTCATTTTTAGAAATGTTGCCCTGATATTTGGCACACATGTACATCATTCAATTTCATACTAGACTGTGTTATTTCATGAACATTGGACTGATAGTTGCAATGTTACAGCACTTAAAACAAGGTGCCCCAGTTTTCCAATATCGTGCTGTAGGCAAACCTGCACACATTTTTCCAAATCCTGTCAATGACATAACTGCATTCCTCAGCAAGTATGGCCTGAACGACACATGTGATCTTTATTTTGAGGTCAAATGTCTTTCTGGTGTTATTACCCTACACTATATCTTTGGGGTATCCCCACCGGTAAAGATTAAATTGTGCCATATCTGGAAATTGAATGATGTACAAATGTGTAAAATATCAGGGAGTTATTTCTTAGAATGACAAAGATATTAGGAAAAACTAGGGTTGCCATTTGTTTTGACCACCCTGTAGTTCTTCCACTTCAATGCCAGTATATGCATATGCATGTTTGTGTTCTGGTAAATGTTATTTGCAATGTGATAAATGTCTTTCTTGGCGAAGAGGAAACAAAAATATATTCTACCAACATTTTTTATTTTAAGATGTTAATAACAAAGTGATGTGAGAATATCATGAAATATAATTGAAATTCACAAAATGTTATTCTCCATATTTCATAGTTTGTTACATTTCTGCACTATTATTTCATGTCTGCTTCTTAACAATAAAAACTCACAGTTGCCTTATTGCCAGTTTTCACTCATAGACTTAGATTTGGAATAATAGGTGGCAGATTTGACAATAGTGATTGCATGATAAACTGTGACAATTCTGTTTTCAACATTAATGTGTAACCCTGACTACTTTTGATGTCTCAGTCACAATTCTGTTTGTCATACTTTAATATCAGTAGAAGTATGATTTAGTTTTCATCAAGTCTCAGTCCCCTCTTCCAATATAATATCTTTGTTATGGGAGAGGGGCATACTTTCTCTTATATTTTAAGTTTGCATGACTCACGTATTGTGTTAATGTACGATTACTTATAATGTTCAATATTTGAAATATCAAGCAGACCATATCTATAATAGGGATGCGAGGGTTTTCTGAAATTTCAACCCAAATATTATAGAGTATAATAGTGTAATACTGGGCCAGTTGATTCCATAGAGGGTTTACCATACGACCCTGGAAACATTTTAGTATATGCTGCTGAACAGTAACTAGCATAATTTCAGTGGTCCATTTCCCTCCGAACCCTACACCTACAACTGTTGCAAAACCTGTATGTACTTATTTCAGTCTACATCCTAAATAAATATTACACAATCATGAACCATTATTATTATTTTTTTTTTTTTTATTAAAATATTTATTCAAAAAACATAAACACAAAATACATAAACACAAACAATACTTAAATCAATAAAACTATGCACAAACGGAAATATACATATATCCTGGATTAGAATTTATACAATAGTAAAATAGGATTTTCACAGCATTATATACTCTATCAAAATTTTGATCCTTATACAATAGTAAAATTCCAGAAAATCCATTCAATCTTAGTAAGCAGCAAAGGCATTTATAATTTTCTTAAAATCATGAGCAATATTTACTTTTCCTTGCAATTTAAAAATGTGTTCATAAATATTTAACTTAGATGCTATTTTCGATTTAAAATTTGCTTGTTTATATTGAGTTGGATTGTCTGAGTTTTTTGTCCAAATTTCATGAATACATTTCATCAATATTGTGTAAAGCAACATTCTAAATTCTAATTTGCTGTTCATGCTTTGGTACCCCAGAAGTATATTTTTCCAAGTAATATCCACCTTTAGTGTTTCACTTAGAATATTCCATAGATTTTTAATTAACACACAATCATATAATAAATGTCTAATGTCTTGTACAACATTACACTCACTACATTCTTTTGGTACATTCATATTCCACTTATTTACCAGTTTTCCGCAGGCTAAGAAATTATGTAATAGTTTAAAATTAAATTCTGATAACTTTTGGCATTCAATATCTTTTATCTTGTTTTTGTATATATTTCTAAAAGTGATTCTATCGTTCTGAATATTGAAGGATTTTGTCCAATCTGCTTCCATCTTTGGTCTAATAAATTTATCTTTCAATAGGATTTTATAAAAGAACTTTGAACTTAATTTCTCAAGGTTTTCATATTTGTCATTTCTAAATAGGAAAGAGTTTGAATGCCTTTTGTTAGCATATTTCATACTTTGTTTACTCTCATATTTTATATTGTGCAAAACAAGTCTAATTCTTAAAAATTCGGTCATCCAATTTTGCTTATTCTTTAATCTTAACAAAACAGTTTTCTCATCAATGAGATTATTTCTCTCGTCAAAAAAGTCCTTGACATAAATAAAACCTGCATTTATCCAATTTTTCATGTACAAAGTTTCTTTCCTACATAAAAACCGTTTGTTTAGCCATAAAACTTCTGTTCCAGGATGTTTATTTTTCTCTATTTCCTTACATCTATTGTATGCACAAAAGACATGTTTGTAGAACTTATAGTGATCTAAAATCTTAACATTTTCGTCAAAATTTGTTTTGTAAAAATCGTTTATTGTAAAACCAAGCTTATTTATGATAAATTCTGGAATTATTTTAACCGATGTGTTTGTTGTTTTAATACGAGGTGCCCATGCAGCTTTTAAAGCATCAATTTTACATTGAATGTCTACCAGATTAATCCCCCCATCAAGTATATTTCCAATTAAAGTATTTCGTTTTATCCAATCCTTTTTCCATAGAAAACCGAAAATAATTTTATTGATTCTTTTAACAATATCATCGGGTACATCTAGAATACTTAAATTGTATACTAATTTTGAAATTCCAAGAGTGTTAATCACATGTGCTTTTCCAAAGAGGGTCAGTTTTCTTTTTTTCCATGATTCAAAGAGTTTTTCAAAATTGTTGATCTTGTTGTCCCAGTTTTTTTCTTTGCACAAAGTTTTGTCATTTCCAATAAATATTCCCAGACATTTTACAGGTTCTACTCCAAAATGAATATTTTCATATTGATGTCCATTACCTTTTAAGTTACCTAACCATATTCCCTCCGTTTTGCCCATATTTAAATTAAGTCCAGATATTTCAGAAAAATTATTTATTTCTTTAAGTGCTTCGCGAATAGATTCTTTAGTTGACAATGTGAGGGTGGTATCATCTGCATGTTGAATTACTTTTATTTCTTTTTTGTCAATTTTAATTCCTTTAATTTTGTCATTTTTTCTCAGCTTATTTGCCATTATTTCAGTACATATTATGAAAATCAAAGCAGATGCCGGACATCCCTGTTGCAAAACCTGTATGTACTTATTTCAGTCTACATCCTAAATAAATATTACACAATCATGAACCATTATGAATAAAATAAAATGTGACAATTTTAATTTGATATTCACAGTATTGTTTTTATTTCAGACATTCCTTTACGTAGCAGATCTTGCAAGAAAAGATGCCAAAAATTTGTCCAAGAAATACAAACTGTATTATTGGTAAGTGGATATAAGTTAAGTATGTGTGGCCTCTACTTTTTAAAACAAAGGTAATTTGAAAACTCTTGAAATGTTTGTGCATATATTTTCTACATCAAATATGATACAGCCTGATAATGTCCTCAATTTGCAATTTGTGTTTATTTCGGCACTATTGGTGCATCATATACATAAATTTCCTATACCAATTTGATACAGCCAGTCCTAGATTCAATTGAAATCTAAAAACTATATATTCAATTTGCAAGTTGTGTTTATTTCAGCACCGTTTGTGCATATTAGTCTATATATTTTCTTCACCAATGTGATAGAACCAGGAATTGAAATCTAAAATACATTACATGCAATTTGCAATTTGTTTTCATTTTCAGGAATTTGCTGACTATAGCCATATTCTATGGCTTGCCTGTCATCCAGCTAGTAGTCACATATCAAAAGGTATGACTTTCTTTGTGTGTCTCTTAGGCCAGATTGAATGTGACTTTGAAAATGTTTTCTTCGATAGAGTGAAATAAATGTTTTTCTACCACATCTTTAACAATACTTATCCCAACTTTATATACTTATAACGCTTTTATACATTCAACGGCACATTGATTTATAAAATCAAATTTCTCATATCTGAGAAACATTGTTTTTATTATGTCACCACCAAAAGTGGTGACATATTGTTATGGTCTCCGTTTTTTTGCGACGGCGGTTAGTGGTTGGCGTCCGGCGGTTGGTGGTTGGCGTCCGGCATCCGGCGGTTGGTGTCCGGCGTCTGTAACAATTTCTTACAACTTCCTATAACTTAACAAATACTGTTTAGACTGACTTCAATTTTTTTCTAAATCATCTACATGTTCTCAGAAGTTCAAATCTGACTTTAGATTTGACATTTGACCTTCAATGACCTTCTCAAGGTCAAAAAGGTCTTTTTTCAACTTGCTTCACATTGACTAAATTTTTTTTCAAAATCATCTACATGTTCTCAGAAATTCAAATCTGACTTAAGATTTGACATTTGACCTTCAAATCTGACTTTAGATTTGACATTTGACCTTCAATGACCTTCTCAAGGTCAAAAAAGGTCAAAAAGGTCTGTTTTCAACTTGCTTCAAATTGACTAATTTTTTTTTTCAAAATCATCTACGTGTTCTCAGAAATTCAAATCTGACTTAAGATTTGACTTAGATTTGACATTTGACCTTCAATGACCTTCTCAAGGTCAAAAAAGGTCGATAAGGTCTGTTTTCAACTTGCTTCAAATTGACTAAAAAAAATTTTCAAAATCATCTACGTGTTCTCAGAAATTCAAATTTGACTTAAGATTTGGCATTTGACCTTCAATGACCTTCTCAAAGTCAAAAAAGGTCTTTTTTCAACTTGCTTCAAATTGACTAATTTTTTTTTTCAAAATCATCTACATGTTCTCAGAAATTCAAATCTGACTTTAGATTTGACATTTGACCTTCAATGACCTTCTCAAGGTCAAAAAGGTCTGTTTTCAACTTGCTTTAAATTGACCAAATTTTTTTTTCAAAATCATCTACGTGTTCTCAGAAATTCAAATCTGACTTAAGATTTGACTTAAGATTTGACATTTGACCTTCAATGACCTTCTCAAGGTCAAAAAAGGTCAAAAATGTCTGTTTTCAACTTGCTTCAAATTGACTAAAAACTAAAAAAAATTTTCAAAATCATCTACGTGTTCTCAGAAATTCAAATCTGACTTTAGATTTGACTTAAGATTTGACATTTGACCTTCAATGACCTTCTCAAAGTAAAAAAAGGTCAAAAAGGTCTTTTTTCAACTTGCTTCAAATTGACTAAATTTTTTTTCAAAATCATCTACATGTTCTCAGAAATTCAAATCTGACTTTAGATTTGACATTTGACCTTCAATGACCTTCTCAAGGTCAAAAAAGGTCAAAAAGGTGTGTTTTCAACTTGCTTCAAATTGACTAAAAAAAATTTTCAAAATCATCTACGTGTTCTCAGAAATTCAAATCTGACTTAAGATTTGACTTAAGATTTGACATTTGACCTTCAATGACCTTCTCAAAGTCAAAAAAGGTCAAAAAGGTCTTTACAACTTGCTTCAAATTGACTAAATTTTTTTTCAAAATCATCTACATGTTCTCAGAAATTCAAATCTGACTTTAGATTTGACATTTGACCTTCAATGACCTTCTCAATGTCAAAAAAGGTCAAAAAGGTATTTTTTCATCTTGCTTCAAATTGACTAAATTTTTTTTCAAATCATCTAAATGTTCTCAGAAATTCAAATATGACTTTAGATTTGACATTTGACCTTCAATGACCTTGTCAAGGTCAAAAAAGGTCAAAAAGGTCTTTTTTCAACTTGCTTCAATTTGACTAATTTTTTTTTTCAAAATCATCTACATGTTCTCAGAAATTCAAATCTGACTTTAGATTTGACATTTGACCTTCAATGACCTTCTCAAGGTCAAAAAGGTCAAAAAGGTCTGTTTTCAACTTGCTTCAAATTGACTAAAAAAAATTTTCAAAATCATCTACGTGTTCTCAGAAATTCAAATCTGACTAGATTTGACTTAAGATTTGACATTTGACCTTCAATGACCTTCTCAAAGTCAAAAAAGGTCAAAAAGGTCTTTTTTCAACTTGCTTCAAATTGACTAAATTTTTTTTTCAAAATCATCTACATGTTCTCAGAAATTCAAATCTGACTTTAGATTTGACATTTGACCTTCAATGACCTTCTCAATGTCAAAAAAGGTCAAAAAGGTATTTTTTCATCTTGCTTCAAATTGACTAAATTTTTTTTCAAAATCATCTACATGTTCTCAGAAATTCAAATATGACTAGATTTGACATTTGACCTTCAATGACCTTGTCAAGGTCAAAAAAGGTCAAAAAGGTCTTTTTTCAACTTGCTTCAAATTGACTAATTTTTTTTTTCAAAATCATCTACATGTTCTCAGAAATTCAAATCTGACTTTAGATTTGACATTTGACCTTCAATGACCTTCTCAATGTCAAAAAAGGTCAAAAAGGTATTTTTTCATCTTGCTTCAAATTGACTAAAAAAAAATTTCAAAATCATCTACGTGTTCTCAGAAATTCAAATCTGACTTTAGATTTGACTTAAGATTTGACATTTGACCTTCAATGACCTTCTCAAAGTCAAAAAAGGTCAAAAAGGTCTTTTTTCAACTTGCTTCAAATTGACTAAATTTTTTTTTCAAAATCATCTACATGTTCTCAGAAATTCAAATCTGACTTTAGATTTGACATTTGACCTTCAATGACCTTCTCAATGTCAAAAAAGGTCAAAAAGGTATTTTTTCATCTTGCTTCAAATTGACTAAATTTTTTTTCAAAATCATCTACATGTTCTCAGAAATTCAAATATGACTAGATTTGACATTTGACCTTCAATGACCTTGTCAAGGTCAAAAAAGGTCAAAAAGGTCTTTTTTCAACTTGCTTCAAATTGACTAATTTTTTTTTTCAAAATCATCTACATGTTCTCAGAAATTCAAATCTGACTTTAGATTTGACATTTGACCTTCAATGACCTTCTCAATGTCAAAAAGGTATTTTTTCATCTTGCTTCAAATTGACTAAATTTTTTTTCAAAATCATCTACATGTTCTCAGAAATTCAAATATGACTTTAGATTTGACATTTGACCTTCAATGACCTTGTCAAGGTCAAAAAAGGTCAAAAAGGTCTGTTTTCAACTTGCTTCAAATTGACCAAATTTTTTTTTCAAAATCATCTACATCTTTTCAGAAGTTCAAATTTGACTTTACAAGTTCTCAAAAATTCAAATCTGACTTAAGTTTGAACTCATAATATTGTGAGCAACTAGGTGGTGACATTTTGTCATGTTAATGCCTTGTTATGAGTTTAGTTGGGGAGAGTGTACATATGAAACACCTTGTACATTACATGCAGTAATAAAATACAATTTTGCCCAATTCATCAAATTAAATTTCGCCAAATTAGGTTGACTAACAGTACACCATGTAATTGTGTTTATCTTTAGGTTCTACATGTGACTGGTGATGAAGATATATGCTACTATAACTTCCTTTGCGCTCACCCACTGGGGGTGTTCAGTGCATTCAACAATGTATTTAGCAACATTGGATACATCATGTTGGGACTTCTATTTCTTGGTCTGGTCTGGAATAGGTACGTTTGCAACAGCTTTAATATCCAGTAGTCCTTTCATCTTTTGCAGATATGAATTATAATTGCCCTTTCCATGCATGGCCATTTGTTGTCCAATTACTTCATATACAGTTTATATGGTCCTTTAGTCAGTATAAACATCCATTATAAGTTATACCTTCTTCATATCGATGTAAAACAAGTCATTATAGTGCTAATTTCACCAGAAACTTACTTTATTGTTCAAAGTGTCTCTTTAGAAAATGTTGAATCACCCTATTGTTTCTTTAAGTGACCTAGTTATTGTTAAGTTTTTCTGATTAATCGGAAATGAGGTTGACATCAGTTATAGACCAGTGAAAAAGAGGCTTATCATTCATGTAAATGTAAATAGGGCCAATGGTAGGATTGGAAGTTATTCCCTTTCTTAATAATCACAAAAATGAGGAATCACATGGTTTTACTTGTAGAGAGCGTACATACAAGAAGACTATAGAGCAGAGCCCTGAGCTAGAGAAACAGTATGGTATCCCCCAGCACTTTGGTCTCTTCTATTCTCTAGGGATTGCCTTAGTCATGGAGGGCATCATGAGTGGATGTTACCATGTCTGCCCCAACTACTCAAACTTCCAATTTGGTAAGATCTTGATTGACTACATTTAAAGGACAGTTGCCATACTTTTTATGTCCCCACCACAAGAGTGTGGGGCCATATTGTTGTCATACGCACGTCCATCTGTCTGTCTGTCCATCTGTACATCCATACATCTGACACTTTTCCAAAACAAAACCCAAAATTTCAGCGTGGTCTGTCATAAGCACTCTGTATATTGTCAGTGCAGAAAATTGCAAGAGATTGTAATATCACGATTCACGAATCAGAATATTGATAGCCATAATTATCAATTGGAATTGACTGTTCAGTTGACATAGGCCTTTGGTTCAACAATATAGTGTAATACTGTATGAACTGTGCTGTAATGTCCAATTGTCCAGAATTCACATGGAGTCCCCTTTGAAAATTGTAATATTTGGACCCTCAAAAATGTCATGAATTTCTAAATAGCTATTGTTTATATGAAGAAATCTTGAAATGACATTTTTTATTTCCAGATACTGCCTTCATGTATATGATTGGAGGTCTGTGTATGTTGAAGATATATCAAACACGTCACCCAGATATCAATGCTAATGCATACAAGGCCTACATGTGTCTGGCTGTCATCATATTCCTCGTGGTTATAGGAGTGGTAAGTATCTATACCTGAATGGGTCATGGAAGAGAACAAGCAGGAATATAGGTGGCAAAAAGTAGGGTGGATATATTTGATATGTCCCACTCAAACCTGGGAGTATACATCATATCCAGACTCGCTCATATTTATTTTTCATTTTCTATTTTTTTAATTAATGTTCCGAAATTTTGTTTCTAGCCAATATATTCATTGTTTCTTTTTTGAGTAGATCTACAATTAAAATGTTTTCAAATTTTTTACATTTGTTTTATTTTAAAATATTCTGTTCACAGTTTTCAAGATTTTCATTTCACTTAAAGAATAATAATATACTTTCCTCTTTCAGGTGTATGGTAATTTAGTACTATGGATCATCTACTGTTTCGTACACATACTTTCCTCTTTTAGGTGTATGGTAATTTAGTACTATGGATCATCTACTGTATCGTACACATACTTTCCTCTTTCAGGTGTATGGTAATTTAGTACTATGGATCATCTACTGTATGGCACACATACTTTCCTCTTTCAGGTGTATGGTAATTTAGTACTATGGATCATCTACTGTATGGCACACATACTTTCCTCTTTCAGGTGTATGGTAATTTAGTACTATGGATCATCTACTGTATGGCACACATACTTTCCTCTTTCAGGTGTATGGTAATTTAGTACTATGGATCATCTACTGTATGGCACACATACTTTCCTCTTTCAGGTGTATGGTAATTTAGTACTATGGATCATCTACTGTATGGCACACATACTTTCCTCTTTCAGGTGTATGGTAATTTAGTACTATGGATCATCTACTGTATGGTACACATACGTTCCTCTTTTAGGTGTATGGTAATTTAGTACTATGGATTATCTACTGTATCGTACACATACTTTCCTCTTTTAGGTGTATGATAATTTAGTACTATGGATCATCTACTGTATGGTACACATACGTTCCTCTTTTAGGTGTATGGTAATTTAGTACTATGGATTATCTACTGTATCGTACACATACTTTCCTCTTCCAGGTGTATGGTAATTTAGTACTATGGATCATCTACTGTATCGTACACATACTTTCCTCTTTCAGGTGTATGGTAATTTAGTACTATGGATCATCTACTGTATGGCACACATACGTTCCTCTTTTAGGTGTATGGTAATTTAGTACTATGGATCATCTACTGTATCGTACACATACTTTCCTCTTTTAGGTGTATGGTAATTTAGTACTATGGATCATCTACTGTATGGTACACATACGTTCCTCTTTTAGGTGTATGGTAATTTAGTACTATGGATTATCTACTGTATCGTACACATACTTTCCTCTTCCAGGTGTATGGTAATTTAGTACTATGGATCATCTACTGTATCGTACACATACTTTCCTCTTTCAGGTGTATGGTAATTTAGTACTATGGATCATCTACTGTATGGCACACATACGTTCCTCTTTTAGGTGTATGGTAATTTAGTACTATGGATCATCTACTGTATCGTACACATACTTTCCTCTTTCAGGTGTATGGTAATTTAGTTCTATGGATCATCTACTGTATCGTACACATACTTTCCTCTTTCAGGTGTATGGTAATTTAGTTCTATGGATCATCTACTGTATGGTACACATACTTTCCTCTTTCAGGTGTATGGTAATTTAGTACTATGGATCATCTACTGTATCGTACACATACTTTCCTCTTTTAGGTGTATGGTAATTTAGTACTATGGATCATCTACTGTATGGCACACATACTTTCCTCTTTTAGGTGTATGGTAATTTAGTACTATGGATCATCTTCTGTATGGTACACATACTTTCCTCTTTTAGGTGTATGGTAATTTAGTACTATGGATCATCTACTGTATGGCACACATACGTTCCTCTTTTAGGTGTATGGTAATTTAGTACTATGGATCATCTACTGTATGGCACACATACTTTCCTCTTTTAGGTGTATGGTAATTTAGTACTATGGATCATCTTCTGTATGGTACACATACTTTCCACTTTTAGGTGTATGGTAATTTAGTACTATGGATCATCTACTGTATGGCACACATACGTTCCTCTTTTAGGTGTATGGTAATTTAGTACTATGGATCATCTACTGTATCGTACACATACTTTCCTCTTTTAGGTGTATGGTAATTTAGTACTATGGATCATCTACTGTATGGTACACATACTTTCCTCTTCCAGGTGTATGGTAATTTAGTACTGTGGATTATCTACTGTATCGTACACATACTTTCCTCTTTTAGGTGTATGGTAATTTAGTACTATGGATCATCTACTGTATGGCACACATACTTTCCTCTTTTAGGTGTATGGTAATTTAGTACTATGGATCATCTACTGTATGGTACACATACTTTCCTCTTCCAGGTGTATGGTAATTTAGTACTATGGATCATCTACTGTATGGCACACATACTTTCCTCTTTTAGGTGTATGGTAATTTAGTACTATGGATCATCTACTCTACAGTACACATACTTTCCTGTTTGATCCTTACAGCACAAGTCTACTACATGGGCAGATGGAAATGTGGTAAGTGTTCACAAAATAACAAAATAGAGAGCAAAGTTAAATTTGGTCTGGTTTTAAAATGAAATACACACAGTTATTAGAGGTGATACAGATACCAGATTTTGTTCCCACCTGTGAAATAGGGGTTTCGAATCAGAATACAGAACAAAAATTCAACATTTTGGTTCAGTTCTGGAACTAGATAACCTTACCTTTTCACAGATTTTGACGAATTGCCACAAAACAGCATTTTAGTATTTTCCTTTTTAGCAATTGATAATTATTCAAATCTTGCATCAGATATAACAAAGAGGGTAAAAGATGATTAAATTTCAAAAATTATTCAAAGTTTATTTCCAGTTGCCTTTATTTAAACAAATGTTTTTTCAGAAATGTTGAATATTGCAAAGATTTCATGTTTGGCCTCAGATTATAGAATTTAAAGGATGGGTCAGGATATCTGCCCTATTTGTCCCTGGCTTAAATGTACTGTATGTGAAATCTGTTTTTACCACTGTCCAAGTTATATTTCATAAGTATTTGCTCTTTTTCGAGAGTTTTGAAGTATAGTAAACTTCTTACTGAGATATTAGTATTTTAACTAAAATCATGTACATGGACTATGGAGTGGAACACCTAAGTGGAATCCTTTTTGACAGAATGGAGGGTGTTCCATGTACACAGGTTCTACTGTACATACGACTCCACCAACACAACTGAACTATCAAAATGGGATGGTCAGCAAGTTTATTACCCAGATAAACATCAATTCAGTATCAAGATATACATGTGATGTGCACGCATACATAGAAAATTAAAAATGTTTTTGTCTACAAGGCCTTGTAAAATAGGCATTTGGATTCAAGATCTTTTCAGATGTTGGTATAATACTTGGTTGCTTTTTGGCCACATTATGAGGCAGGTTATGGAATATTGTTGTCAACCCAGTATTTCAGCTTCAGCTTCCTTCCTTTTCTTCTCTCCTTTTCCCTGTGGAAGGTGAACACCAAACTGAAAAATAACCCGGAAAATAAATCATCAGTCATCAGTATGGTAAAGAATGGACCAACATACGCAAATAATTTTGTTGTTCTGAATACACCCAAACAATATCAATTTTATATATTTAATGAACTGGGGCAGTATTTTTAGACAGATTTCCCACTTTTCTGTATATTTTGAAAACCTCACATATTACTTCAATAATAGATGACGTGGTGTATAGGTGTATAGATAGATGGCAGTAGTAGTTTTGGTTGAGCTAGAATGTCTTTACTTTTTAAGCTTTGTAGCAAAGCCTCTGTTGATTCTGTAGTGATACGATAAACCAAAATGGACGAATAACAGTAGTCTCAATGGTAACTTACATATCTTCAATTGTTCTAGCTCGTTTGTATAGAGTTATACAATTAGCCATGTTATCATGTGTCAGTATGTCAGTTTTGCTTGCATTTTGTCTTGGCGCAGGTTCTTTTCTTTATAGACATGAGTATTATAACTTAGTTTGGGTTATGTAAAAATATACTATACTTTTTTTGATAGAGTGCCATTGGTTGATCCTGTGCATCCAATGAAAATACAGTGCCTTTTCCATATGCGGTAATTATACCCTTGCACTGGGTGATATCTTCAAAACTAGCGCCCAGATATATATTACGGTCCTGATTCTTGAATGCCTGTATGACCTTCACAACTTCTAAAATTACATAAATCAATGAATAAGTCCTTCAGTTTGTTCTTTTAGACCTACATCGACATGCAGACAAATGGGAGTCAATGATTACTATGCTAATAAATCAGAATCAATGTGCACATGAGTTTCTTTGGAAGGAATAAAGTTTTAAAGCAATCATACTATATTTTTCTTGGAGGAAAAAGTTTTACAACAATCATGTTCCAAAACTTTATTCCTCAAAGAGAAACTCATGTGAGACCGTGCTTCCTATTATTTCATAATACAGTGCAGGTATAACTCAATCAGCCTCAGACTCAAATATTCAATCTTCTCCATTGTGCTGTCATTTCCCAATTTTTTATGGGCCCCAATTAGTGGGCATTACTGGGCCTTATGGACCTTAATTTCAAGCCAATTTATCGGAATTTGAGCCCAATTTTTTAAGGGCCCAAATGTTTCAGATTTGAAATTTGTCCCCCCCCCCCAGGTAAATTATTCCCATATTTGTTGAGGAAAATAAAAAAGCAACAGAAAAATAATAAGACAGGTCCAAGTTCTCACCAGCTGTTCCATATGCAGGTGGCACATCTTGTACTGACATAATTGCATCCTCTGTGAAAAGCATTGCAGCTCCTGAACAGTCAAGGTCCACTGAACATTTTGGGTCCATCAGCGCTGCTTTGAAATCACTCATGAACTTAACCAGTTCATTTCTAACTGAAATTAAATAGTCTTTTGATGGTGTACTTAATATGATCTTTGTAATTATTTAGATTATGAAATATTTAAAATGGCAAGTGTTTTGATAATGTTTTGAATATGGATCATTACTTGTATGTTTTTCTGGTCATTTTTTGGTCTGGTCAGTTTAAGAAATATGATAAATATGTTAAATTATGTTGTTATAGTTTCATTCTATCCATCCAACCTCAGAGTTGGGAAAAATCTAGTAATATCATCATAACGCTCTTACCATTTCCTCTATATCTTCCATTTCCACGCATGCATATGCAGACGTCAAACAGAAGCAGCGAAGTCACTATGAGCACTTTCATCTTATTCTCTTTTCTTAAAAATATCTAACACAAGAAACAAACCCCATGTATTCAAAAACATGGTCTAGAACATGAAAAAACAACAGTGTCTAACAAGCCCCTTTCCCCCAACATATTAGAACCAATATCACAATCCAAGACCAGAACACTAATTGAACATTTCATTCATACTGAAGTCATAACAAGAAAAATTAAAAAATTAAAAGCCAATTATACTCATAATCAATCTTGTCAAAATCAAAGCTTAATGAAATAAGAGATGTTTGAGGAAAAAGTTGTCACAATGTTGTACATAATTACTTTTATCATTCAGTTACATGACTTTGCTAAAAAGGTCATTTGTTGATTTTGGATATTTCTGCAACTCTTATCTGTCATGCTTTGTATTTTGAAATGTGTATTAAAACCATTGAAATAAAAAATAGATCAATATGAACATCAGTCGTTAGTTGACTGATTCCTACAAGCCATTGGCCCAGTAAATAATGATAATAATGACTCTACCTGTTATTATAATGATAATAGTAATGATCTCTACCTGTGTCTATTCCTGAATTTTGCTTCAGCTCCTTTTTAACTTCTTATTTGTGTAGAGATGTACATGTAGTTTATAAATGTCTTCTTATGAGCTGGTGCTAGATTTTCTTTGCAGAACCATATTATTGAAACATTACACCTACATCTAACCTTGATCTTAATTACTATATTGTAATTAATAACTCCTATAAAGTTGATGCAAACAATTTAATCTACATGTAATATGATTATCATAATCAGAACAAAGTAATTTATTTATCATTATGTATTTATGTTTCAGCTCATTAAACTTAAAGCAGAACTAATGGTTGGCTCTCAGTTCATTTCAATATGTAGCTTTATGTGTGATTGAGGAAATAAGAATCAAATTTTTGAAAAATATATTAGGTTAAGTGATTATATTGAAAAGAATAATATCTCATTCAATTGACCCGCTGACATAGTTGATGGAGATGCATCAAGGTCACCGGAAGTGAGATGTCATATCGACGTTAGTCGCCATATTGTAACCCAAGAAAGATGGTAAAATATGCCCCACAACATATTCTGACAAACTCAATACCTGACCAACTCGCTTTATTTAAACATATTCATTCCAGACCAAATTCAAATAGTTTTGATAGTACAGGGTGTCCCGAAAGTATGGGGCCCCCCCTAGGCAGACATATTCCAGTGTCCTCATAGTATGTGTCATATATCATTTTAAAGCTTGTACAAAGTTACATTGATTTGCCAAGTATCATGGTTTAACTCCTAAATGGTAAAAAGTTACAGTCATTTTAAAAGTTAATGTTTTGTCAAAATAAAATTCAATTTTACACCACATTACAAGTCAATGTGTCCCCCCTTGGCATGTTAACAGCGGCAATTATTTTCAGATATGACCTTAAAAGCCCTTCAAATAGGAGTGTGGAATTTTATAACCCTCTTAAAACATGTTAAGAGACTTTAGAAGAGTTTCCTTACAGTTTCTACCCTCACCATTCTCTTTTTCCAACTCAATATCAATCCAACCTGAAAAGAATTGCTGCTGTTAAGATGGCCCGGGAGGACACATTGACTAGTGATTTGGCGTAAAATTGAACTTAATTTTGACCAAACACTAAATTTTGAAATGCCTGTAATTTTTTCACATTTGAGAGTTGAACGATGATACTTGGTGAATCAATGTAACTTTGGATAAGCTTTAAAGTGATATATGACACTTACTATGACGACACTGGTATATGTCTGCCTAGGGGGGGGGCCCATACTTTCGGGACACCCTGTATAATACTACTTTAATAAACTGATAAATACAAAATATTGTCTGACTCCCGATCTTGAAGAGACGTTATGAAAACAACACCAAAGATTATTGTTTGATTTATGATGGTTTAATGACTTATTAATTAATGGAGGCATATTTCCACTTTGCACCCAATTCTTTATGTACTGTGTATGTCTCTTTACTGTTTTTTTTAGTATTTTAATGATTTCTTACCATATAGGATGAATTTTGATGTAAACAGCAATATTTGATTTCAGATTTTAAAAGTAATCCCATCTCCAGTTCTGCTCAATAGACTAGATGCGAGTAGAAATGATCTTGATTTACGTAATTAAATATTAAAATTCAGTCAAAGTGATGTCATATTTGAAATCTACATGTAAAAATGCATCTAAAAATATGGTTTCGAAAATTGTTTATCAACTTTGAAAATTTAATATTTTTTGAAAATGTGACTAGTCTTCTAGTTCGGGTTGATTCCCATAGACCCCATATTACAAAATCACAAAAAGTGAAATATCTTTTCTTGTATTGGACATATAACATTTTCTTTTACTGGACATATTTTAATTTGCATAACTATTTGATGCATAAGGGCTATATGAAAATTGAACCACTAAAAACCTATGTAATTTAAGTTAAAGTGAACTTTCTACTATACCCGCCATGCTATCTGACCCGAGCGAGCCACCTGGTGGTTAAACTGGTAACTACCTAATCACATTTACGTTATTACATTGGCAGCTTCTGGCCTATGTTTTCATCAATTTTTCAATTAGTTCTTATTTTCCTAAGTTGAACTGAGAAGTATTACCTGTTAAATTAATACACTGAAGTGTATGATGACAGATGGCAATATGGTGACTTAAGTTCTTCGCCAGCTAAAATGTCACTCGACTTTTTTGTGATTATGAGTCAAAGAAAGCATTTTTGAGTTTCAAATTGACTTCTGTGGTAACTTGAAACCATCTTCTAATTTATTCCACTTACCTTTTATTGTTTCTCCAAATATATTCTTTGAAAATCGGATTTTAAGGGTGTTAATCAGGGTAATTCTGTGCCATTTTATCAAAAATCTTGTTGCTATCTAGAAACGAGCAATTGTGATCTTGTTGTTACCTAGGAAAGAGCAACTGTGATGTCACGTCACACTCATGTTAATTCTGGAATCACATGGCAGCCATTTTGGAAATTTCAAAAAAGTTCCCAATTAAAAAGGCTAAATGCTGTTTACAAATTGGAAACTATGGCAGAATCAACAAAGGGTTTGTGAAATAATTAGGATATGGTTTCAAAATTATGCTCATGACAATATATGACTACTAAATGCAGGCAGGGACTTTTAATTGCCAAAAAGTCGAGTGACATTTTAGCTGGCGAAGAACTTACATAATTCTGAGCCAGAGTGGAAGTCTCCAAATTGAAATGAATTTGTTTGTTTATGCATCTAGTGAGGACATATGTAACCCAACCAATCTTTAATATTTTAATGAATTATACTTATTTTGTGAGCTCATTACCCCTTTAAATGCCAATGCATAAAGTTCAAGTGTTAAGGTTATATTAATGAAATTGTTCCTTGAGCTTGTGCTAGGTTTTAGTGTTATAGGAGGCATTTGCTGGGGGGGGGGGGTGTTCAGATTTTCTCATCACTATTTCTGTAGTTTAAAGAAAATATCCATTGTATGTTGTATATGTGAAGCATATGTGTTTGAAATTAAAATTTGAATAAATGAGGCGGTAAAACATTGTTAATCACAAATAAAGTAATATTCATTGGCTTAGGTCGATAGAAATAATTTGACATTTAAAAAAAAGATGGCATGGTAATTGATCTGTGTTTATTTGTAAAATATGATACTGGATTCTGATGGTGCTACCCTCTATATTGGCCCAGACCCTATTATATGGTAATAATGTCAGTTGAACAAAGGAAAGCTTCAAAATAGCATTATGCTTTTGACAACCATTTTCTCTTCAATGTGTTTCTATTGAATTTGATTTACTGTTTTTGTACTTCATGTAGATTTGGGTATATTCAAGAGGATCTACCTGTTTATCAAGACTGACTGCCTTGTATGTGCTCGGCCTATGTACAAAGACAGACTGGTGCTACTCATCATTGGCAATCTAGTTAACATAGGATAGTAAGTAGACTTTCTCATACTGTGTCATGTTAGAACTGTTCTAGAGAAAATGAGATTTGTTCTTGGAATGTGTTTTTCATCATTTCATCTCCTGTTTCATATTGATTTCTTAAAACTGCTGCTGAATGTGATATACATGTATGTTAATTAATGAAAGTTTGATATTGGATAAAAATTTGTACTTTCTAAGTAATTGGTACTCAGTGTTCTCCACAGGATTATTTCTCAAGTGGGTGCAAAATTCTCATTTTCACAATTCAGACCAAAATTGGACAAAATATGCTCATTTTCATGATTTTCTCATTTTCATGTGGGTGCAAATGGATTTTCAGGTGGGTGCAAGCCTTTTTTTAAATCTCAGTTGGGTGCTGCGCCCACTTGCTTTAATGCTGGGGAGATCACTGGTACTACTGTCAATTATTTATAGATATTGTTAAAATGCTATAGCAATGAACAGTACAACGTAACATTAACTTTAATTTGAATGAGGGATCAGGTTTTAAATTGCATGTAGCAGAGAACCAAACTGTTCCTTTGATAATTTCAGTTGCATCATACATTGTTTATTAAAACAAATTATCATACTGTTGTTATATTTTCAGTGCCATATATGGATTGGTGACGCAGCCTAAGGACTTTGCGTCATATTTACTTGCCATATTTATTATCAATTTCTTGATGTACTCTATGTTCTACATTACAATGAAGGTAAGTTGGTTGGAAATAAAGAACACAAACATCGAATGTGATTTCTTTTGAATATGGATAATATGAAAAAAACAGATACTTCCTAGACTGCCATCTTTTTTATTGTACAGAAATGATTGGAATTCAATGAAGGCTTTATATAAAAAACCTCCTCATACCCACCTACCCACATACGTTGGACACGATACAGTCTTTGAAGGGTTCAATTTTAAAGATCTTAGTTTATTAAATCTTAGTTTATGATGAATTATAGATGCATTTGTAACGACCCTTGGTAGCAAGTTGCTACTACAGCCCAGCTGGGTTCTAGCTTGTTGGACCTATGCTCGCGGTCGTTAGTTAGTTATTCCCCTGGGGCGCCCTCGGGTCGTTACACATTACAATGTACCCATATGCCTTTATTTATGGATCTGTCATCCGTCTAGTCATAAATAAATCCGGAATTGTAGAAATGTTAATAATTAGAGCTATTTTGAGATTTAAAAATCTTTAAATTGAAACCTTCAATGACTGTATCATGTCTCACGTAAGTGGGTAGGTGGGTATGAGGTAGGAGGTATTTTATACAAAGCCTTCAATGAAAATGGTTGCCATTGCTTTTATACTTCTACGAACATATAGGTATATGTATATGTGACAAATATACATGTAGATATCTGTATTCCTTTTTTGATTTGAATAAAAATGAACCTTCAAAACCCAACACCCAACAACATTACATTATTTAATGAAAAATGACAAAATATGAGTGTAGTAGGGATTTGTCATGTATTATTACCACCTTGCAAGCCTGTAATCTAGGGGTATTAGTACTAGTTTAGAAGACATTTATTTTACTATATTTATGTTTATCACACACACATGTTTACCAAAGCTTTGTTGCACAAAACAAATTTACTATGTTGACCTGAGCAATGTGTGAGGTCATAGTGGCGGGCCCTTGTGGCGGGGCAATAGTGGATTAATGATATTGTTAAAATATTTTACTGTTTAAAAAACATGTTACGATTGATATGCATGCGTGAGTGCAATAGTTCAATGCAGAAGTTATGAAATGTCAAATATGTCACAGTTGAGATATTGAAAAATTCTCTGTTTAATTTATGACCCAGTGCTGTGGAAAATTTCAGGATATCAATGCACACCTACTAATATGATTTATTAATTATTGTTGTGGGAGGGTGAAAAAGATGAGTACCATCATACATGTAAGAGACATCAGAAAATGAATTTTAGGATGTCATAAATTGTACTTCATAGCTGGCAATGAAATGTGGTCTTGTAATTTCAGATAAGGTCAGGAGAAAGGATTCTGTTACTCCCATGTATATACATCGTAATTGCATGTGTCCTTTGGGGGTTTGCACTCTATTTCTTCCTGGCTAAACTCACCACTTGGCAGGTAAGATATACATTTATCTGATCTGTAAAATGAAGCCCTCTGATTGGTCAGTTCTTGTGCTGTACCATTCTGTATTGCTACTGTGATTGTTCCCATTGATCATCTCTCTAGCAATACAGAAAATATTGGTATGGAGGGGACAATCTCAGTACCAATACAGGGAATACAGAATATTTCCTAAGTAAAATGTTTAGGCCTAAGATCACATGATAAAAACGTCACAGAATGTAATGCATTGTTATATTACTTCCCCAGATTTCAGGCCTCCCAAGATGAGCCTGTATTGGCAGAACTCAGGCATGTTCCAAATCATAGTTACATAGGTAACTTCTGATTATAACAAATAACAAATATTTCCAATGTGGTGTTGTAGTTGACTGCTGCGAGGTCTAGAGAGGGTAACAAGGAGTGTACAATACTGAACTTCTATGATGATCATGACATCTGGCATTTCATCTCCTCAATGAGCCTCTTCATCTCCTTCATGGTATGTAATACTTACTTAACATAATAATAATATATATACAGAATAGTTTGCATTTGTATTGTAAAGATGGGTGTGCTGAATCTAATGAGTTGTAGAACATGTCATCACTCATGCATATGGTTTAAAGGTCAGGCCCGTACCCCCCCCTGGCCCCTGGCCACAAACTCCTGCAGTTTTTCACCATTCTGAGCACTTTTGAAGTGATTTTGGCCATTTTTGGACCAAAATTGTCATAAGTGAACCCCCCTGGACTTTTTCGAAAAGTGAACCCCCCCCTTGGCAAATCCTGGCTACGGGCCTGAAGGTGGTCACACCATTATTAAAGCAGGCTTGGTCGAATGAATGTGTTATTTAATGAACATTCTTGTAATTGTAATTGCTTTTTAACCATGTTGACCGATGACCCTAGAACTGCATTTACTCTATTTTATAAATCACTTAAATCATCCTTAATGATACCCTTTGCATTCGTTTGACTTCACTTCTTAAAAGAGAGCTTCGTCTTCACTCTTTCAAACTAAAATAAACCTGTGAACTCACCGCGCCAATCAGTGTTCGTCGGCCAAATTTGACCGACGTTCTATATATAGTCAGTCCTTCTGACGTCGTCGTTGAGCCCGGAATTGACCAATGACACGCGCATATTTAATTAGAACGCATTTGGAGTATGTTTCTTCAAGCTCGCTGATTGGTGGAAGAAAGGTCAGCGCGTAGGTCAAAAGTGATTTATTACCCAAACTGTCACCGGTACCCGTCGTGGGGGTGGGGCTACTAAACTGTAATATAGTCTCTACTAGGCAGAGTGTAGTTTAACTAGACTCTGCACGCAGGGTACCTTAATGATCAATCACCTAAAAAATCATCCTTAATGATAGTTCCATTAATATTTTGTTTGTTTGTTCGTTAGCAAAACAGCGCTGACATCTATATAATAAACTACTCAGTATCTTAATGATGACGATGATAATGAAATATAAAATTTGGTAAATGTCACGCTATATGTTAGAAATCTATTTTAAGCTTTCCATTTAAGTTATTTTGATTTATTTGCAGATTCTATTAACACTGGATGATGATCTCATTACAACCAAACGTGACACAATCCCAGTATTTTAATCTGAACATAGTAATATAACTAACAAAATGGCTGTTAAACTGACTAACTGTTGAACTGAGTTGCTGTCCATTGAACTGAGTTGATGTCCATTGAACTGAGTTGCTGTACAATCTCACATTATGGATCAGAACGTACATGTACCCAATCAGTTTTGATATTTTCGAGATTGTAGTCACATTTTAATGTGCGTCAATGCGAGAAGTATGGTCAACATTGTCAGACTTGTGTCTACATGTAAAAGTTCTAATATAATGGGCCATAATTTTCATTTTATATGGCCTACCTTAAGACTGCCATCTCTGTCAAGCTTTAACATTATTCAACTCAGAGAATTAAGGTGGATATTATGGGACCTGATGTCAGAGTCTACATGAAAAGGTTCTATGTTAATCAGCCAGATTATTAGTTTAAATAGAATTTTTTAAAATAATGGCCACCATCTTGCTGTCAATTTAGCTGAATTCAGAAGAAAAAATGTTGTGTCTCACAAATATGCTAAATATTTATAGAATGTATTGTTTCAATGCCACAATCCTGTGATATATGTAGTTTATTCTGTAATATCCAATTGACTTACACTTACATTTTAAAGAAACCATGACGTGTGAACCCCCAACAATCTGAACACTTTTGGCTGGTCCAAGTGGCATTCAGATTTAAGACAGAACTTCCTGTGTTTGATATTTGTTATTTAAATATTTGATTTGTTAGGGTGAAAAGCTTACATTCCATCTGATAATAATGGCGATTGTATATATATACTTTATGTATATTGATAAAATTATCCAATATTTTGGATTTGTTGTTATAACTTGATGTGTTATTTTTAACATTATGTGCAGAATAATCATGTGAAGTGATCATTGTAGACTTGCATATTACTATATAATCAAATTTACACATTGAATTATGAATGATGATGTGATACTGATTGTAATCCTCCCATTCTTCAGCCAATATGAGTAGGGTATAGGCTCCATTTAGACTGATGTTGGCATGCCATAATTGGCACTATAGTGCAATATACAATGCAAAACTGCATGATGTTTTTCTAGAAATTTGCATATACATATATAAAGAGACTGTAAATACATGGCAAAACAAATAACTAGAAACAAGCGTCTTTAGCACCACATTGTAAAAATGATTGGCTATAGTTATATATGTATTTTGCACTATCAATGCATGTGAAGCTTATGAATTCTATATATGTCTTCATGTACAGGGTGGTCAAAAAAAATGGAAACCCTTGCATCATTTTCCTCATATATTTGTCATCTTAAGAAATAACTCCCTGATATTTTGCACATTTGTACATCATTCAATTTCCTACCAGCCTACTTTATTTCATGTCCATCAAATTGATAGTCACAATGTTACAGCACTTTACAGAACATGCACTAGTGGTCACTATTGCACTGTCGGGCCACCTGCACTCGCCATCCAAAATGTCCCTACCTGTAGGGATATGGCAGGGAAAAAGTGTATGAGAATGACCTCAGGACAATCACAAACCTCAAAAGTGAGATCATCCGTATCATTTAGGCCATACCTGCTGAGGAATGCATTCGGCCCATTGACAAGTGTGCAGGTTTGCCTACAGCGCGATGATGGCCAAACTTGAAGCATGTTATTCAAAGTGCTGTAAAATTGTGACTATCAGTCTGACGGTCATGAAATTTGGTAGGGTGGTAGGAAATTGAATGATGCACAAATGTGTGAAATATCAGGGAGTAATATCTTAGAATGACAAAGATATTAGGAAAATGCAGGGTTTCCATTTTTTGACCACCCTGTACTTATATATGCATTGTACATACTGTACATATGTTTTATTTTAAACATCTTATGACTTTGTCTCATCTGTATCATCATAATCCAATGGTGTCAGTATGCTTGTATTCTGAAAAACATGTGAAATTTTGAATTGATTCTGTAAGATACTTTAGCAGCTGAGTCAGGAGACTAGCCATAGTTTTGAGTGCAGCTGATCAAAATGGCATTATGGACCAGATATTTTATTTATATTTATTTGGTAAAAATGTCTGCCTGTCTATATCACAAGAACCATGGAAATGACTCGTGGACCAGCTGTTAGCTCAAGTGATGTACATGTAATGGTAGAATTGCTGTCTGTATGTTTAAAAGAGGATTATGGTTAACCCAGATGGAAGAGTTTTGGACCTGTGTCTACATGACATTAGTGCAGTCAGAATGAGGGTTTAGGCGTGCGTTCAGAGGGATTTTATGGGACATCATTTTTCATGTTGCTAGTATGATTTTACATATTTGTATGGATTATTAGATCTTAGTTTTTCAGCTTTTAGATTTTGTGGCCATTTTACCCCCCATGGGCTATAATTTGGACCCCTACTATAAAATTGGACTGGAACTCCAAAATACTCAGTGGAATGTATCCAAATTACTTGGATATATTGGTATGGGCTAACTGAATATATGATAAAAATTTCATGTCACGTGGTTAAGCAGTTGCCATGAAAACAGATAAAACATATCCTTCAGGTGTTGATTTTCAGGCCATTTTTCAGAAATGATAGAGTCATTTCATGCATATTTTGTCACCATTGTGTTAGGAAGGGTTAAAGTATGAATAGAAAACTTCTATAATATATTAGCAACAATCTTATATAAAGATTAGTTCACAGGATTTCAGATTTCGGCCTTATATGGGTCCATGATTTATACAGGGGTCTATTTCACAGACTCGAACCCCCACATTAGATGGATGCTATAACTTTTGAAATAATGGAGATACATGTCTCATTTTTTCAGATCTTCATAAATGGTTGGTTTTAAGTATTGTATTATACTTTGGGAGCTGGTATGTGATTGGTTGCCATGGTAACCAAGGTTTTATGGAAATTCGGACCCCACATTGGATGGATGCTATAACTTTTGAAATAAGGGTTATACAGGTGTCATTTTTTCAGATCTTCATAAATGGTTGGTTTTAAGTATTGTAACATACTTTGGGAGCTGGTATGTGATTGGTTGCTATGGTAACCAAGGTTTTATGGAAATTCGGACCCCCACATTGGATGGATGCTATAACTTTTGAAATAAGGGATATACATGTCTCATTTTTTTCAGATCTTAGACAATGATTGATTTTAAGGATTGATTCAGACTTTGGGAGCTGGTATTTGATTGGTTACCATGGTAATCAGGGTTTTGTTGAAATTCAGACCTCCACAATTGATAAACGCTATACTTATACAGGCAGATACAAATATCATCTTTTCAGATATAAGATAATAATGAAATGTGTATATTGTATTAGACTTTGGAAGTTAGGATTTACTTGGTTGCCATGGTAACCATGTTTCATTTTCATGGTAACTGCCATTTTTGTTTTTAGATTCACCTTCATTCTAGATAGGTCAATACATGATATGAAATACCAAATTGCCATTTTATTCTTAATTTTGGGATTTTTTCTATTTTATATGATTTACATGCTCATTAATACTAGAGAGGCAAAAATTGTTAGGCTTATAAAATATCAAAAACTAGTAAACAATACATGTATATTTATATCTGACAATATTGCCTCATTCCATACTACTAGTTCTCACAAATATTCTGACTCCTAACTTGTTCATTTTTACTCATCATTACTGTTTTCATTTTGCACAATTGCCTCTTGATTTAAATATCAACCGTTTCTGTTGAAATGAAGGTTTGTTTTGACCATTCTGGAGTTGAGGATCCTCAGGGGGATTTAGTACATTCATGCAGTATTGGGCTTGGCAGACTGGTCCCTGGGGTTTCACTGTATATAAAATTTGGCTTGGGTCCTAGGCTGAACCCTCAGATATCAATATGTTCCCATACCAATCTGTCAAATTTGAATGTATTTCCATACCAACCAAAGTAATGCCCAAAAGTCATACCAAATGCCCAAATATAGGATCAATGCAATATCCAGATATAAAAACATGGCCATTCAAAATGTCTAATGCCCTGAGAAGAAGGCAGAACTTTGAGGAAAACCAAAAACAACTTCACATTATAAAGGATATATACTAGACCAATGCCATACCACAAGTGAGGGGTAACATATTTTCGAAGACCATTCTCATACTAGTAAGTGGAAAAATCGGACCATTGCCATACCTCAAGTCATAATTTGGAGGGCATTCTCATATCAGATCTTAAAAGGAGTAGAGTCACTATGGAGAGCTTTTTAGAAGGACACAACTATTTCATTCTGGAAGTGATCATAATGAAACTTTAACATACCTTTAGAAATGAGGTGAATTCAGAGATCCTAATATATTATTCTCAAATTATTAAAACGTGGGTTTGTTGAACGTTTTTTGTGAAGAGTTCATCATTGGCTCCAAAGTTATTCATTGCATTACATTAGCTGCTATGTAGAATATCTTCCACCTAACTATTGAATGATTGCTCACTTCAACATTTAGGATTTGTCATTCATCCTCTTCAAATTTCTATATTGTTTCCTATTATGAAGAAAACAACTTTAAGAACCTCAACTGATGTGAACTCTGTCCCATTAGATGTCAGAAGCTCAACCAAACCTCTTTAGCTGCAAACTTAGAACGAAGTACTGTGTGAAGCCATATTAGCCTTCAATGCATTACGGATCTGAATGATGAGGGCAGTACTGTTTTGGAGAATATCTTATGTGAAACAGCTCATATCGTAATTTATTGATGTCAGTTACAAATGTATTCTTGTAATTCTGCTGTTCTTTTGCATGTAAACAATTCAACTTTGGATTTTATTGTTACTGGATCTGATCAAAAGTAAAATAAATCAACTGAAACTGAAGACAAGCAATTCTTGTTGTTTCCTTCAATAGGAAACAATATAGGAATTCCTGATACCATAAAATCCAAAGTTGAATTGTTCACCTGCAAAAGTACAGCTGAATTACAAAAAAATAACTGCCACTAATAGATTACGAGATGAGCTGTTTCACATGAGATACTAGTATTCTCAAAAACAGAACAGTGCTGCCCTCACTTATGAAGGTGTTGACATTTCAACTCTTTCACATTTGAAGAGGGTGAATTATCAAACCTGTGTATGGAAACATTCCCACCAGCCTAAACCCAGCTCTACCAAACCAAACACTGCATGAATGAATTATGAATTCCCCGAGGAATCCTTAACACCCCAATGGTTAATAGAATCCTTCCTTGTTGAAATTGTTGATATTTTGAATTAAGAGACCATTGTGGAAGATGAAAACTATAATGATGAGTAAAAAAAAAGAAGTTAGGAGTAGAATATGTGTGAGAACTAGTACAATGGAATGAGGCAATACTTTCAGACATACATGTACAAATGCTGAAATTAAGAGTAAAATGATAATTTTGAGCAATTTTGCGTTCTATGTTGTGTCTTGACCATTCTCAAATGAAGGTAAATCTGAAATCCAAAATGAAGTTTCCATGACAATGAAACATGTTTATCATGGCAACCAAGTAAATTGTAACCTCCGAAGTCTGACACAAGACACAAGTCTAATTATCTTTTAAGTTCCGAAAAGCTGATATCTGTATCTGCTTGAATTCAAAAGTTATACCATTTATCAATTGTGGAGGTCTGAATTTCAATAAAACCCTAGTTACCATGGCAACCAATCAAAATTCAGCTCTCAAAGTCTGATTTAATACTTAAAATCAATTATTGTCTAAAATCTGAAAAAATGAGACATGTATCACCCTTATTTCAAAAGTTATAGCATCCATCCAATGAGGGGGTCAGAATTTCCCTAAAACCCTGGTTACCATGGCAACCAATCATATACCAGCTCCCAAAGTATAATACAATACTTAAAACCAGCCTTTTATGAAGATCTGAAAAAATGAGACCTGTATCTCCCTTATTTCAAAAGTTATAGCATCCATCCAATGTGGGGGTTCGAATCTGTGAAATAGGCCCCTGTATAAAACATGGACCCATATAAGGCCAAAATCTGAGATTCTGTGGACTGATCTTTACATAAGATTGTTGATAACATATTATAGATGTTTTCTATTTACACTTCAACCCTTCCTAACACACTGGTGACAAATTATGCACAAAATGACTCTATCATTCCTGAAAAATTGGCCTGAAAATTGACACCCGAAGGGTATGTTTTATCCATTTCCATGGCAACCACTTAACCATGTGACTTGAAATTTTTATCATAAATTCAATTAGCCCATACCAATATGCCATAGCAATTTGGATATATTCCACTGAGTATTCTTTGAGTTCTTGCCTAATTTTATAGTAGGGGTCCAAATTATAGCCCATGGGGGGTAAAATGGCCACAAAATCTAAAAGCTGAAAAACTAGGACCTAATAATTCATACAAATATGTGAAATCATACTAGCAACATGAAAAATTATGTCCCGTAAAATCCCTCTGAACGCACGCATTTAGGCTCATTCTGACTGCACTACATCAGAAGGTCAAGTATTTTAATCAAGGGCATTTCTGTTCTCCGATGTGAAATTCATAAGAATGCTTTACTCCCAAGATCTCTCATTCTGTCTTGCCTAGCCTGGTCCTTGGAACTTTATTATCCCATCAAATGAAGTTTGGAGGGATATAGAGAACACCTCCATCCATCTGTCTGTACATCCATCTGTCCGTACATCCATACGTCCGTCCAACCGTACGTCTGTCTGGGCGATAACTCAAATACCGCTGGCCCGATTTTGTTCATATTTTATACACATGAGCCCTATGTCAGTAGAATTAATTGCACGAAAGTTGATTTTCAAAATGGCGGCTATTTTAGTGCCGATTTTACAGTAATTTAGGTACAAATGTAAAACTACATATATTAACTATAATATTTATCCTTTTTCAAGGTAAAAAAGTTTGATAAACACTAATAAAGGTAGAAATGTAGATATTTAGGAAACACATGGCAGCCATCTTGGAAAATGGTGGTCGTTACACACTATTTTATGATTTTTGCTATAACTTCAAAAGTAGTGGAGAGATTTTTTTCTTATAGCAGACATTTAACACGTTTTTACATTTTCCACAATTTTACGTGTTATTTTACATTTTCCACAAAAACTCAAAAAGTAATAGAACGATTTTGTATATATTTCTAATTTGATATGTGACTACTTATAAGCATGGTACACTGTTTATTGACAAAAAGCGGCCATTTGAAAAATGTTGTTTTATGAAGCAATTCTGTAAAGAGGGCAGCCAAGGCCGTTTGATGGGATTTGCCACGCCTTGGCGTTGCTGTTGTCTAGTTTTATAAATGAAAGCATCTTATGAATGTAAATTTTGCTTAGTTGTATATTATTGAATTCAGACAAGTATGTTTTCTAGCCCTACACTATGTTCATGTGCATATGAAAATGCAGATCTGACTATTTTGAAAGTCTATGGAATATATAATTTAAAATTCTGTCTAGTTCTCGAAAGGAAATAACCTTCTCAAAATAATAGGTGATACATTTTGTGAGAACGTAATATGAACTATGTTCTGTTATCCAAGTCTTAGATATTGAACAACAAATATTTTGATCCTGCAAATTTTATTCTCGAGGAACCAAAATACATAATGAACGTACATGGAGATAGAACTTTAAAATGGTCGTTTTGTAGTCTCTATAAAGGCTGTGTAAAGTATGCATTCTGAATCGAGATGTTTTTGTGTGTATGTTGGTTGGTTGACTTTTGGTTTAGGCGAGGTCATTTGATGCCGCAGTCTAAGCAGCCGGGGATTCTGGAATATCGTTGGTCACCCAGTATTTAATCTCCAACTTCGTCTCTCTTCTCTTTCTTGTCCGACGGAAGGTGACCAACAAACTGAAAAATATCAGTCATCAGTATTGTGTAATGAATGAATCAAAATACGTATTTCTACTTATCTACAGTATGAATTTTGAAAAACCTCACACATATCATCAATAGAAGACTTGATATGCAGATGTATGAATAAATGGCAGTAGTCGTTTTGGTTGAGCTAGATAATCCATTACTCAAATTTTGTAGCAAAGCCTCTATTGATATTATTCTGGCTCATTTGTAATTAGCTTTTGATCATCTAGCTGTCAGATCATAAACTATATTATCATTTGTCATGTGTCATATGTCAAATTTGTGTGCATTTCATCTTGCCACAGTTGCTATATTATAAATGTATATAAATGAGTATATAAACCAAGTCTGATTAAAAAAAATATAATATATACTTATATTGAATGAGTTCCAATGGTTGACCAGCAGCATCCTTTGAAAATAAAGTCTGAATTCCAAATGCAGTAATTGTTTTACACCATCTGCACTCTGTGATATCCGTGAAATCAATTTCGCTATATACATCAGGGTCCTGATTCTTAAAGAACTCTATGATCGTGACAGCTTCTATTGATTAAATAAATAAAACATTGAATTAGTCCTTGAGTTCATTCTTCAAGACATACATGTACAGGCAGACAAAGGATATCAAAGATTACTATGAAATCAGAATACTAGTATTGTGTTCTCTGGGAGGAAGAACGTTTAGAAACCATACTATGTAATAATAAAGAGGCTTTAGAACATATATATTAGAACCAAAGAAATATACTTCCTATTAACTCGAAACGTTGCAGTTTACACAATTGTGCCATAATTTCTGAGAATTTGGCGAGGAAATTGAAAAAGTAAGACATCATGAAAATAAAAACGACAGGCCTGTGTTCTCACCAGCTATTCCATTTGCACGTGGCACATCTTGTGGTGCAAAAATTACATCCCCTGTGAAAAACACTCCTAAATTCGAACAGTTGAGACGCACTGAACAGTCTGGCTCCAACAATGCTTCATTGAATGCTGTTGAAAACTCGTCAAGTTCATCTTCAACTGAAATATTTATCATATGATGCAAATGGATGCATTTAAATTAATGAAAATATGTATCCATCCACTTTAGAGTTGGGAATAATTTTATCAAAAACTCACCATTTCCTCTATATCCAATTCCACGAAGACGCATCAATCCTCTTCCAATTCCACGATGACCCATGATTATGGACACGTCACTCAGGATCAGAACCGACATCACTATGAGCAGTTTCATCTTAGTCTCTTTCCTGAAAACAATGATGGCTACTAGTATCTTAAATTAAATAATCTGTGTTAAAACAGCTCTGCAAAATACTCCAAATTCTTCAAAATACCCTGATTACCATCAATACACTTTGATGATTTTTTACTAAAAACACATTTGAAATCTACAGATTTCTTGTGACATTGTTAATCAAAAACAAATGCTGTGAAATATCAACAAAAACTAAAGATTGAGAAATTGTTAAAATGCGTCAAAATACCAAAACAAATCAAAGAGCAGTATAGAGCCCAAATAGCCTTATAACGTTGAAAATGACGAGCGCCGCATTTTTACAAGGTTAGTCAACCCAAAAAGAAAACACTTTATCCTTATTTAATCATAATTAAAATCACAGAGTAGCAAGATCTCGAGGACCGTATTTCTTAAATGTTTTTGAATTTTGAAAAACGGTCAGGAAATCCACTTGGGGCATGAGTAAAAATTGATATATTGTGGTAAAAAATCGAGGCGTCACATTTTTTTTCAACTCTCGAAAATCAGCTCTTATTGAAATATTATTTGCGAAATAAACAAACCGGTTATTGTTTTGTAAATATCGCCGTAACAATATTGTGTTGTTATTTTTTTCAAATCACACCTAAATTAGAAGGTTAAATCAAGGTAAACATTTTGCTCGTTCCCTTCGCCTTCAAAACCTTACACAATTTTGAAAATTCTAAAAGCGTTCATATTTAGACAATTTGAACTGGAGCTGTTATGCAATTGTGACATCATAAATGCACATGTTCCTTTGAATTGAATTTGAAATTTTAGTGGGATTCTGATTATAATGGTAAAGTGTTACGTCTCACAGCGTATTTGACGCGATGTCGGGGTATATTTAAACTTAAAAATATGATAGATCACATCAAACTTTTCAAGCAAGATAATTATTTTACAGAAATGCGAATAAAAAGTACTTCAAGATGATATATAAAAGCTGAGATTACCCCGCATTTCCCGCATCGTCCCCAGGTCCGTGCACGTCATAATTTCCTTTAGTCAATGTTCCATTGGATGTAATTATTTTTATCCTAAGTTGGGTCATTGGTTGGCCCACCCTGTTTCTTAGTGATAAAACTCTCTGGATCCTTTCTATGGTATGTAATGGTTGGGAAATAAGAATCTAAACCAGCCACAAGACCATAGTTTTCTTCATTTTGAATTTTTGTGTTATGATATTGATCTTTTGCTACTCTAATGGACTTTGAGCCTAGAATGTATCTGTCCCACATCGTTTGAGACTGGAAGCTCTTTCTTGTATGCATGCTAGTATATACAGCTGATATCAAGACTAGACTATAGTTTTCATTTTTGATTTATACTTAAACATGTAGCGTTATGGTATTCAGCATAAATGAAATGTACCCTGCCTTGTGGTCTAAAATTGTTATAACGGATCTTGAATCTTTCTGTATAAATTATCCCTACCTGTATTCCTGAATGATATTTTACCTCCTTCTTATTAACTTCTAGGAACTGCCAGAGATGTGGTATGACTCTTTACTATTTTTGGCATATAAAAGCACACGATGGACTATCTTTTTCATCGCAGAAGCATTGCACTCCTCAGCGTAGTAATACTTGGTACCATATGGCATAATTTGACGTAATATATAAATATTTCTCGCCATTATATTATTGTAAGCTGGTAGCAGCTTGTATGTTGTAGAAAACTATTGGAATATCCCCAAAGATCAAAGAAATAGTTTTATTTTGACTTTGATGGCTTTGTCTATTCAAATATGACATGTACTACCCAATGAAAACGTTATTCAAAATCTTAAAAGCAGATTCATTCAGTTCATTTTCATATTTGTGTTAAATCAACACACAACACAAGTACATGTACATTTTTACGGATAATGGTGATTTTACTTTAACTACTAATTAAATCATCTAAATCTAAACAGATTATTAAAACGTTGACTTCATAATGTTTCTCCTCTTTACAGTCAACCTTGCGATCAATGTGTGTACCAAAGTGTATTGTTTTCATAAAAAAGTCACTTTACCATAGCTAATATTAAACTTTTGATTCATGTGTACATGTTTTTCTATTTTAAAAATAGTTGATAATCGTCTTATTCATTATGGCAATCAAAACTCAAAATTTGTGGAATTAGATCAAATAAATAGGTCTAATTCTTAGTAGTCTGGAAATTGGATTTGGCATTTTCTCACAGGATAGTGTCTTTGACAAGATTACTTGATGATACTGATAGATGTCACTGAAAGGCCAGTTTTACGAGTATAATCGATAAAACAAACATTTACTCCTGTTACACCAGGACGGTTGAAATGCTTCGTTACGAAGCATTTTGACAAAAAGCTTCGTAACGAAGAAATTTCAGGCCAGGAGTCCGTTTCTGAACTTTTCGTATCGTATATCATTGTAAAAGCCAATTCTGAAAATCATCGTAAAGGAGTGGTATCGAGATGGAGAACTGAATTCAACAATGTTTTTCTCAAACATTAGATGTAATAAAACACGGTATTTTATGTAATGTTGACTGATTGACAACAATTTAATGCGAAAATTATTTAGAAATATTTTGTATAACTGTTTTTGTTAACCATTTTTTTGTTTTTTTAGTGCAATTGTTTTTGCTAAATTTCTACCAATTCTTGAGAATGAAATAAAATGTCTTTCCGAACCTTGCTGGAACAAAATAGCATATACAACATGTTTTTAGACCTCTCAATATTAAAGTAATACAAAGGAATTTTTGGTTGATTTTAAAAAAGTATTCAAAAAATTAAAACAAAATCCCCCAAAATAGATAAAATCCTTTTATTTCATTAACAAGATATTTTTTAAAATCAACCAAAATTTCTTTGTACAATTACAAAATTGAGAGACCTAAACATGTTGTGTTTTTGTCGTTTTGTTCCAATGAGGTTCGGAAAGATGTTTCATTTCACTCTTACTGGAAACGTGACACCAAGAACAAAACAAGTTTTTGATGTGTTTTCTAAAACAATATAGATGTTTGTTTGTTTGTTGTTTGTTTCAAATTATATTGTTACCATTCAAAAGATGACCATTAACTTGACGATGTGTTAAATTTTTAGATTTTTTATGACTAGTTTAAGAGAAACGTGTGTTCAAAAAGTTCTCCATATCGATACCAATCCTTTTTAATTAATTCTGTAAGATACAGGTACTTCTAAGCAGTTGAGTCAGGAGACGGGCTCTCGCCATAATTTTGAGGGAAGCTGGTCCACCATTTTATCATATTGTCCTTTATTTTTTGAAAATGTCAGCCTGTCTGTTTCACAAGAACCATGGAAATGACTGATGGACCAGCCGTTAGCTCAAGCTCTGCTAAGTGATGTAATGTGAGAATTTATCAGCGTCTACCTGAGGTAATTCAATTACTGTCTGTATGTTTAATACATGATTCAGGTTGACTCAGGTGAAAGTTTTTGACCTGTGTCTACATATGACATCAGACTGTAAAGGATGGGTATCGATATTGTGAACTTTTTGAACACACGTTTCTCTTAAACCAGCCATCAAAAAATTCTGTAAATTTTACACATCGTCAATTTAATGGTCATCTTTTGAATGGTGACAATATAATTTGAAATAAATATATATACCTTTCTCTATATTGTTTTAGAAAACACATCAGACACCTCTTTTGTTCTTGGTATCATATGTTCGTTATGAAATGAAACATCTATTCGAACCTCGATCATTGGAACTAAATGACATAAACACAACGTGTTTAGGTCTCTCAATATTGTAATTGTATAAAGGAAAGTTTGGTTGATTTTAAAAAAGTATCTTGTTAATGAAATAAAAGGTTTATCTTAACTTTTTTTTATATATTTTGGGGATTTTTGTTTTCGTTTTTTGAATACCTTTTGTAAAATCAACCAAAATTCCCTTTGTATAAATATAATATTGAGAGGTCTAAGAAAATATTATGCTATTTTGTTCCAACAAGCTTCAGAAAGACATTTTATTTCATTCTCAAGAATTGGTAAAAAGGAACAAAAAACAATTGCACTAAAAAACAAATATGTTAATGAAAACATAAATTGTTGTTAATCAGTCAACATTACATAAAGGACCGTGTTTTTTATAGAATGTTTCAACAATTGGTTTAAGAGAAAAACATTGTTGAATTCAGTTCACCATATCGATACCTATCCTTTGCATTTAAAAAGTATTTTAACCAAGGGGCATATCTGTTCTTTAATGTGAAACCCATAAGAATAATCACCGGAGTTACGCTCGATTACGCTGGTATACCGAAACGGTTTGTTTCGGTAACAAAATGTCGGAACGTCGAAGGTACGATTTTTATTTTTTCCTTATTTCACGTGTTGTAGGCAGAATCCCCACGACGTTTTTTCTCACAAACGTATATCAGTATCATATGTTTTAGAAAATGTACATGTTTGCAAAAATAGCTCAGAAGGCAACAGAATCGTCGATTTAATTCCTCAGTTAAGTTACATAAACGGTTTGGGTTAAAAGTGCAGATCTTAACTTTCTTTTGAAAAAACGTTTATGTAACTTAAGTGAGGAATTAAATCGACGATCCTGTTGTCTTCTGAACTATTTGTTTGCAAATATGTACATTTTCTTAAACATATGATACTTTATCCAAGTTTGTGTTAAAAATGTCATGGGAATTCTGCCTACGTGTGAAATAAGGAAAAAAGAAAAATCCTACCTTCGATGTTCCGACATTTTGTCCGTTTCGGTAACCAGCGGTAATCGAGTGGATCACAAGATCTCACTACTCTGCCTAGTTTAGTCCTTGGAAATTTATTTTTAAATGAAAGCATCTTAGAAATGTAAACTATGCTTAATTGTCTATTATTGAATCCAGACAAGTCTTATCTTGCCTTATGGTGTACTCGTGTGCATATTAATACTGCATGCATATTTGATTTAAATTGTTTTTTGAAATGATATAAATCAGACTCTAAATTTGCATGTAAAGGTCTTTTAACCAAGGGGCATTTCTGTTATTTGATGTGAAACCCATAAGAATAATACTAAATACTCCTAAGATCACACTATTCTGCCTAGCTTAGTCCTTGAAACTTTATTTTTTAATGAAAGCATCTTATAAATGTAAATTATTCTTAATTGTCTATTATACAGACACGTCTTATCTTGCCTTATGGTATACTCATGTACATATTAATATTATAACATACCTATGATGATGTATAGTGCAAAGTGTACACAAGACAGCGGGCCAATATAAGTTTTGAAAAGCCCGTGCCCGCTAACTTTCTGATTGGTCAAGGCGCTGACGTCATAACCAATCAATCGAAGATAAAACTGCGCGAGCAATTTTTCTAAACTCATTTCAATCATTTTCAAACCATTTGTTTGTCAAAATTCTATAAGAAAACGGTACCCTCTGACCAGTCTACATCATCATAGGTATGTTATAAATCGTTAATGTCACTATCGTGGCGCATATGTCCTCGGTTCTCAGAGATCAATGTCCCTCCCAAGGTCGGGCCATATATCACTGAGACCTCGGGCATATATGCCACGATAGTGACATAACCTCTAATTATTATATACCCAATATGTAACACTAATCCTGATTGGTCAATACCTAGTCACGTGTTCCGAAATAGATTTACTATTTCCCTCGGAAAGTTATATTCCCGCTGACGTCACATTTGAACTATTGCCCGCTGACGTCACGATTGCAACTTCTATTACCCTTAGAAACGTCTGCGCATCATCACTGCGCAGACGAAAAACAGAAAAATGGAGGATGAGCACAAACACAAATCAACTCCGTTCACCATGATAGACGTGCGTGAACGATACAGTATAAGCAACGTGTATAAAGTTCCCTAAGCTCAATACGTCTGTGTAATTTCAAGTGTTATGATAATCTATTCTATTGAATTTGTCAAGTGAGAGTCTCAGAGGCAAAAATTTCTGTTGAGCATCTGATGACGTCACAGCTTATAATGCTAACAATGGACCCGGGGAGGGGGCTTTCTAAGCCTTTTTGGCCTTCGCAGAGGAAACGGGACAAGAGTCAGTATAGGGTATATAATAAAACAAATAGTGACTGCCTAATTTCGAGCAATAGTGTAAATGATTTCCCCTTGGGAATATCCTCTACAATGTAGGCTTACTATTCCCTCAGCATTGGCAGTCACTATTTGTATACTGTAGGCCTATGCATATTTGATTTAAATTAATTTATAAATTGTTTTTTGAAATGATATAAAATGTAAAATTAAATAATTCTATCTAGTCCTCAAAAGAGCTTTCTCGAAACCAACAGGGTAATACATTTTGTGAGAACTGAAAATATACTATGTTCTGTACTCTATTCCTCCAAATCTTAGATGTCATGGATATTGAACAACAACTATTTTGATCATGCAAATTTTATTGTTGAGGAACCAAGATACATAGTTAAAATTAAGAAATTCTCCATCTAAAATGTCACTCGACTTTTTGGCAATTAAAAGTCCCTGCCTGCATTTAGTAGTCATATATTGTCATGTGCATAATTTTGAAACCATATCCTAATTATTTCACAAACCCTTTGTTGATTCTGCCATAGTTTCCAATTTGTAAACAGCATTTAGCCTTTTTAATTGGGAACTTCTTTGAAATTTCCAAAATGGCTGCCATGTGATTCCAGAATTAACATGAGGGTGACGTGACATCACAGTTGCTCGTTCCTAGGTAACAACAAGATCACAATTGCTCGTTTCTAGATAGCAACAAGATTTTTGATAAAATGGCACAGAATTACCCTGATTAACACCCTTAAAATCCGATTTTCAAAGAATATATTTGGAGAAACAATAAAAGGTAAGTGGAATAAATTAGAAGATGGTTTCAAGTTACCACATAAGTCAATTTGAAACTCAAGAATGCTTTCTTTGACTCATAATCACAAAAAAGTCGAGTGACATTTTAGATGGAGAATTTCTTAGTATTGTAGTAAAGTCTGTATTCAATATCAAGATGTTTTATGTTGATGTTGGTTGGTTGATTTTTGGTTAGGCACGGCCAGAGTTAAGATGCTGAAATAATGTTGTAAACCCAATATTTAATCTGCAACTTCCTCTCTCCTCCTGTCATTTCCCGATGGAAGGTGAACACCATTCTGAAAGAATATGAGGAATGACTCAACAAGAGCAAATAATTGGTTGTTCTGAATACTCTCAAACGTTATCCATATTTAGACAAGTTTTTTACTGAATCTACTTATTTTTCGACATATTTTGGAAACCTCAAACAATACTTTCAATAATAGATGATGTGGTATGTAGGTGTATAAATAGATGGCAGTAGTAGTTTTGGTTGAGCTAGAATGCCATTACTTTCAATGCTTTTGTAGTAAAGTCTTCAGTGACTAGGAAAGTGAGACCATCTACCAAAATGGACAAATATCATTTGCTTCCATAGTATTGAATTATTCTGGCTCATTTGTAATTAGCTTCTGATCATTTGTCAGGTGTCATATTTCTTTGCCCCATTTCATCTTGCCACAGTTTGCTTTATTATAAGTGTATATAAATGAGTTTATAAATCAAGCCTGCTTATAGAATAGCTAGATTTTGATATATACCTAGCCTGATAGAGTTGCACTGGATCACCAGCAGCATCCTTTGATAATATAGTGCCAATTCCATATGCACTTATTATATTACACGATCTGCATTCTGTGATGTCCTCAAAGTCAACTTCGAGATATATATCAGAATCACCTTGCTTGAAGAGCTCTATGAGTTCCACAACTTCTATTGAGTAAATAACACATTAAATTAGTCAGTTTGTTCCTTTAAATGTACAAGTACATGCAGACAATGAAAGGACCTGTATGCTGTAAATCAGAATAACTTTGTTCTCTGGGAGGAATAATTTAGTTTAAAAAGGATCATACCTCTATGGTAAAGCTGCAAAACCAGTTCTGCCAGTAATAAGAAACTATATAGTAGAACCAATGTACAACTCGTTATTCTCAATGTTTAGGTATAACACAATAAGCACTACCCCTCGGTGCTGTCATTTCAGAGAATTATTACACATTCACTGGTGATCCGCGCGATAACGCTGGTTACCGAAACGGTTCGTTCGTGAACTAATATATTTCTACTTTGGTTCAGCCTTCGTAATAGTTTGCAACAACAACTTTTCGATAAATATCACAAGCTTTGAAGTCAAAATAACAAAATGGATGTTTTTGTGCTAAAACAAGATAATAAGAGATTCTAAAATTGGTTTTCGTACAACTTTAAACTTAAAAAAATAAAGAGAACAAGCAGCGATGACACAGTTTTGTTTTTTATCTTCACCAAAAGTGATATAAAGGCTCCACATTTTGGTTGACAATCGCCTTGTGTATAGCATAGCATAGCACAGCACAGCATATAGCATTGTGCATAGCATTATGCATGGCATTATGCATAGCATTATATTGCATTGCATTTTATTGCAGTGCATTTTATTGCATTATATTGCACTGCATTGCATTGCATCGTATTCCGTATTTACCATTTCAGTTACACTTTTATTACATAAAATGTTATTTATAAGATTATAATTTTCAAGCATTGAAAAATGTTTTATACAATATCACTTAAAAATATGAAATGGCCCAAAATAATATATTTCCAATGGAACCCTTTGCAAGGGTCACATCTGTTTGTGTCAGTCGGTAATATGGATTGTCACCCCTACAACAATACAATACTTAAAAATTGATATGCGTTCAATAGCACGTAGCTTGAATGATATTGGAAGTCTACTCAAATATGAACTTCGAAAAAGTGATGAATTAGCACTAAGCATGAATTATTTTTTAGTCAATAAGATAATTTGTTAATTTCATAAGCAATGAAGGGGGGGGGTGAATCTTTCTATTTATTGTAAACAATAAATTACACAGAGCAAATCGACACTTGCTAACTTTTGTTATATGAGAGAGGGAAGAAATTAATGAATTAAATTGTGAATAGGATGTCAGTTTTGTATCAATATTGCAATGGAATGGAATGCACATATTATAAGAATATATATGAGAATAATTACAAGATTTTGATTCATTATCTCAGGTTCAGCTTCACAAATGGCCATGGCACATGCGACAAATCTATGAGCCTGGATATGGAGCATGACATCCCAAAGATCAACATTTTTCATTCGTCAACGTAACAAAGTGTCTTCGTCAACGTCACATTGGCAATATTCACGAAGATCGTCAACGTTACAAAAGCGAGGGACTAAATATGTGAATTGCGTCTTTGTTAATACACCAAACATAAAACCGCATGTATATTCTCAAACTAGACTATCTTCCTTAACATTGAGCCAAATTATTGTATAAGTGGTGTAAAATCGAGAAATAAAGATATCTTTAAGAAAACGAAGCCCGGAAGTTCTTCCATCGTGTTACACTGACGTACGCAAACTTGAAAATAAATATGTCTCATTAAATATTAGCTGTTGGATGTGGATTTAATTTCAAATTGACCAATAGTCTGCAATGCTCTCGGGTCAGAGGTTAAAACATGTAAACATAACAGCAAAATGCCTTCTTCTTGTGTTTACAAATGACCCCACTACTAGGTGAATTTTTTGAGGTAATCCAGGGGACAAAATGGTGAGCCAATTTATACAATTTTGGATATAATTTTGGTACCCTTTGCATTCTTTTGACTGCACTTCTTAAAAGAGAGCTTCGTAGTTTAACTTGACTCTGCATGCAGGGTATAATTTTGGTGGTAATAACATTTATGTAAAGAGCTTTTGAGTACACCTTAGTAATCAATAGAAGAATTGAAGTAGTTGCTTTGCAGTGACTGAAAAAATGATCATTGGATCCGCCAGTGGGTTTCTAGAAAATTAAACACTGTTAAAAATGGAAAAATCATGAAATACAAGGACATAATAGCCCTAAACAAGAATTCAATAAGTTACTTCTTTAGTTTGCTAGAAAACTGGGCAGAGGGAAAGGCAAAATAAGAATAAACTGGATTTTCAATCTAATTTATAAAACAGGCCAGAGCTCTCACCAGTTTGTCCAGATGCAGGTGGAGCATCTTGTGGTGCAAAAATTGCATCCTCTGTGAAAAGCACTGCTAGATTTGAACAGTCGAGATCCACTGAACATTGTGGCTCCATCAATCCTTCTTTAAATTCTCCCAATAACTCATCCAGTTCATCTCCAACTGAAATATACATTTTGAATATTTAGTTTATTGAAAGGTTTGACAGGACTTGGGATGATCTTCTATATTAAGACACCATCAATCCATTCATTTATCATACACGATGACCACTGAATTTAAAGTGGATATTGTTTTTTCCGATTTTTTTTACTTCAGTTTGAACTATGTGTACATCTTATACGAATATATCAGTACATCTTATTAGCATTGGACATTTTCTGAGTGCACTGTCATAGTAACAGGGACAATATTTCTATTAAAGGAGTGGTATCGATATGGTGAACTTTTTGGACATGCATTTCTCTTAAACCAGTAATCAAAACATTCTGAAAATTTTACACATCCTCAATTTAATGGCATCTTTTGGATGGTAAGGTTATAATTTGAAATATATATAAATACTTTTTTTCTATATCATTTTAGAAAACACATCAGACACTCCTTTTGTTATTAGACTCCAGATGAAATCTGGAGTCTATTGTTTTTGCCTGTTTTCTTATTAGACTCCAGATGTCAATCTGGAGTCTATTGTTTTTGCCAGTATTCTTCTTATTAGACTCCAGATGTCAATCTGGAGTCTATTGTTTTTGCCAGTATTCTTATTCTTCTTCTTATTAGACTCCAGATTGAAAATCTGGAGTCTATTGTTTTTGCCTGTATTCTTATTATTAGACTCCAGATGTCAATCTGGAGTCTATTGTTTTTGCCAGTATTCTTCTTCTTCTTCTTCTTCTTATTATTTTTCTTTAAGAGTTTTTTCAATAACTATAAGGTATCCAGTAAAGACCATTATACAGTTCATTTAGGTTCAGTATCTAGTTGGTGGGAAATTGGGTCAAATTTTCATCTAGGTCAAAGGTCAAGAACTAGGTCAAATCCAGTACTTTGTCACTTTTTTCGATTTTCTCGGTCGTCCTTCAATATTTTTGATCCGGTTTTTTTTCATTGTGTTCCTCATAAAAAAGTAGAAAATCTAGGGTCGATTTAGTTTTTTGGTATCTCAAACCGATTTCGAGATATCAGTGTCCGAAAACGAGGTCCAAAAAAAAGTTCTTCGAATCCAATGTCCAGGATATCAGTTTTATAGGAAATTTTCTCAGGATTCCGAATCTGAAAACAAAATTTCGATCTGACTTCCGGTGCAGAAGTTATGGCGTTTTGAAAATTCAAAAATCGCTAAATTTGGTGCCCCATGTTAATTCAATGGGAAAAAATATTTTTTTGAAGTGTAAAGTACGAGATATAGACTAAGCACAGCTAAACATAATGGAAGCCCATAAAAGAAAGGGACCTCAAAACCTTCTTTTCATAAAAATTTGGACACCAAAATGCCTAGGTCAAAATCTAGGTCAAATTCAAAGTTTTCCCTTATTTTTGCGATTCTGACACTACAGATTAATTATATTCTTAGAAATTTTGTATACATGTAGCCAAGAGTGTGCTAATAGTGTTAGCCTTTTGCCGTCAGAAAGTATTTTGACCCACTTTTGAGATATGGTGTCCGAAAAGTAGGTCAAAATAAAAAATTCTCCAAAATTAACGTTTGAGTTATGAATTAAGTATAGAATTTTCTCAGGAATCCGAATCTGCAAATCAAATTTCGATCCGACTTCCGGTTAGGAAGTTATGACATTTTGAAAGCTCAAAAATCGCTAAATTTGGTGCCCCATGTTATGTCAATGGGAAAAAGGATTTTTTTGAAGTGTAAAATACGAGATATAGACTAAGTACAGCTTAAAATAATGAAAGCCTATGCAAGAAGGGGACCTCGAAGGCTACCTAACTTCAAAATTTGGACACCAAAATCCCTAGGTCAAAATCTAGGTCAAATTCATAGTTTTTCCTTATTTTTGCGATTCTGACACTATATTTAAATGATTTGCTTCAAAATTTTGTATACAGGTAGGAAAGAGTGTGCTAATAGTGTTAGCCTTTTGCCGTCAGAAAGTATTTCGACCCACTTTTGAGATATGGTGTCCGAAAAGTAGGTCAAAATAAAAAGTTCTCAAAATTTAACATATGAGTTATGAATTAAAGGTAGAATTTTCTCAGGAATCCGAGTCTGCAAACCAAATTTCGATCAGACTTCCGGTTCGAAAGTTATGGCGTTTTGAAATTTCGAGAAAAATCGATCTGATGGTATCCTGATAGAAAGTCAAGAGTAGAGAAGAAAATATTGAAAAATGCATCCATCCTTCCTTTGTGAAACTATCGTATCCTTCTTATCTACCTTTCCTTCATATCCTCTCCTTCCTATCCTTCCTATTCTATTCCTTCTTCATATTCTATTGTATCATTCTTTCCTATTATATCCTATTGTTCCTTCCTATTCTAGCCTATCCTTCCTTCCTTTTTCATCCATCCATCCATCCATCTTTTTCTGGATGACTCAGCTTATTTTGGATGACTCGGCTTATTCTGGATGACTCGGCTAAAAAAAAGTCTAGATCTGGAGTCTGAAATTGAACTTCGTTCAATTTCCAAAGTCTAGTTATTATTATTAGACTCCAGATGAAATCTGGAGTCTATTGTTTTCGTCAGTTTTCTTATTCTTATTATTCTTATTATTATTATTATTCTAACCCAGTTTTCTCAATAACCATAAGGTTTTCAGTAAAGTCAGTCATTTGGTCAATTTAGGTCCAGCATCTAGTTCCTCGGAAATCGGGTCAAATTTTTATCTAGGTCAAAGGTCAAGAACTAGGTCAAATCCAGTACTTTGTCACTTTTTTCGATTTTCTCGGTCGTCCTTCAATATTTTCGATCGGGTTTTTTTTCATTGTGTTCCTTATAAAAAAGTAGAATATCTAGGGTCGATTTAGTTTTTTGATATCTCAAACCGATTTCGAGATATCAGTGTCCGAAAACGAGGTCCAAAAAAAAGTTCTCCGAATCAAATGTCCAGGATATTGGTCTTATAGGAAATTTTCTCAGAATTCCGAATCTGAAAACGAAATTTGAATCTGATTTCCGGTTCGGAAGTTATGGCGTTTTGAAAACTCAAAAATCGCTAAATTTGGTGCCCATGTTAAGTCAATGGGAAAAAATATTTTTTTGAAGTGAAAAATACGGAATATAGACTGAGTTCAGCTTCATATAATCAAAGCCTTTAAAAGAAGGGGACCTCAAAAGCCATCTAGCTTCACAATTTGGACACCGAAATGCCTAGGTCAAAATCTAGGTCAAATTCATAGGTTTTCCTTATTTTTTCGATTCTGACACTACACTTTAATTATATTCTTCGAAATTGTGTATACATGTAGCCAAGAATATGCTAATAGTGTTAGCTTTTTGCCGTCAGAAAGTATTTTGACCCACTTTTGAGATATGGTGTCCGAAAAGTAGGTCAAAATAAAAAGTTCTCCAAATTTGACGTTTGAGTTATGAATTAAGTATAGAATTTTCTCAGGAATCCGAATCTGCAAACCAAATTTCGATCCGACTTTCAGTTCGGAAGTTATGGCGTGTCCGAAAAGTAGGTCAAAATAAAAAATCTCCAAATTTAACGTATGAGTTATGAATTAGGGGTAGAATTTTCTCAGGAATCCGAATCTGCAAACTAAATTTCGATCCGACTTCCGGTTCGGAAGTATTAGCGTTTTGAAATTTCGAGAAAAATCGATCTGATGGTATCCTGATAGAAAGTCAAGAGTAGAGAAGAAAATATTGAAAAATTCATCCATCCTTCCTATCTCATCCTACCCTATCCTTCCTATCCTATCCTATCCTATCCTTTCTTCCTATTCTATTCTATCCTATCCTTCTTTCTTATTCTATCCTATCGTTCTTTCCTATTCTATCCTATCCTACCTTCCTATTTTATTTATCCATCTCTTTCTAGATGACTCAGCTTATTCTGGATGACTCGGCTTATTCTGGATGACTCGGCTAAAAAAAGTCTAGATCTGGAGTCTGAAATTGAACTTCGTTCAATTTCCAAAATCTAGTTATTTTTCTTAGCAAGATATCTCAATAACTAGAAGACTTAGGGTAAATCTGTTTACATGGTCAGTTAGGGTATGTGACCTAGTTTCTGGGAAATGAGGTCAATTTTTTTTCTAGGTCAAAGGTCAAAATTTAGGTCAAATCTACAAATTGTCAATTATCTTTGTTATGGTTTATTATTTTTTCTCAATTTTTTTTTCATCGTGTAGTTAAAAAGGAGCGCTTTTAAGTGAACTAATTCTTTTTATTGTAACTTTTAAGAATTTTGAGAAATTTGACTTTAAAAAAAAGTTGAATTTTTTTAATGTTCCAAATCTATTAAAATTGGTATTAATTTAATAGGAAATTGTCTCAAGATTCTGAATCTGAAAACGAAATTGTGATCCGACTCCCGGTTCAGGAGTTAAGACATTTTGAAATTTTGAAAAAATGATTTGATGATATCCCCATGTCATGTCAATCGGACCAATATTTTTTTATTTCTCATTAATATCAAAGTTCAAATTAAGCTTTTAATAGTAAATTTTCTCAGGATTCCGAATCTGAAAACAAAATTGAGATCCAAATTCCGGTTTACAAGTTATGGGCTTTTGAAATCTCAAAAAAATCCCACCGCTGCCACCAAATTGTAACAATCTCAACCTTTTCATTAATATCAGATCTCAAAATGGTTTTGAGATAAACAATCTAGATCTGGAGTCTTGAATTGAACTTGTTCAATTTCTCCAATCTAGTTCTTATTCTTATTATTCTTTTTGAGTTTTTTCAATAACTATAAGGTATCCAGTAAATACCATAATACAGTTTATTTAGGTTTAGTATCTAGTTGGTGGGAAATTGGGTCAAATTTTTATCTAGGTCAAAGGTCAAGAACTAGGTCAAATCCAGTACTTTGTCACTTTTTTCGATTTTCTCGGTCGTCCTTCAATATTTTTGATCTGGTTTTTTTTCATTGTGTTCCTCATAAAAAAGTAGAAAATCTAGGGTCGATTTAGTTTCTTGGTATCTCAAACCGATTTCGAGATATCAGTGTCCGAAAACGAGGTCCAAAAAAA